TCGACGGAACTCGTGCGCACCGTGAGCTCGCAGGCGCGCGACAGGCTCGACGGGCCAGTGCGAGATGCCCGAACCGAAGTACTCCGTGTCGAGGCTCTCGAGCTTAGGGAGGATGCGGAGGATCTCGAGGATCGCGCTCGTCGGCGCGCCCTTCAGGCGGAGTGAGCGGAGATGCGCGAGGTGCGAGAAGACGGAGACGAGGATCGACGCGGGGACGCCGGCGGTGCGCTGCATGGAAAGCTGCGAGTGAGATCGGTGATGGAGTACGTGACTTGAGACGACACCGACCCCCAGCTCCAGGTGGGTCAGCGTCGAGCCCAGATGCTCCGACCACCCCTGCAGCACCCGCGGCTGCCCCTCCATCACCCACAGCGCGACCCTCGTCAGCCCGCGAAACTCTTGCAGCTTGTCCCACACGGCCTCGCTGAGCCCCATGTACGTGCGGATCGTCAGCTGCTTCAGCTTCAGGCCCTTGAGGATGTTCAGGAACGCGAGCAGCACCTCGTCGTTGTGCGACGCGTCGGGGCTCTGGTCGCTCCAGCTGAAGCTCTGGATGTTCGTGCATAGCTTCAGCGCCTGCTCGCAGTCGTGCAGCAGCTCCGGCTTGCTGAATCCAATCGCCCCTGCGCACTCGCTCAGCTCCCTCTCGACGCGCGCGCCCTGCTGCTCACCTGTCTCTCGGACATGGCGCACGTATCTGGCGTATTCCGGCTTCTTCAGCAGTGTGCTCGCCGGGGCAGACCGCCGATCGCTGTCACGGCGCATACGTATCAACGAGTAGCGGACGCTGCGACAATACGTACTCCAAGCCGTGTCTTCATCACACGCGAGTCCAGCGTCCGGTACAAGAGCGGTGTCGCCGCCGCATGGAAGGTGCTGTGGAGCTGTGTGCACACATGCAGATCGCGCCGATCGACGAGGTGCTCGAAGATCAGCGGCAGGATGTCGATGGGGATCTTCAGCGGGTCGAACGCCGCCTCCGCCCTGTCGCCTTCATCTCGCCTGGCGGCGACCCAGCCTCACTGGCACTCGTGCGCACACGCTTCATCGTGGGTTCTATATCATGGACGGGAGTCAGTTCGGTGGGTCTGGCAGCAGTACGTAGACCATGTATAAGCGTGTGCGCTGACCGATACGCCGAGGCATGCGCGCCCCGAACTTCGCGGTTCACGCACGCTCGCAGCGTTCTGGATCTAGAACCCGCAATGTGGATGCAACGTTCAAAATCCCGCACACCAACCGCGCAAAACGCAGTCGACACGCGAGCGATGACGTCTGCCGACTGATGAAAGAAGTTCGACGTGCACAACAAGGCTGCAGGAAGACGTGCGGGGGCTTGTGCCGTTATATTGTGACGACATGTCAGAACGAGGGTGCTCGTCGTGGGGAAAAGGTCCGCGTAGTGGACCTTCGATGTAATGCCGGGCCTATCGACTACTAGGTACGCATACTGCGGGCATGCAGCCTCACGTAGCGCAATCCGCTGTAGCTGTCATAACTAAGCACCCCCGATATCATGACTGGCGCTGAGAGGGCAGGCTCATCCGGATCGAACCGTTGAGCACGCCCCTCAGGCAATAGTAGCAGATGTCACGGTGACACGAGGGCAGCGATGAGTAGTATCGCCGTGATTATGCTGTCTAGCGTGGAAGATTGAACGGCCCCGGGTGTGGGGGTTTCGACCACGGGAGACCGTGACATAGCACCGTACAGCTACGTTAGGTCGGATGACACTGGGGCGGTCGAGCAGTAGCATATCGTCTCGGCCACAAAGACAAAATCGTCAGCGAAGCTGGCAGTCGATGTAGTGCCCAGCAAGTGCGACTAGTTGCGCATACTGAGGGCAGGCGGCTTCACGTAGCATCGCTATTGCGGAAGCGCTGCGACCGAGTACCCCCGAACTCTCAGCGAGGTAGACTCATCCTGCTCTGATAATTAGAGCAGTAGCAGGCACCATGTTGTCTAGAGCACGACAATATCTATTGTCGCTCCATAAAGGCAGTCTACAGTGGAAGGCCGCACGGTAACCTTCAGCGTAAATCATGAGGTAGAGTGATAGCACAGCAACTAAGCTGCAACCATCGTAGGCTGCCTGGGCAGCGATAAAGTTCGCCTCGGTTACCGAATTGCCCAGGACACTGTCCTACAATGCTGGAGACCATACCAGCACACTGGACAAAGTAACCCTGCGACAACTGGCGCGTGGATACATGGGGGAGCATGAGAGATCGACCGGGTATTTGCCTAGTGTGCAGGTGTTTCCATAGGATGCATCATGACCATACGAAATAATATTGAAGCTTCGCAGACGTTACGGCGTGTCGAGACAGCGCACAACGCCTGACAGCCCCAGACCAATAAAGAACGGATGAACCTGGTTCACTTGCCTAATAGTTATGCTCCAGTCGATGAGATATTCTGAGCGAACCGTCTGTGACAATTCTATGAATGGTCGGCGATACAGCAATGCGCACTGCTGGCAGTACTCACCGGAACAGGCGCCTGGAATGCTACGTCCGTACGCACGTTCGCTGTCCAATATGAACCGTCTACAAGTGCTGTAGAAATAATCCTATAACTCGTCAGCGACACAGCCGTGCGCGCTGCAGGCAACGCTCACTGAAACGGTGCTTGGAGTGCTCAGTCCGGCGACTGCGCAGACATCGTCGTGGGGGAGCAGAGACAAGCAGTGTGGGGGTCGAGGCCATCACTGAACCCGAGTGTAAGTAGGGCGAGTCTGCGAAGGCCTCGGTCCTCGCCGTTAGCGGCATCTCAGCCGCTGAACCAGGAGTCAGGACCCCACATCCAAATATGGAAACCTCTGATATCGACTTTCCGTCACGCTATCACGTGTGACGGCTCTAGGCCCATATCTCCGTGAACTTTGCAAAGTGAAGCTCTCCTTCTCAGTTCTAGACATTGAACTATTCTCACCATGTTCTATCTCGTCGGATTGGGTCTGTGCGATGAAAAGGACATCACAGTGCGAGGGCTGGAGGTAGATCATATCTTTTTTCCTGTCGAATTAATATGGATTGGCTGAAATGACATGCCAGGTGGTTAAACGCTCTTCGAGAGTCTATCTCGAGGCCTATACGAGCATCCTAATGGTCCAAAAAGAACGACTGGTAAGTGCAACCGAATGTTCTTATCCATCTTCTGACACTCATACGTCTAAGGAAGCATTTTACGGCAAAGAGCTGATCCTCGCCGATCGCAACATGGTCGAGACTGAAAGCGACGAAATCCTACGAGATGCCGACAAGGAGGACGTGTCCCTGCTCGTCGTCGGCGATCCATTTGGGTAGGACCCACGCCTCGACCACGGATTCTTTTCTGACCGCAATCAGGGCGACGACGCACACGGACATCATCATCCGGGCGCGCTCGCTGAAAATACCGACGCGGGTCATCCACAACGCGTCCATCATGAACGCCGTCGGAGCCTGTGGTCTGCAATTGTACAACTTCGGACAGACGGTGTCCTTGGTGTTCTTCACCGAGACGTGGAAGCCGGACAGCTTCTACGACCGCATCAAAGAGAACATGGGCCTGGGCATGCACACCCTCGTCCTATTAGACATCAAAGTGAAAGAGCAAAGCGAGGAGAATCTAGCAAGGTAACTCGACGCCGGAATGCAGCTGATGAACGGCTCATTGACCTGCACGCGTAGAGGAAGGAAAATCTACGAGCCCCCGAGGTACATGTCCATCCCCCAAGCGGTCTCGCAGATCGCAGAGATCGAAGCCCTCCGCGGGGAAGGGGTGCTCAAGCCAGAAGCGACCCTAGCAGTCGGGCTATCTAGAATTGGCGGCGAAGAGCACCAGCGCATCGTGTGCGGGACGCTGGAGGAGCTTCTCACACAGCCGCCGGAGCTTTTCGGGGAGCCGCTGCACAGCCTAATCATCGTCGGGAAGCGGCTGCATGACCTGGAGGTCGAGTATGCGGAGGAGTATGCGGTCAACAGGGAGACGTGGCGGAGCGTCGCGCAGTCTGTGTACGGTTGCGCACTTGATCGGTGACTTAGACCGTTCGAGGCTGGAAACGGACGATCGACATGGACTTGTTTAGCAGAGCTTTTCTCGGAGGTAGGTGATTTCTTCGCACGGAAACAGACAGGTTCGTTACTCGTCTTGAGCGCGATCACTCATTATGGACCAGACATCGCACAGTACACATTGAAGTTGTAAACCCCCGGCCGCTCCTGGAACCGGAACCCGTGCCGCTCAGGAGTGCATTGCGCAACGAGGACGCCGTCTCTTTCCATTCTTACCCTCATGCTCCCCTTCGGATCCACCTGATGTGACAGCTTCGAGACTCCCGAGGGTACCTCAACGATTTGGGCGTCATGCCCATCGTCCGACGACGAGGTTGTGACGACCGCTGGAGCCATGGCGAACACGACGACCCAGATCATGTCATCCGTCTAGTCGGAAATTTCGAGACCGAATGGTCAGATGACGATGATACAGTAGACGCAGGGTACAACGCACTAGCTCCCAATCCCGCGGCCGAGGCACAGGGTCGTCGGTAACAGCGCTCTTAAGATGCGGTCGCGCCCACATGTATATCGTATCCGCCTCTATGGCAGGGTATACGCCTTCCTTGAACGCACGAGCGTAGTACCTAGCGAGGTGTAGCCATGGCTCGTGCGGGAAGCCGTCGACCCACGCCTGAGAGTTGGGCTGGGCACCTTTGATGGGCCCTACGTAATGTGATTCGCCGTAGTCTGTGCACGGTGGTCAACGATACGCGGAAGGCGGTGGGAATAGAGAAGGGCGGACCGTTGTAGGATATGATCTGCACGATGTCTATCTGGTCCCGCATGGCGATTAGCTGTTCCCACCTGCGGACGAAGAGCCAGTCGTCGCCACGATATATCCACTGACATACAGGTCACAGCCAGGCCCTTAAAAATAGAGCACATGAGGAACCTCTACGCACGTTCTTATTCCAGGAGTCAGGCCCGTAGTGCTGACCATCGTCGTCAGCCATAGCGCTACTGCAGGGTTCGGAGAAGGGTGTACCGTGAAGAACCACGGCGTGACCGCAGCCATGAACGTCCGCCCGCCCAGGTGTTTGAGGTGGACGAGATCACCGTCTAGTCTAGGCATGCGAATTTCGTGGCGGGGCGACTGGGGAGTCAAACGTGTAGACCAGCCTCCGTTCCACTGCATATATGCCGTCCGACATTCTGAATGTTGGGCGCACACCATCATCGGAATATGGCTTACGTTGAAGAACCCGTCCATCGAAGACACGGCAGGATACCGTGCAGGGTCGATGAAAAATGCGGGTACGAAGTGAATCTGATAAAGTCGAGCATTCTATCTAACCCGCTTAAAAGCGAACGCACTTTACCGACTGCAGCCTCTACGACTCCCTTGACGAAGTTCCAGGCACTGTTCAAGTCTTTCTGTCCGAAACGACTCTTCCCCCCGGAGAAGGTCGATAAGAGGACCTTTCCAATAAACCGGAGCTGATGTGGATGTCCAGCGAATCGCGACACATGGTCTCGGATGAGGAGGGCATCGTCGACACTTGCCCCAGGGATAGAGCTGAGCAAAGCGAGCGTCGTTGGGCAGAGAGCTCAGATCGTGGAACATAGGCCGGGACGCACGTCATGTCCAAACTCAGGAACACCCTGAATGGCTGTGAAGTTCTCGCTCGACGCGCCGCTTCATAACAATCAGCGACACGCGATATTTGCCATTCTTCCTTGCCGATGTTGAGCGCGAAACCATCGCTGAAGAGCCATGAGTCGATCAGCGATCCACTCTATGGTTATATGCGCACCACTTACATCCCGTTCTCACTTGCGAGCGTGATATCCTCCACCCAGTCTTGTATCGTGTACGGCTACGTGGACATCATGGGTACCGTGCTGCGCACGATTTTCCGATGGCCCACATACGTAGGTATTTCCGACCATGAAGCTAGAAATCACCCGGTCATCTCGAGTATCAGAGGCATGGGTACAACATCCGTGTACATACTGTGCAACAACCAGTTTCTCTCGCGGCGCGGCCATATCCAAACAGGCAAGCTGTGTGAATCTGCTATCCAGATATCAGAACTGAGTACTTCTGCTTGCCAACGAGATTCCGGAAGTTGTGTTTCGCTCAGATGTCACTCGGAACAGCAAGTCGGAGTCTTGACAATCGCCGCAAGTTGACGATGGATGTGGCCTCGCGTGCCCAGGTCTCTCAAGTGTCGTCAGTCGTATATCACAGGAAAATAGAGTTCGAGATGGGATGAATTAATGGATGTTCGAGAACAAGGTGAGAAGGAAGAGACAACGACCGTGACGTCACGAGGACGCATCTGCCAGATCCAGATCTGCACACTCACTTCCGGGCGCTAAAGTCCACGTATCGAACCAATTCATATCTTCACGCATAGCGGGCGTGGGCTGAACTCAATTCTCGAGAACCGAGTAATGTACACATACTCATTGTCATGTATCCTACAAAAACTGGGGAAACCGAAATTATGACACTAACTGGTTGGTACAAAATATGGAGGTGTGGTATGGCAGACTCGGAGGCCACGAGGGCCTGCATGGAGTAGATTCAGAATATCTCATGTCAGTGCGATTTGACCATCAGCATGTTCACAACTCTCAGCCTGTCTTCAAGTTGAGGAGGCACTAGCACGTGGGTGTCAACTGTCTTCAGACGGCCGCAGGCAGCGAGGAAGGGGTGGTGTAGCTTGGCTGCGTCGCGTCCTAATCGTTCCAATTTCCGGTGTACACGACTTTGACGTATTCCAGACTTGCCCTGTGGCACGCATAACAGCTAGCCGTGAGCAAGGGTACAACTTCGGACTCGTGACACTCACCGAAGGCATGCGTGTAGGCCCTTCAGACGCTTTCCCTTGAAGAGGGAACGTCGACCACGGGAGGGACGCACCACCACTGACCCGCCCCCCGGACCCGTCGATGAGGAGGTGCAGGCTGGACTCGCCTCCGTCCGCTGTCTGTTCGCAGGTCTTCCGTCGGCGCGTGTCGACGGGGCTCGTTCGATCTCGGTGATCCTCCGCGCTGTGTACTCCTCGTCGGCGGTGCTCGCCATCGTCGCGTTGTTCCAGTTTTCGTCCACGGGGCCTTTTGCGCCACGGTCAAGGTTGTAAGGAAACAGTCCGCGAGGGACTGGGCGTTCCAGGTTGCCCGCGAAACACCTGGCCTGCCGGTGACTGACTAGTGCCGCGCAATCCACGTCTACCAGAGGGGCACTGCATCCATGTAAGTAAGCGCGAAACGAGAACGGCCCGCCGAGCACTCACCGATCGGTTGCATCCCTTAGCAAGCCTCAGACCTGCTGGATGACCTTCCTCGTGGCGACCAACTCGTACTGGCGGAACACAACCCGCCAACCGTCCCGCCGCGTCCGCTCCTGATGAGGTCGTTTTGGCGGTGGCCAGGTACAGTGTGGCTCGCTCGTACGGCCCCCCATGGCTGTCGGACGACTTGGAGGCCGTATTAGAGCCGGGCGGGGCGCAGTCGGGTCTGACGCGTTCCGATATAGGCAGCTCGACTGTCTGTACACTGAGCAGGCGACGTGGGTCAGCGGTGCCAACAAGCGAAGATGAGGCGGAACATACTAGGTGGCCAGATGCGCGGTGCGCATTCTTGACGATTGGATCAGGAAGCGGGGAGAGTATGCGTCTGGGTCGAGTGCGGAGGTGGACTTGGAGACGGGTGTACATGTTCGTAGCGTGCGAGAAAGTGCTTGAGAGGGGTGGTTGAGGGCCTCTGCCCGTGGTGCGCCCTTTTATGCGTTTCGAGAGCGTCGGTGGCCAGTCGTTGCCGGAGGAACAATGGCCTCGTGGATCGCATGCATCGCCAGATACAGTATGGTACGCCGTGGTGGGCCACCTGTGGTCAAAGCGGCCAGGGGCCAGCGGTGGCTCAAACACGGGGCCGGCCTCGGTGCGTCATCCGAGGGCTTTGTCGTCCCGATCGGTGAGGAACGGTGGCCACATCTAGGGACTGATCTGCCCACGCAGTTTCAGATCGACGCCGCGGAACATTAATCAAACACGGACGTACCAGGACTGCTGTCTTCCAAGCCTCGTTAGGACGGATGCATACGTAGGCAAGTATGATGTTGGTGTGCGGCTAGTGCTGTATGCCTACAGTCGGCGTGGTGGTCTCTAAGTGAGACGACGAGGGCGGCCAATGAAGAATTGCGCGGTGCGTCACAACCTCTTTGGGCGCGACGGACGTTGAGCTCAACGTCCAGACTCCGAGTCGTCGTTATCGAAGCGTGGGCGGTATGCACGGAGGGTGACAATTCCCACGGTCGCTGGCACGGTGCAGGCGCATGAGTGTCGGTGAGCGTGGCTGGCCGACAAGAGACAGAGGGCGGCCGGAGTCGCGAAAGCAAGCGATGAGGCGCGTCGGCGGGAGAAGACGACGCGGTCAGGTGACAGCGCCACCTTCGGAGAGCGCGCGACCGTCGTCCTCCACCGCTGTGTCCCTAGGGGGGCAATCCCGGCTTGCGCCCCTAGGAGAAGGACGCCGGAGAGCCGAGTATGACCAGTATGCCTCTCACTTATTTCTTCTTTATTCTCTATTTATTATCATGCGAGCTACGTCCCGACCTCAGACCACACCACTAGACACTGCTTCAGGCTTCATTCCCCGACTTGACTGCCTATCCATTACAGTACAGATCCTCACGCGTACATACTACTACACTACCCTCGAACGGGGCGCAGGCCTGGGCGGCGCGTTTAAACGCCCGCCCTTGCACAGGCCGGCGTCCGCCGCGTCTTAGCACGTTGTTTGCTTGCTGCGGTTAATAAATGCTGAATTCATCATCATCATCATCCACCGCTGTGTCCCCGTCGTGTCACTTTGTCCTCGGCCCTATCACTGTCACTGTCTGCCCTGAAGACAACCCCCGTGCCTAACTGATAAGTGTACCCAGCAAGACACAGGCACAATGACAACTTCGACCGTGGCCGCAAGTAACGACGAAGGCCACGCACCCCATCTCAGTGGGGTGTTATGCATTATGGTCGTACGCAGGCCGACGGAAATACATGGATAACTATTGTTGCTATGTACAGAATGCCACGGGCGATGGGCAGGACGTATGTTATTGAGCCGCATCACGGTATGTACAGTGCGTATCTCTGAGGAGGGTGGCATCCTCGCGGGTGTCGTCACGAGAGACACGCAGTTGCAGTGAGAGGCAGGTGACCACACGAACGGTGGCCTATGGACGCAGGTGCGAGAAGGCCAAAGGTCAAGTCGTTCGTGTGTAGGTTGGATGTGTCCTCGTTTCCTGCACGTTGACTGACTTTCCCTTGCTGTAGCAACATACAGGATATACTGAGCAAAACAACCCAAGCTGTAGGTGCTTTGGAGGTTCTGTTCGCAGTGCAACCTTCACCCGTACGCGCCCTACGTTAAATCGCAAGGCTGACGTCCTCAATCCTAGATCGACGAGTTTTCCGATTCCTCCCGCAAGGGCTACGCGACAGGCGTCCGAAGACACACCACGATCTGGAGGACATGTCGGGGTCTGTGACGGCGACACGGCTGTTCCAGACTTGGACAATACCTGTGCTCTCTCATGACAGCCGGTGCACAGGCCTGGCTGGCGGACGTTGCGGAACATCAACGTTTCAACACTTCCGACGCTGCGCCCAGAGGCTGACGGCGTCCCCGTTCGAGTGGGCTGACGTCCGAAAGTGGAAGCCGATCGAGGGTGACGGCGATCGTCGAACCAAGTTCAACATGTCAGCCTCCCGCCATATATAACCCGCCCGTGTTCGACTTTCCCCCCTCATCCAACTTGAACTTAACCACCACCAGCCCACTGCGTATCACACATGTTCCCTCTCATCTTACTTTTAGGCGGCGCGCTGGCCCTCGTCAGCGTGCTGCCCAGCCTCCCTCCGACGTTCAACGTCGAGCTCATCCCCGGTACACTCCTCCTGACGCCGGCCGTCATGGACGACTTCCTGTTGTACCTGCCCGCCAGGTGAGTGTCGTTGGCACCTCCCATCTCATCGCGTTTGACTTACCTATGTGTCAGCCCCGCAGTGGAGGGCACCGCGGCTGTCGTCGGCGATATCGTCGACAACACCGCAGCCGTCGTAGGCGACATTGTCAACACCGTTCGCAACTCGGCGGCTCAGGTTTCCCCGGAATTCATCTGGTTATCGGACATGTCGCTCAGCGACATCGGTTACGGGTGCGTGCCCTCGCTCTCCAGTGGACCATTCTCATGACACTTGGCCGACATAGCCCGGCTTACATCGACCTCAACCTTGTCCTCGTCGACACCCTCGGCGGGATGGACATGGCCAACGGTACTGGCGACCTGTTGGTCATGGACTCTCCCGTCGTGACTGCCTTCGAGGACAAGGCTGATCCCAACAACGGTTCTCACAACGTGGGTGAGGATGAGCCCGTCACGGCCATCCCTCCCCTCAACGTCGACGACGAGGTGCGCGACATCGTCACCTCTAACTCGACGGACAAGGCCATCGTCGATGTCGCCGCCACCGACGACATCGACGACGGCTGCGATGGCGGGACAGACTGCCCTCACGAGGTGACAGAATACGAGATTATGTTGTTCATCCTCCTCGTCGCTGTCTGGATTTGGGCCGTGCCCGGGATCCTGTCGTACTCCCTTCCTCCCATCGTATCGCTCCTCAGCCGTCTTCCCATCATCCGCATCCTCGTAGACGACCTTCGCCAAGAATTCGCGTACGGGTGGTTCTCCCCGCTCTTCCTCGCGTACCGATTCGCAGGGGTCTACTTCCTCGAGGAGATCCTGCTGGGTCCGTTATTCGCGGATCCGTTCAAGCGTATCAAGCGGCTGATGGAATATGGACGGATCGACACGATGTTCATGGCGCAGGAGTTCCTCATCCTGTACTGGTGGGCGTGGTGGGAGCTGGTGGTCCCCATGGAGCGTGTGGCGGCCCAGGTGCAGATGGGCGTGGTGGATGTGGATATTGTGGAGGAGTGGGTGATGCACGAAACGGACGGGGGCGCACACAGGCGGTCCTCGGAGACAGGCGGACTATCCGGTCCCTGGGCGTTGAAGGTCCTGTCTTCTTTCCACAAAGGTGTGTGCTAGTCGGTTACGTCTCTCCGATCGCTTACCAGGATTCTCAGTGCCTGAGAAGTTGTTGTTCAACGACCACGGCATCGCGAGGCGCTTCGTGCGTCCGGAGACGACTGAGCTCTTCGGCGACCTCGACTGAGCTGCGTGCGTACGACCTTGCTTCGTACAAGTAGTGGCGACACGGTCGCTGGGTCGGAACGCTCGGCGACGAGAGTACAACCTCGTCAATGCTATGTATCACATAGGACACTGCATATCTCGAAGTAGGTGATTCGCCCTGCTGTTTGCATCCGGCTCTAATCCGCCATTTACAGGACTGTTGCGTCTTCAAATCGGTTTAACGGTCCTGGCGCGCCGCTGATTTGCCTGCTTAGGATGTATCGAGTCTGGTACTCGTCGTACAACCCAAGCACGCGATCTGCGGCGCATTCCCTGTATTGCATACGATAATATATCGATCTGTACTCTACAGCGTATCTTGCTTGACAATGTACTCTGGAGGCGGATCGTTACTGGTGTGTACTCAATACTCAACACTGGCAGCAGCCCCGTCGTTCGACGAGGTTCAACATCAGTGCGAAGCACACCGGTAAGTATATATGGAGGTGTGGTACAGCTAATATAAAGCCACGGCACACAGCCTGGGTGGTTGTGTGGCCCCGTTCTACGTTTGAACGGTGTCGAACGAGATGTACGACTCCTGACGCCGCGGCGGACGAACAAGCAGCGCATTCTTTGCTAGCCGCTGAGCAACCGTTGACTCCTCCGCCCGATTCGCACTGCTGTCTCCTCAGTGGCCGAGAAAGCCGCATCTCAATCCTGGGGTATGTTCCGCACGACGTACGAATGACGATCCTCCCCTGTGCGCCTGCCTTGTTAATCTGCTAACGAGCACCACCAGCACCGTATATATCCTCGAACGTGTGTGATGAAGCCGGCTGGACCGTCCTCGGTTGGTGTTGAGGCTAGGTATCTGTACGGCGTCCCGCGCGTCGTCTGTGCGGCCAGCCGGGGGCGTCCACGCGAGGCTAGACCCTCTAGATATGGTCTAAGAACCGCTACAACATCCCTGTAAGTATCAATGAAGGTCGTCAGTGGCCCGCGCGTAGATGAACGGTACCACGAGTGCTCACCGATCCGCTAGGTCCCTTTGCCACACCGGTGCATGCATGGTTCGTGGCTGAGACTGAGAGGACGCCGCCACGGGCTCTGCGCACTGCTTAGTTACACTACGTATGCTGTTGGGCCGGGGCGTGCTGGTACATGTTGAGACCGTCCGACTTGATGTTGAGGGCTGTTCCCAACGAAGTGGCCTGTCTCGGTGTCCCGTCGGTAGGCGTGGCGCAGGCCCCGTAAGTCAGCAGATGCAGGAGCAGCGGAGGAGGCAGGTCGCCCGCGGAGGAGCTCATCCGGAGACGCCTACAGGAGGCCCGGCGAACGGGGGTCGGGCGTTGTCCTTCTCGACGAGTAGCCATGTACCGAGGGACCGTCGTGTGCCACGCAATGCGCTTCTGCCCGGCCGCTCGCATTGATCGCCGCGGCAGTGAGGGAGTGCGGGGGAAGACTCGGGCCCCGACGCGGAGAGGATGTGCGTGTGCGGCACGCCGGTGACAGAGGAGCTGCCCGGCGTGTTGCGGGGCCTGCATGCGTCGTGCGCAGCTTTTGAACAGCGGCGCGGTCGTGCTCCACGAGCTCCGTGTCGGGGCGTCCTGCGGGTCTTACTCTGCTCACGCCCTCTCGCTCGGCGTGGCCCGACGGACTGGATGGCCTATACACTGCGTGGACGACGCGTTAGAGAGACACGCGACTCGCGAGTAAGAAAGCGCCACAACGTACTAGGTGGGTAAACCCGGGGTGCGCATTCTTGACGATTGGAATCATTGGACTAGGAAGCCCGAAGGATATTCGTCGAATACGTCTGAGACGCCGCTGGTGAGGATGGATGGTGGGCATACTACTGTGGATGAGGGCTCGTATCGACTCAGGCGGAAGTTGGAAGTGCTGGAGACTCGGAGGGAGCGGGAAGTTGTTGAACCTTGGCCGCGCTCTGCCGGCCTTTTATGCCAATGGGGACCGTCGGTGGCCAGCACTAACCAAATTGGAGTTAGTCTCGAGGATGGCATAGGTCGCCGCATCTGGTAGATCGATACAGTGGCCCATCTGTGGTCAAAGTCCGAGTCAGGTCAAAGTGATCGAGAAACGGAAGTGGGGCACTTAGTAACAGCTAGTCCTTCAGGCCTTCAGGCCTCAGGCCTCGATGCGTTAGCCGAGCTGTTTGTCGTCCAAATCAGTAAAAGATGTGGTCGCAAGGGGCAACTTCTATGCTCTTCTAAGTTCTATGGCCTCCAGGGCGGTGGCAGTCCGAGTCACTGTCCGAAGCTGGCAGTCAGACGCTTTCAAGATTGAAGTCAGCCCGGGACTCGATGGGCTGAGGAGGCTTGCATCGATATTGCTAAGTCTCTTCCCCAAGAGAAGCAGCATAGTAGTCATGTCGCCGGGAGGCGATTGATGCACTGCGGCGTCGAGGCACACTTGACTAGCCTGAGCCGGCGGAAGTCTGAGTGAACAAAGATTGCATGACTTCACACTTGTACTGATGCAATGCTCGTCCTTCCGTAGTAGTTAGTCACGGTATTAGTAAGGCAACTCGTCGGTACCGTATACGCACATTGAGCTCCCCAGACGAGAGGTCAAACAGAAAACAGCGAGTACTAAGTTGTGATACAGCTGAGAGCGGGTTGGAGGGCAACGTATCCGATGGCGCGCGCGAGCCCGCCTTACAGAATATAGTCTCAGTTGTGGCTACATATATAGATGTCATACTTATCGTTACCGAGCGTGAATGTGAACAGTACAACTACACGACCTCCAGGGTCTCGTAACAACAACACAGGGTATCGAAGAAGACCAAAAAACCGAAGCACTCATGTCACCAAAATCGAAGAAAGGCGTCTGACAGCACAGCGGGCGACACCACATAGAGTTGCAGTATCCACCATCGAAGCATAGCCATGGACGATCTAATCAAGTCCATCTTCCCCGAAATCCCACTCTCCCTTATCATTACCACCTGTCGCAGACATATCCTTCGCCTTCTGAGCAAGAGCAGCAAGCTCTGCCGGTTGATCAGGCTTGGAGGACTCGCCTGGTTGGGGAGGTTCAGAGGTGGCTCCCGTGTTGTCCTGCCACGCTCCTGGGATCGGCGACCCGTCCTTCCCTTCCTGGTCCTGCTTCTCTTCGCTATGCGTCCCACCTATGATGCCGCCCCACACAGATGCCTTCCCTTGAACCTTCGCTATCATGGCGGAGTACCTGCCGGGTATCACAATCGATGCATTCTTCTTGTGCGCGGGGTTGGGCAAGTCTGTGATGATCGTCGGCTTCGGGGTCGGCGCGCGAGTCGTCTCTGTGGCAGCGCCTGCAGGCTTCTCGTTCTCTGCGGGTGGCATGGTAGATGGTTGGTCTACAGTCGTAGTGGACGGTGCGTTCTTGTTCTCGGCATTTGCTGGAGGTACAGGATGTCCCTTGCCCCAAGCGCTTGGCTTCGGGGATTGCGTACGAGCCAACTCTGCAGCCGGACTAGCAGGCTTGTCCGCTGCTGCTTGTGTCGCGCTGGGACCTTTGTTCTTACCCCAAGGGTTTGGCTTCGGGGTCTGCGTACGAGGAGACTCTGAAGCAGCACTTGTAGGCTTACCACCTACTGCTGATGTCGCACCGTTAACCTTGTTCGTCCCCCAAGCGTTGAGCTTCGGTGTCGCGGTACGAGGTGGCTCCGCGACAGGACCGGCGGGCTTCTCTGCAACTGGCGTCGCAGCAGGAGTCTTGTTCTCACCCTGAGCGTTTGGCTGCGGTGTCGTGCTGGGGGCTGGTTCTGAAGCAGAGCCGTTGTCCGTGGCCGTCGTAGAAGCTGGTTGGCTGGGCGTCGCAGCAGGCGTCTCGGTCTTGCCCCAGGCATTCGGCTTCGAGGGCGTTGCTGGACCCGGCGACGCGGCTGTATCGATGAGCTGCTCGCCCTCCGTACCAGGCGTAGACGAAGTAGGTTGATCTCCACTCGACGATGACGCCGGGGTCTCGGTTTCGGGGTTCGTCTTCACGTCACCAGCTGCAGGTGTCGCTTCGCCAGCCGTCTGCGAGGTGGACGCATCGCCATTCGTAGGCTGCGGTGTGTTCTCGGCGGGCGCCTCGGTGTCGCCTGCAGGAGGGGCAGATACGTCTGCAGGTTCTGTCTGATTATCCTTTACGTTTTCGTCTGCCACGTTGCTCCCCTCAGAGGCTGCTTTGTCCTCTTTTACGGAGGATTCCGTCTTATCACTGCCCTCCGGGACAGGGTCTGATCCACCCTCTGGCGTCGTTACCGATGCATCTGTACTCGTGTTGGTGTTGTCGGTAGACTGTGGTGGTGTTGCGGCGTCGGTGGGGACCTCTGCGGGCGCACCCTCACCAGGAGCAGCAACGCTCTCCGAGACTCCGCTACTAGCCTGAGCATCCGAAGAGGGCTCTGCTGGGGTAGTGCCAGAAGATGAATCAACAACGGTAGCAGACGCATCAACGAGTTCGGGCGTCTCTGTCGTCGGAGCCGTAACAGTCAAGGATTCTTCAACACCTCCCTCCGTTTTACGTTCGCCATCTGCCTGCAGGTCCTGATCACTGCCCGCAGGAGCGACAGCCTCATGCTGTGAAGGGTCCGAAGCCTGTTCCTCCCCTACATCGGGAGCGCTCGAGACGATTTCTTTCGGCTGGTCAGCAGGCGCCGCCGTCTCGTCCGCGTTCTGGGGTTGCTGAGGTTGAGCAGTGGTCGGTGTAGAAGTAGTAACGTCAACAAGGATGGGAGCATCGGATTGCGAATGCGACGAAGTAACATCGGGAGTAAGGGTACTATTGCCCGAAGGCTCCGAGTCATTTAGGCTTCTTTCCTCCCCTGGGTCCCCCCTGTTGCCATTGGGAGTTGCGCGCCCTTCTTTTGCGCCGCCTTCTTCTCCTGCTGTCGCTTCCTTTTCTGGTTTTCCTTCTTTGTCGGCGCCTTCCCCGGTTTCTCCGGCTCGTCCTTTTCCACCAGCGGCATCTCCAGAACCGGCGTCTCGACCACCGGCGTTGGCGCCGACGGTGTCTCGACCACCGGGGTTTCGACTGTTGGCGTCTGCACCGCCGGCGAGGGTGCCCGTGGCGGCGGCTCCAGCGGAGGTGGGTGTACCGTTCCCTGCATTGGAGCAAATACAGAGTTCAGTCTCCCGCTGAGAATAGTAGGGGAAGAGTTCGAGGCGAATTGACCTGGGGATTTTGCTGCATCCTTAGCAGCCGTGACGGTGGGCGTCGACGACGGACCGAAGGTCGAGTCAACCGCCGTCGTTGCTGCGCTGTGAGAAGGGGCGGCGAGCGTAGGCTTCTTGGGGGTCGTGAAAGTACGGTTCATGCCGTTCATAGCAGGGATCGTGAAGGCGGACGCGCTCCCAATGTTCTCGAGCGGCGTAAGGGAAGGGGAGGGCGGGCCCGCAGTGATGCCAAAAACATCCTTGATGATGGAGACCATATCCTCGCCCCCGGCAGTCACGGGCGAGGAGCAGAGCTGACCGGGGCTGCCCGACGGCCTACCCCGCGCGGACTCTCGGGCGGTCGCCAGAAGCAGCGCTGTCTCGAGACCGAGCTGGCGGCCCTCCTTGATGGACAGCGGCTCGGGCCGCATGCACATCGCGATATACGAAGGGATGAGGAGCTTCTTGTCCAGCTCGTACGCCTGGTAGAGCTCGATCTTACGCAGCGCCGGGATCTCGAACTTCTCGAGCTCCCGTACGCAGAGCTTCTTGACTTCCGCGAACCGCCAGTCGAATGCCAACTTCAGGATGGCTGACCAATCTTCAACGGTAGCGTCGTAAATGGAGTATTTCCTGGCACACGGCGTGAGGTGGTGCAGGAAACAACTGGGATCGACTCACGGGTTGTAGAACACCCAGAGAAATCGTGCAAAGTCGTTGGCCAAGACATCCTCCAGAGGGAATGCGTGCGCGTCTGTCGAGCCCTTCGGCTGCTGCCCAGGAGGTGCAGCGACGGCGAACTTCTCGCGGAAGAATGCCGACTCGCGCTCGAAGAAGTAACGATGTACACGGAAAAGGTAGTTCTCAACCTGCACCGCCGTCGTCAGCACACACGACGACAGTCCAAGCGCAGTCAGCGATACGCACCAGGAAATGAATGTCTCCGCCGGAGAGATAGTACTTCGGATGCCGCTTCACCTTCTCCAGCGAGGTGTCGACAGAAATGTTGTAGTTGTGGGCCATTGGAGGCTGAAGCATAGGGATAGCGGTCGTGATGATGGGCGGGGCCAAAGATATGAAGGGCAAAAATCCGAGCCTCTTCACCGCCGCACACGTGTGGGCCTCATGTCGGGACCCGACACATCAGAATTCGAAAAGGCACATAGCCCGTCGCCAAAGATCGGTTTGTTCATCGTGGAAAGAGGAATACACGTTGCAGAGGCCGAGACACGGCGTCTGCACCCTCTTTACGTCCATTACAAACCGCAAAGAATGGATTTCTGACTGCGTTAGTATAGCGAGTAACAACAGATCTAGTGGTACAAGTGAGCGTTAATTACATAACACAAAGGCGACCCATTGTTTATCAAACAACGCAGAGCGTCTTCCACTGACCCGGACCATGGACAATCCTGCGGAGCGTGGTCGAGGCATGGATCACTAGATGTGAGCATCAGCACATAGCCAACGATGAAGGGCTGGTATCGAGGACGTAAGATGAGCGTAACAACAACAGTGTACATGTACGACTCATCGCGAACCCATCAACGAGCGAATTTGACGACAGGTAGATAGGTCTCGCTTTTAGAAGTAATACAGAGGAAGGACAACATTCGTGTGATGCCATGCGTCCAACAGCAGGAAGATGGTTAAGGTTGCTGTGCACAAACGTTCCCTACACCTGGTGGTCGGAACTAGGTGGTTTACCTATGGACCAGGTGTGCGACAGTTCCGCCTGGCCTCCACAGGCCGCAGCTGCATCATGATATGGTCCGGTATGACAAAGCCTGAGCTCGAAACGCAGATGCGAGCGCTGAGCAAGTGGGACTCACGATAGAACACATCACCACCGGGTAAGGCAACCGGAGCTAGCGTGTAAACAAGGTCCAGGCGTAAGAACAGTGTTTAAAGTCCTTGAGCGTCCAGCAGTCAATCAAGGTTCGCACACAAGTCTTCTGCAAGCGGTCGTCAGGAGGACATCCACAGTATACTGAAAGTGATGACGGCGTTGACGCTGCTTGCTGGCCTGTATGCAAGCCGACGTTGAACAGGGTGGGCATGGAAACACGGAGTAGCTAAGGGCCCAACAAGCCACAGAGATGAGGAACATATGTCGAAGTTTGCAGTGGACGGCAGATACGGGCGAGGGGAACAGAAGACGAGCCGTGGTGGTTCAGGCATGATGAACGATTGTGGGGAGACAGCATCCCCCAGGATGCCACGGTCACCACAAGTCCACGAGTCTGACCCCGACTAACACACATTCCGGCGCAGACGACGGAGGCAAGTGTCGCAGATGAAGGTACAGTAGGTTCCGGTGGGGTCCATGGCCAGAAGCGCACCGTTGGGTTTCGCGCATCGCTCTGTCGCCTCTGCGTGGCCCGTACAGCAAATAAGACTGTCAGTGACTAATGAGCAGAGATTCCCTATGTGACAAAACTGCTCTCACTTAGCTCGGTGTCATGTCCAACCTTCCTGTACAACTTGAATGTAGGTTCCTCCTGTGGTAACAACAGTCGGCTTCAGGTCGTATCCGGCGCCACGATTGACTATAGCGCACAAAATTAATGCACATAGATGCAAGTCAAGCGATTATTTTGCGAAAGGCGCGAGATATCCAGAGGCCGTAGGACAGCGCCTCGAGGTCGGAGGAAGAGGAAGGAGGAAGAGGAGGAAGATCAAGCGCTCATGACAACTCTGTACTTGCCTCTTTTGCCACATCTTTGCTCGTCTGAATCTCCGTGCAGTTGGCTTGGTTGACAAGTTCTCCCTTTCCCTCTCAAAATGTCGAAGCAGGTCTCCATAAAAATTGAATTCAGTGGAGGGCTCGAGCTGCTCTTCGACAACCAGCGATCGCATCGCGTCGTCCTCCCTGCCCGCGTCTCCGCCACACCCGCGGACGCGAAGAGGAGCCTCAAGGACGACGCGGGGGCAGCGGAGGGAGACGGCCGGCCTGTGGACGTGGCGTATCTCATCCTATGGCTGAAGGATAACCTGCTGAAGGAGAGGGAGGAGCTGTTCGTCGAGAGCGGAACCGTGTACGTTCTTCTAACTTACCATGCATCTGGTCCGTCGACTGAAGGAAGGGCAATGTCGGCCGTTCGTTCGTCAGGCGACCAGGGATTCTTGTCCTCGTGAACGACACGGATTGGGAGCTGGAGGGTGAGGGGGACTACCAGCTCAAAGACGGAGACGAGATCGTATTCATCTCGACGCTGCACGGAGGATGAAGACATGTCGGATCCGTGGCGACCATATGTGAGCCATAAATTGCAACCGTGAGCCGTTGGTTGATCTGCCTGTTTTATTCTCAGTAATATAGGCATCGATCTCGTCCGTTTCAACATCGGAACGAGCGAACACTGGTACGACTCACACAATATAGCCTGGGACACGGCGGCTCAGGCGTGTAGAGGGTAGGCAGGACGAGGAAGGGGCTGAACAAGGTGGCAGATGGGGATACGAGGATCCCTTCACATGGTCAAGGAACACAGAGCGGGACAGCGGGTGCAGGCAAGCAGAAGATTGAGAGCGTTCGTTGTCTCGGGTTCAGCGAGTACTGACATGTATGTAATTACATCTGCACGCTACTGGTAACATCGTGGTACAGTAGAGGCTATATTCTGTCGTACTGCCTACATCGATCGTTGACCGTCTACGCCTGACTGGAAGGAGACTAAGGACATGCCGACGGAACGCACGTACAACGGTGACATTTAGCTCGTCGCCTGCGCTTGTAACGGCGATGCAGTAGGATGAAGCGAAACGATGAGGTGGATGAAACCGTGATGGAACTTAACGATAGTATGAATGCGCACCGTCAACCTTAACTACGATACCATCCCGGGATCGTCGAACACGATACTAGAGCAGACCTCATGCGCATAAGTTGGATGGTGTCAGGATTCACGACCACCAGTGCTCAACGGCAGGAGACGGCTCGCCTCCCGGGCTGCCGTTCGCACTACACACCATCCCGACGCGCGTTCCACTAGCAGTGAGAGTAGGGAAGCACGCCGACATGGTCTCGACCCAGTCCACGAGACGTTCAGCAGGACATTGCGCGTTGAAGGTGATCTTTAGCTCGGGGTCCTCCGCCGCGAGACTGGCGAGGGCCCCGTCCAGACCGGCGCACTGCTCCGGGACGGCATTCTCGGGTTCGAGCTCACCGAGGAGGAAGCGCATGCGGGGCGTGAGCAGCATCCTCCAGCGTAAAAATGCCGTTAGGCACTCCGAGACGCTGGTCTTCGATTGCAGGATCGAAGGAGCATCGACGTCCACGCATTTGATGTTCAAAGTAGTAGTGGGGACGGCTGGGGTAGCAGGGGTGGTCAAACGTCAAGGTCAGGTTTGTCCGAATCCCGCGGGAGACGTACCACTGTCATCCCGGACATCAATTACGAGTCTTTTCTTCAAAACCTGGAGCCCCACTTTGTGTCATAGAGGTACCCCGCCAGCAGAGAGAATTCCGACTGGAATCCGAGACGCTCAAGGGTGTGATTGGTAAGAGTGAGCCGGTCGATGATGACCGCAAAGGGCCAGCGTAACGCATACACTTGCCACATGGCGACGTAGAAAATCTTGAACGAGTATAAATTGGCTACGAGCTTGCCGATTCTAATTTTCTTGTAGATCGGCTTCCACTGCCGCTCAGTCCATTCGACGACAGTGCCTTGCGCATTGTAACTTGAGAGGTGGAAGGAGGACCTTCGAGGCGACGAGGACAGAATATCGATCAAGTCTGATCCAACCTGTCCATATCCGGTCTCGGACCAGTGCAGGTGCAGGTGAGCCACCTACATAGATGCGACCAGTGAGTGAGTAGATGTATATGCGATCTGCAGAGCCCGAGTAGCGCGAGATCACCCACCTTGCTCGCGAGCACTGCGACTGCGTTCTCTACGGCGGGAACAGTGGCGATCGGCCGATCGAGATTCTCCAGCCGTAGCGTCTCCACTGCAGTGAACTGCTCGAGCAGGCCGGGCAGCCTGGCGTCAGCCAACAGCGACCGGTCCTCATGCCCAAGCATCTCGGCATATTTCCGCCCAAGCAGAGATCGCGGACGAGACTGGGGATGCTACTGGATCCCGGTAACTCGGAAGAGAGCAAGGCTTGAAAGGTAGTGATGTCCTCGCCTTCAGCGAACCTGATAGACGAGAATATGTGCTTGCGAGACGCAGGAAACCATGCACGCGACACACGACTGCATGCCCTCAGCGTAGAGGGGTCCTCCCGACATAAGTCGATTATCGCCTCGCAGAGCTCCAGAGGAAGCGTTCGCGAGCCGAACGGGCGAGGTTGCATGGGGCAGAACGTACCACGGACTCGGGACTCCGACGACGGGATGTAGTCGCGACGAGGAGGAAGAGGAGGAGGAGGAGAAAGAGGAGGAGGGGATGAAGTACTCTGTACCGTGGGACTCACGCGCCACATCGCGTCGCGCACTGGCACAACGGCAAGGGAAGGCACTACCTACAGTAATCACAATTCGTCATGACTGGCGAACCACTAGCCGCGCAACGCTAGCATTTGGATCTCTAGTCGATACGTGAAAGAAAAACTAGGTGCCAGTGAGGAGGACTTTGGCGCAGGATGGACAGCATGCACAACAGCCGTCCCGGCCCGGCTCAGGGCGGCTTATCAGACCGGTACCAACAATATATTGAAGAAATCGAAGACAGAACTCGAGGCTACGCCGTCTTCAGGGTTGCGCTCGCCAACCAAAGCCGACAGATACTTATGTAGAACCGAAGTGAAGACTTCCTTTGTTGGTCGTGAGGGCCAAGCCCTATGTGGTGCACATTCTAGCAGTAAATGGAAGGGATGTACGTGGGCTGAGCGCTGAAGCTTGGTATATGCTCGTGGGTATGTAACAGTACAGCAACATCAGCAAAAGTGCCGGATAATTATCTCACAAGCGGCGAGTTGTGTTACTTACCTCGTAAGATTTGACATTCGCTCCAGATATAACTAGAGAGAACGGGAAGACTGCAAGAGGTGGTGTTGGATGTAGATAGCTTTCTGAGATGCCATTGTAAGTCGACAACGTACCAGACTTGTGAAGACATGCGCAGAGAATTGGCACCGCTTGGTGCCGCTTTTAAGATGAGCGCAGACGGCGAGAGCGGACGCGTAATCTGTCTAGATACTATGAGTATCGTCGAGTCAGCATGTCAGCGCGATCTCCGGAATAAATTGAATTAGGACCATTCAAGTTTCAGGCTGCGCGGCATGTACCCATCATGTATGACACAGTTCCTGAGGTATATGCTGACCTATCAATATAGATTTCGATCGGAAACGGGGAAGTTGCAGGCACGTACGGGCCTATGCAGCGCGGGTAGGCTCAGAGCGGCGACGAGGCGCATACTACAGGCTGTTCAGGTCATCCTTCGGGCACAAAAGTCGCCTTTGGGGCCTATGCAGGCAGTTGCGAACGAGGGCATGAAAACAGCGTAAAGGATGGGGAGGTACACCCTCAAGGCCTCATGGCACGGTGTGACTTAGCAGCACATCGAAGTCCGCGTCCTGGACCTCAGCCGCAGTGCTCGACTGCACGCGGTCACGTGGGCGCATATAGCCAGTCTTGAGATCTTGAGACGCTGTGTCGTCTCTCAAATTCTTCTTCCACAACCACCATCCTCTCACTTGCACACTCCGACATTGTCCTCCAAGTACCTCGCTCTCGCCATCCCCTTTACTGATTGTGAACCAACTCTATTGTCGCCGCTGTTATCCCCGCCCGCCGGTTCCACCTGCCCGATCTCACGCGCCCACCCGCCCTTGCATGCCTGCCCAACCATCGATCTCTCTTGATTGTTCTCATCACACTTCTATCCCGCTCGCCTCGTCCTTTAACTCGTTTGCGCTGGGGGTGCTGCTCCTGGTGCATATACACATTGTGCTGTCGTCAATGAAGTCGACGATGGCCGCGACCCCAGCCCCGGCCCTCAGGAAGAGCATCAGTATATGCATGGGTATCCCGTACTCTACCCGGGCCCGTACCCGCCCGGGTACAAACCCGCCGCAGCGGGTACGGGTGTGCGCGGTTGGCGCGGTTGGCATGGACAAGGCAAGGTCGAGCGGGTGAGCAGGCTACGGGCAAGCATTCGAGAAAGCGAGTACTTATGGGTGAGCGGATAAGAACAGGCGGGCGAGGAGCCGCGAGGAAGCGAGCCGAGGCGAGCGGACGAGAGGGTAGGCAAGTAGGCGAGGAGGCGGGTGAGTAGACGAGGTGGCAGGAGAACCAGCAAGAAGGTGAGCGCGGGCGGGCAACAACAATCCAGCGGCGAGTGGACGAGCGGGCGGGAAAGGGCGAGCGAGTGCGTAATGAGCCGAGCGCAGGCTGGCGAGAAGCCGAGGGTAGGCAGGTGAGTGGGCGAACCAGCAGACCGGCGGGCTACTAGCTAACAAGAGGGCGAGCTAAAGCCGACAAGACTAGTGAACACGCTCTTGAACTCCACTGAGCTGTCCCCGCCGAGGGACTACAGCCGCCGCGACCACGAGCAGCTCGACAAACTCACCGTCATCGACATTCCGGGCCTCGGCTTCAATGACTATGTCAACAAGCGCGACTCGCGAAGTTCAACCTCAGGACTTCACCACTTCCGCCACTGGAATCTCGGTGAGTACCTACCCTCTTCTGTTCGCATTGTCATCTAGTTAGTGATGCTTATTTAGCTGCTCGATCTGCGTCGTTGCGCGTGACCATTCAAGGGCTTCTGCCCACAGTATTGTCGGTATTTCTCGACTCGGACCCTCATTCTGCTCATATACTTTGCACCAGAGTTCATTCGCCACGTCTGGCGCTCAGCTCGTATCATCCCATTCCTCTCTTCCAGTTTTGATCTCGCGGTCTCGCCTCGTCAGCATCGCGCCGGTAGTACGTTCAGCGAGTGTGTACGTTATTTGACGGTGTGTAAAGGCTGTATTATATTTTTTGTACCTGCATATGTGGGTATGAATCTCTGTCAGCGATGTGCGATGTATGGTGAAGCCGAACGCGTTGAAAGGTAAAGACAGTGACTGGAACCGAAATGCGGTGGACATTGTCTGGTCGAGACAGTACGTATTTCTTGTGTTCTCTCGGTGATATCTTACCTTCGCTGACACATCTCTTTCCGGCCATTAGCACCGCTGCACGATGCGGCGAGGGAACTGAAGATGACAAATACATGGTAAGTCATCGCAACCCAACACGAAAGTAGTGCAAGAAAAAGGGCAACTAATACAGATAAGCAAGACAGGACAGATTTCACATACAATGTGCGATAATGTGAGATCTGCGTCGTGCACTTTTGGCGATGAAGAGGATTAGGGGTGAATATAATCGGTGTAGCGGTAGCCATAGTGGCTTGTGTGTACAGTAGTGATATGTGCGAAAAAACCATCGTGGTCACGAACAAATGGAGGGAACTCCTGCAGGAGACAACGCACTGTCGATGCGGCGTTCCGATGAACGTCGGCGAAAATATGGTAGGAGATCCCAAACAGTGAAGACATGAGTGCAAGCGTGAACAACGGGACGAACGGTAAGGCTCGCGTCATCGACGTAAGAGCGAGACGCATGGTACATATCGCATACACGAACTAGGACGAGGTGAGGTGACCAGGTGTCGTCATCTGTGAACAGAGGCGCAGTAAGCGCAACAGCCAGCACGACCGCGATCATATTGTGCTTACACAGACATGCAGGAACTCAGCGCGATACGCTATGACCACCTATGCTCGGCGACGGGACGCCGATCGCCTTTTGGACAGTTTCTCGTGGTACTGCAGACCATCTCGACGCGCGTTCCGCAAACGATGAGGGTAGGGAAGCAAGCCGAGATGGCCGCGATCCAATCCGCGAGACGTTCAGGGGTACATTGCACGTCGAAGGAGATTTCCATTTCGGGGTCTTCGGCTGCCAAACCAGCGAGGACATGGTCCAGTCCGGCGCACTGCCGCGGAACAGCGTTCGCGGGTTTGGACCCGTCTAGAACGAAGCGTATGCAGGGCGCGAGCAGCGTTCTGCAGTACAGCAGCTGCGTCAAGGACTCTGAGAAGACGGTCCTAGACTGCAGGATCGTAGGGGCGCTGATCTCTATGGACCGGATGTTCAGAGTGGTAGCAGTGAAGCCTAAGATTACCGATGCAGTCAGGCACCACGATGTATTGCCCAGGTCGAACGACATACCCTTGTCATCTTCTCTTGAGCGGGAACCGGACCTCAGCACGGAGATCTGACTTTCCGTATACAACAATTCATCTTCCAAATCTCTGAAATCGCGCTCCACGTCGTGCAGAGGATATCCAAGTGGGTCTTCGGTCAGAGTGAGCCGTTCGATGGTGGCCGCAAACGGCCAGCGGAATGCATATGTCTTGAGCATCGCCGAGTAGAACCTGATGTACGAGTCCCAATGGGCTACCATCCTGCCGATGCTGATCGTCGGGTTGATGGGTTTCCTCAACTCGAGCCTATCCCACGGAAGTTTGCTATCCTGCGGAGTATAACCTGTGAAGTAGACGGAAGACCTTCGAGGCGAAGAGGAGAGTATATGGATCAAGTCTACACTATCGTCGGTATTGGCCCAGTGCAGATGAAGGCAAGCCACCTACACATGTCCACGGTGAAAGATTATCAGCAACCCCCACGCTTGCAGAGCCTGCAGACGTAAGCGGGCGGCAAGGAACACATACCTGACTCGCGATCACTGTGACGGCGTCCGATGCTGCAGGCAGGATAGTGTATAGTGACCAACAGACGTTCTCCAGTCGCAACGTCTGCACCGAGGTAAACTTCTCGAGCAGGCTGAGCAGCTCCGCGTCATCCAGCACCGTAGGCCGGCTACCCACGATCTCTTCCTCCTCCTCTTTTCCCAAGCAGAGATCACGTACAAGGTGAGGTATGCGGTTTGAATTCAACATCGGTGAAGAGACTATCGCCTGGAAAGAGATGATTTCCCTGTGTTCGCCAAATCTGACAAACGAGAATTTGTGCATGCGGGATGTCGGTAGCCATGCGCGCGATACAAGACTACATGTCTTCAGCGTAGAAGAGTACTCCCACGCGAAGTCAATGACCGCTTCGCAGAGCTCCTGAGGAAGAGTCGGGGTGCGCTGTCCTGTGCAGACGCTATTCCTCGGAGACATCAAGTATTTCGGACGTGACGAGGACGTGATCAGCCTGGTTCAAGTTCGCTTTATTATTCAAGTCAGTTATTAGATTCCTGAGCACATACCTGGTCCCAGAATCGATGGTAGCTAGCCCTGCTAGTATGTACTCGACAGCCGCGTCGACATAAGTAGTGGGCACCAGGGCAGACCGGCCAGCAGCGTCAGTCAATCCCGTGAAGTTCGGAATCGCGCCACGGTGTTTTCCGAGTCGGCAGAAGCCGACTCACTGCAATGTCGTGGCTCCCCAATCTATTTAAGGCCTGAACGTGGCTGACACCGCTACGACCCAGCGATATTCCCATTCCCGACTCGGAGGTCATTCGCCTCTGCGCGACACTGCATTCTAGGAGATTGCGCTCAGACCGTTTGAAAGTCCTTTGAATCATTGCACTGCAAGGCGAAGGTACGTATGTACCAGTCTAAGACATACCATTGCACACAAGCTCGCTCCCCGCAGTTCCTTCTTTAGTGCTATTAGATACCAAGGACTTCGATGGCCTCCATCATGCTGCAGTACGGTGCAGACTCGCTGAATCTCCCTCAAGAACTCTGCGACATGGTCATGGATTTCGCGTGGGACGATATATCTACGCTGCGGGCTTGTAGCTCTGTTTCACGCGCATGGCTTCCTACATGTCGTGGGCACATCTTTTCGTTCCTCAGACTTGGCAGCTCGGAGGCTATCACTGCTTTCCTAGCCGTAGTCTCTTCGGGCGTGATGGATTCGAGCTTCATTCCACACCTCGTCCGCGATCTCTGTGTGGGCGATGACGGGTGCCATCGTTCGGTGTTGCTTGATGCCAGGCTGGTAGACCTACTCAAGTGATTCACATCCGTCGAGATATTACGGCTGGAGCATCTTTCTTTGATGGCCCAAGAATGTTTGCCCGAAGTAGCTGATTCGCTCATACTGCTCGCGCGTAAGGTACGGAAAGGAGTTTTGCATTTACTTGTTGAACAGTGAGCCTGATCATAGTCACATCTGCTAGACTCCTCACTCCCTGCATCTGCACGAACTCTTCTTTGACTACTATGACGACCCGTTGCATCTTTTGTGCTCTTCGCCTCGAAAGCCCTCTGTCTGCATCACAGGGTCGGGATATAGGGCATGTCAACCCCCCGTGTGGATTGGAATTACGCGGATGCCCGTCTATGGAGAAGTCAGTATCGGCGACCTCACGGCCAACTTCGATTCGTACACTCATTTCGTCCTGACTATGCGGCGTGCTTATGTCTTCCGCTGGCCCCTTTCCATGACCGTCGACCGGCTTACTTTCAGCGACGACGAAACCGACCATACCGTGGGATATATAACCAATCCCGCTCAGCTTGGGGCTGACTACATCTCGGTGTTGAATTTGTATCTCGATGACTGTCTCAAACATGCTCTCAATAATGGTTTCCACAACGAGGGTGCGTTCTCCGACCACTTCAATGGTGATGCGGGATATCGACTGACGTGCTCCGAAGATTTTCTCTCGCCTATCACCGTTCTAGACATCCTAAATGTGCAGATCAATGCCCCCAGCATCCTGCATATTACCACCGTATTCTCGGACTTGCTCTGTATCCTGTTACTCCGAGGGATGCTGCCCACACGCCGCATGCATTTCATACTCGACGGACTCGAGCCCGATGATGCCATCCCGACCGTGTGTGTCGATCTAGACTGTGCCCTCTCTGTCCTAGTGAGCGAGAAGCACGTCGAGATTGTCTTCGACGTACAGTGTCCTTCGGATGGTCTTGGAGGCTGGATCGGAGCTATACTGGAATGCTTCCCCACTCTCCTTGCATACAAGACACGCATCGGAATGGTCTGCAGTACGAAATACAGTCCAAAAGGCGAACGGCATCCTGTTGCCCAGCACTGGTGGTCATAACCACGTACGCGAAAGGGTACAATGTCAATTGCACAGGCGCGTATTTCGATATTAAATACACTTGTTGATGTGCTCATCTATGTTGTCAGGTCGTCGCCACAAAAGCGGCTTCTATGTTGGAATTTTGCTGCGTCTGGAACGGCTATCCCCTTGCTATGCCTATGCCTTTGGAAGAATCCAATGCGGTGTACGCCATACGTCTAGATGCCTCATCCGCACACATCATCGGCGAACCTCGGCACCTGTGTCGGCCACAGATAAAAGGGGGTATCAGGGAAACGAACCGTGATTGTTTCATAGCATCGGAAGGTACAAGTACACTCACTACGAGCCTGTTTGCCACCGTCCATACATACGTACACTTGTTCGCGTCGACTCCAAGCTCTTGACTGGATTCAGGCAAAATTTGGATGAGACGGACCTGTTGCCACAGAACAAACATGAGCGAAGGCGCAGAGCGGTTGCAGCCTTACTGTGAGACTGAGGTGAGTACTATACTCAACGAGGACAGGATATGATATGCTCATAGCTTGGGTAAAGTTGTAATGCTGTGCATTGGTCAACGAAACATCGTTACCACCTACTCCATTGCGGAAGCAGCTCCAAGCAAGCCTTGGCCACGCCAGTGTTGCGCTCGCTCTGTCAGCACTACTATAGTACTAGTACTGACGTCACGCCGAGGAATCAGAAGTGTCTCGCGAGTTCAAGTGGCGAAGTCATGTTCGTTGTATGACACACTGGGCTATGCGCGCGATAGTGACTCGTGAGTCTCATGAACACATGCGAAGCGTTGCTCACGACTTGAGGCATCATGACCAGACAGTAGAAGGAAACGGTGGTCGATGTCTCTTGAGGGCGTTGGATGCCGAACTACGCTGCAACCTCAGCCACTGGCACGACCAGCGTATCTGCCGTTGCGACCTTTTTTGTACCTGTATGGCAGATGGTATGGCAACCTCGTATGCGTCTCCAAGCAAGGACCCTTGTTCATGCGGTCCTCCCGATGCCTGCATCCACAGTGGAAGCCCGCACTTTGCAGATAAGTGCGTGTTTTCTTGCACCGCGTTGCCGACCTTATCACTAGACTCGGAGAGACTAGTATATTTGCAAGCACGGACACAATGGCAATGGACGCTTGTCACGATGCTGATCCTCGTCTCGGCAGTGATCTGTGGCGCCTGGATGCCGTACCAGACGGTACCGCGGTATGGTTGGGCACCTCTGTACTTGGTTCTCAGCTTGGAGAGTCAGTACAGCGTAAATACTCACCATCCTTGCAGCGTCTAGTGGACCCTCACAAGCACCTCGGCGCTCTCACGTTACTGTAGGCGTCCACTGGGCATGCCGAGACACCGTCCTCTCTCATCGAACGTAGGCTGGTATGAAAGGCATATAATGCTGAATCATCCCTAGCTACCCATGCAGATATGAATCTCCTCTCGCGCGCAACAGAGCTACTCCATTTCCCTGTCATGGATGTTGCCATGCTGAGCATGCCTTCACCGTCCCTCTGGCTGTACGCCTCGTATAGACACATCATGCTCGTTCACTGGCCCGCGATTCTCTACAACGATTACAATGACGAAGTTCGGCGCCACGTCGACGATGAAAACGAAGCGGCTCTTGGGAAGGACTGGGCTGTCTTCGTAACGCGCTGTCGGGGCCGATGGAGAGTGTTCCTCGGCTGTTCCACCGTATATAACGCGTCCGTCCCGTTCAGCGTTTCTGTCTACCTCGTTGTGCGTGTCCGCTGATTCGTTTGATTGCGTCGTACAGGATCACAATCGGTCTTCTGTCTGCGTTCCCCGGGATCGTCGATATGAGCGTGATATGCGGCATCGTCTGCGTGTTCGCAAGCATGGTGTGCTCGGCTGCAGCCGTGCTATTGCGTACCCACCTCAAAGAATACAAGGACATCAGCCACGGTAAGGTGTGGCTTGCGGTGTGTATCTCGGTCCGCACGCGATCTTCACTTAAGTACTGATCATTTACTGACATCGCAGCATACCGTCAACCAGTCCCGCTGGGCCTCCATCCCCCTTCTGTTTGCCGTCCCTGACGCATGGTTTGTCTGGTACGTCAGGCCTGCTAGCGCGTGGGCGTTTGAGTGACTGGCGTATGCGCAGGGCCTCAATAACGTTCGTCATATACTTTGTCGCGTTCTGTTGGGAGCGCCTCGCCCTGGGGTCCGGCGGGAGTACCCAGCACATTGTGGAAACGCGCTTCCTCGTCGTTGCTGCTACCTTGCTGTCAATGCTGGCAGTGTCGGGTGTCGCACACGTCCTGGCGGTTCTATGGGCGTGTCACCGGCTAGACGCGCGAGTGGCAGCCGCTTTACGACAAGAGCGACATGCGCGAGTCTGATAACAATGGCTGGGTGCGTACGACTGTGTGGTGCCTTTGGCTCTCGTTGAGCCTCATTGATGAACGGCTTGTAGGAAGACGAAGTCAGCTTTGTGTGTAACTGTACTCCCGTTTGTTACTATTGATTTCAATCTCGATGCACGCGATCGTACTGCTAGGCGCATCGAGTCGAGTCGTCTGCATGTCCATAAAGTTCGCCAGATAGGTCGTACTCATGTTTTGAAGTAACTATTAGCGAGTTTGCACTCGCCCGATTTGGACCAGTGTTTCAGGCCTGCTTCGCGCGGCGCAACATTTCTCTTCGCTCCAGTCAACTGCTCGCCACACCATTGTGCAGCCTTGTTCAGCAGGTCCTCGATGAATTGCTCGCTGTCGCTGTCGCTGTGCGCCGAGGCCCTGACATCGTCTCACCTGAGGTGACCGGGGGCTGAATACGCCCATTTGGGAACAATGGCAGGTCGAACAAGACAAGGACGACCAGAGCGCGGGCGTCTAGTGCACAACCATCCTCTCCTCCCTCCCCTCCCCTACGACTCTACACCTGGACGGTCTGCGACGCGATGTCGATGTTCAAGCGCATGACCGACAAGCTCGGGCACCTGCAGGTCTCTTCGCCCAAGCCCGCACACTCACATGCGAACCTAGCCACAGGCGGTACCGCCTCAGCCACCGCCCTCCCATCCTCGCCTGCGTCTTCCTACGCATCCACCTCCAATACCCTCTCGACGTCCGCGTACCCGTATGCGAACGAGTACGGCGCGTATCAGCGCGGAAGCATCTCGACCGAGCGCACATCGCTGAGCGGGTACAGCAACAACAACTCGAACATCCCGAAGCCGGTCCCCGCGGCGACCTCCATTCCGGCCGCGAGCGCAGGTGCAGGCGCAACTGCGCAGAGGAGAGACCGGAACGATAGGGAGGAGAGTATGTACGTTGAGGATGCCCTACCCGCGAGGTTTCTGGCGCTGCGACCAAAAGGCTCGTACCGCCTGGGCGACTTCATCATCCAGAGGACACTCGGGACAGGGAGTTTTGGTCGAGTTCACCTCGGTTCGTGTTTACTCGAGTGTTCAATGTGACCGCGTTGCCAGCGATCTTTCTGGGCCTTGTCTTCGACGTCCATGCCCTTGCGGTGGTGATCTGCGTGTTCCGAGGGCTAATATCTGCATACAGTGCGCTCGAAGCATAACCTGCGCTTCTATGCGGTTAAGGTGATGCTCAAAGAGAAGATCGTGCGGACCAAGCAGGTATCACACACCCGCAACGAGCAACGTATGCTTTGCGCGGTCCAGGTGCGCTATACCCATTCACTCTGCTCACCTTTCACGCGTCGCTGATCCTTGTGTACCCGTGTTCTTCAGCATCCGTTCATCATCAACCTATGGGGGACGTTCCAGGACTCAACAAATCTCTATATGGTCATGGACTTCGTTCCTGGTGGGGAACTCTTCACGCTCTTAAGGAGATCCAATGTGCGTGTCTCATTACACTCGCCAATTACACTACATCTTTTCGTCCTATGCTCTTCCTCCCATTACCTTCTCCAACTTCGTGCGCCTGCGTCGTACTGTCCTTCTATCCCGGGTGTCGTCAACACTCTTCGCGCCGCCCAGCCGCGTCTTCCCTCATGCTTCCTTCCCTACATACCACACAGCGCAGCTGATGCATCAGCAGCGTTTTCCCGACCCAGTAGCCAAATTCTATGCCGCGGAAGTCGCTCTCGCGCTCAACTACCTGCACTCCCTCGACATTATCTACCGCGACCTCAAGCCGGAGAACATCCTCCTCAACTTCGACGGCCACATCAAAATTGCGGACTTCGGGTTCGCGCGATGGTGCGAGACGACCGTCTGGACGCTATGCGGGACACCGGATTATCTAGCGCCAGAGGTAAGTGCAATTTGTGATGCTGCGAGGTTGGCGGGCGGAGCTGTCTCCGTGGTCATCGAGTACTTCATCTGCTCGAGGAGGTGGATGACATGGCTCGAAGCATGCTTGGGCGCGAAGCACATGCATCTCGCCTTAATCTATATACTGCGAGCGGATGCTGATCGGCGCGCATTGTTAGATTATCGGCAACGCGCGCTACAACAAGTCCGTCGACTGGTACGCCCTCGGCGTACTGACGTTCGAGATGCTCTCCGGGCTCCCGCCATTCCACGAGCCCGACATCAGCCCCGTCAAACTGTATGAGAAGATCACCGTCGGTCCCGCGTACATCAAGTGGCCGGACTTCCACCCCAACGCGAAAGACTTGATCTTGAAGGTACGTTGCGCGCATGTGCTCGGAACCTGTCAGCCGCTGACGCGTCTTCGCAGCTCATGGAGGCTGACCCCTCAAAACGATACGGCAACTTGCGCCACGGCGCGGGCGACGTGTTCGCGCACCGGTGGTTCTCCGAAGTCGACTGGGACAAACTCCGCAACCGCGAGATTCAAGCGCCGTACCTTCCGAGGATAAACGGCGACGGTGATGCTAGCGCGTGCGTAGTCCCTCGCCTTCTTCGCTTTGTCAGTGTATTAATCCGGGATGGTGCGTAGGTTCGAGCGGTACCCTGAGATCGATGCGTCGATGCAGTACGGAGCCTTCGGTCCTGATCCCTATGGGGATCAGTTCCCGGATTTCGAATATACTGCCCCATAGTTGTTAGGTGTAGTTAGAATAGCAGTCAAGTGTGTGTATACTTTTCGAATGAACTGTGACTACATTTCAATGCATGACTGTACAAGGATTGACATTACTAGACGAAAATGATATAATGTAAAATGCAGATCATGTTGGAAATGAAATGCCTAGTAATACTTGGGCATAACCTGAGAACCATTATCTTGTACAAAGGAGGGGTGGCTGAGAGCATCATCATAACTGTGCATAGATGATCCTTGAATAAATTGAGGTGGTGGAGAACTGCTTTGCTCCTAATAATCACTCATGTTATGTCATGTAGTTGAATCAGGGCTGTATACTCACTTGTTGCAATTGTTCAATTTGCTCCACCAAGTGGGCAGTCTTGATCCCCAGACATATAGCCCAGGCCTTGAGTTCTAACAAAGTTGGATTGGGCACCTGACTGAGCCATTGTTTGAGGAGTTGTACTTCACATGCTGATAGCAACATCTCAATAATGCAATTAATCTTCAAGTATATGTGAGTTCAACATACCAGCTTGAGCTCTTTTCTGCTGAGATACTTGTTTGTTTTTTCTGAAGGTATGCAACCAATTGGTATGATGTTTGCGAGTGAACCATGGTATTTTCAGGTTCACAAGGGCAGTATACAGCCCCTCGCAATCCTTGGCTGAAGGATTATCATTCTTATGTTGTTCTTCAAACTCTGTACAGAATATTCAGCTACTCAGTCATAAAATTCTGAGACACTGATCTGTGGCAGGACAGCTTCCAAGTGAGCTATCCTGCTACCAATCACTGCCTGTGACATGTCACTATTGTAACAAGAAGAATGGGAACGAACCACGACGAAGCTGCTCACCCTCAGGTGGCATTTGTGGATGCCCTCGAGTCGAGGCTGCATGAGTGGAAGATGTGGACACTTGGGACATGATAGGTACAGAGGTTTGGGGGGAAATTGAGCACAAGAAGTGCATATATTATATATATTGGGCTGTTGCATGATGTGTAGATCATTACATGTCGAGTGACACATAAATCATGCACAAGAAGCCGAGGCTAGGCGAGCACTTGCCATATACAGGCACTCTCGGGCATTGCCTGACGACCTCGCTGCTTAACTGTGGGAAATTGATCAGAGCAACCTACTATAATGGGGCAGAATCTCGGCTGGAGCTGCTGAACATCCCAGTCGGCCACCAATGCATTGAACAACAAGGGCTGCATCTTTCTGGCAAAACACATGTGTGTTGCATTGAACTTGATTGGAGCTACCAAATGGTATACTTACCATGGGCAATGGTCGAGAGATTTGCTTCCGACTCAACTGGCAAAGTTGCCTAACAAGGCAGAGTAGCAAGCCCAATTAGTAAGCAAGTGCCTTTCTGGGAAAGAGCCCAAGAGGCCGCGAGACATGATGCTCCTCTGTTCATCTTTTGCTTGTCAACCAACATACATGGCACAAGAATAGGCTATGCTATGCCTGTATGTCTTAGACATTGGGCTCAATCATGTGGAGATGGGACATGATGAGTTGTGCAGCTCAAGTCCCACCTTTTTGTCAAAGGCGAGACTTGGGCTGCCCAAGCTCCGAACTGTTGCATCTCCCCTCCGAGATATGCTCATACTGCTCCGAGTCAAGGCAATTCCTCAAAGCTTTTGCTAATCATACCGAGAATCGGCTTTCAAAACACCATTCGGCATGCATGCCCACAGTCGATCCGAGTCGGTGATTCGGCGCCGCCTTTCGACAGCGAGTTCAAGCCGATCAGCTTGTACAAGCAGATTTAGAGAGTCGCGGCTTCTGACAACATACTGAATATGATGATGCCAACACTCAAACAGGCTATACATTCACCGTAAGATAGTCGCAGACTGCAAAGAGAACTTGAAGCAATCTGGTTAGAGGCGAACCATACACTACGCGGCGGACAGAAAATTTTTGACTCAAAGGCCACTGTAGGCCGCTCAGGGCGGCGCGCAGGCTTGAAGACGCCGGACGACCACTTGAGCGCACTCGGAGGGGCCGCGCGACAAAAGCGAACTCAAAGAAAGGCATGTAGACCTCACAGATTGAAGGCGGTAAAGGTAAAGATGGACCGCGTTGATATGGGCGGAAGGAACCTGGGCGGCGGAAGGAAGAGGCGGCGGAGGGAGCGGGCGGAAGGAAGGTTCACTGGCGGAAGGAAGGTTAACGGGCGGAAGGAACGAGAGGAGCATTGCAGAGCACTACGAGGTAAGGTGGACTGCGATGGTAAAGCGGAGGGGACGTGCGAACCAGAGCGAACCAGAAGCAAGGCCGACTACAGAGAGGCGAGAGGCGATTGCAAGGCGGCGGAGGGAACCAGTTGCAACAGCAGACCGGAAGGAAGGCAGACTGCGCATAGGGACCGCAAGCAGAGGCGCATCGCGAGGAGACAGTTTACAAAGAGCGGCAGTCCGCAAGACGTCGACGGAGGATCGAGAGGCGGACTGTTTACCGCAGAGTCAGAGCGGAAGGGCCACGAAACCAGCCGCTACCCGCGCTGTTCCGCCCAGGGACTCAGAGCTTAGCATCAAGACGCGAACACATTGAAACATTGCTGAGCCATAGTACACTATGCTACACTACTAATCTGTCCTGCCATCCGAGCATGCGTCCGCCGACCGACTCGGACTCCCCGCGCACCGCCGGCGGCCGACCCCGTCTACTCGCTATACCGATCCTCCTCGGTGCTCCCCTGCATCGTCTCGATGACCCTCCGCACGCGCTCGTACACCGCGAACACGATCGCCTGGCCGGGCGCAACGCGGAGCACGCGCGGCGTGATGCCCTTGTAGAACGACCGGAAGCCTTCTTGCGCCCACATGTCACGCGCGATCGCCGCGACGCGCTCGAAGGCGCTTGTCCCCGGGACGGCCGTCGCTTTTTGCAAGCCTGCGCCGGATCAACGTGAGTCAACGAGAAGTGCGCACGGGGAATGGAGGCGGGGAATGGAGCGGTACGTACGCGTCTTGATAGTATCGATCGGCGCGTTCGAGAAGGGGCCCATCGCGCCGGAAACGAGGCCGATGAGCATGTGTTGGTAGGACGGCAATTCTTGCAGGTCTGGCTGCTTTGCCAACGCGAACTTCTTCAGCTCTTGGTACGTCGTGAAGTTCGCTCCTACACCCCGTGAACGTGCGCATTAGTCACCGCAGCGAAGCTCACTCGACGGGAGTGATCCGAGCATGCGACTCACCCTGATTCGTCGCCTGCCGAAGGGCGGTCAAGGACACTCCGCGATATAGAGCGCTGAAGCCTTCCTCCCTGACGATCTTGTATACGGCGTGGCCTGCGTTCCGGTACATCGGCTGCTCAAGAGGATCCGCAAGCGAATGGGATTGTGCTTGCAGTCGGATCTTCACGACCTCCATCGGCGTCACTACAAATACCGCCTCTGTCGTGCCGGCACCCAACCCAGCTAGATGAACGGTATGTCAGTCGCACTCATCTCTATGGAACGCAAGAGGAACGGCGATGACTCACCCAAGAAGATGCTACCGAGGTTCGTAACGCCTGTTTCTTTGTTTGCGAGCATTCCCTTGTATGCCTCGAAACTCGCAAAGCGGATGGCCATCTTGGGCACAATTCCCGACAGTACCGCACCGAGACCTTTGTACAGCGCGAGTGGTGTCTCGCGTTTGACGATCATCGCCCCGGTGGCTATGAAGCCGCGAGGTTTCGTCTGTGAGATGCCGGTCAGCACAGAATGCCATCGTAGCGAGACACCTGTTTGCAGGCGCTCATTCGCGCTTGCCTACGGCAAAGCAGGGATGTATGCGTTGTATGACGTCATGGCCTGTACCGTCACGTCCGTACAACAGGGCACAGAATCACGCGCTCGTGTCTGTTGCGTTCGTGCGCCGGCATCACTAGCGGGACAGGTCACTCACGCCTGGTGCTTTGCCCGACCGCGACAGCTGCATCCGGACCTTGATGGTGTCTAATGGTTGGCAACATATCTAGTCTACGCTCGTCAGCCATTACACGCGTGAAGAGCGCATGACTCACCGCCTCCATCGCGCCCGCCATACCGCCCGCCGTGAGCTGGATGGCAAACCCTACGGGTTTCTTCGGGTCCGTCGCCTTCGACATGCTGGTATAGGAAGTGCGGAAGTGACTGTGTTCTGCGTGTTACGAGGCAGGGGAAAGCGAATGAGGGTATCTGGAACGCGTCGTCGTCAGCTTGCAGAGTCGCGTCGGGGAAGATGGGTGCTCACCGATGTCGGGCAGTGGCGAAGCGGTATAAGGGCGTTGTGGCTGCACGCCGCGGGCGCGGGCGAGAGCCTTTTAGCGGATACTTGCAATGGCGCAGCTCGCTGTCACGGAGTCATGGGTCGCGCATTCAAACATGCGGGGTTAGACATGTGAATCTTCAATGCGCCTGCCAGACCCCAACCAGGCCCTGGCGGCGATCGCCCAGGGCAGGGCGCAAGCAGAGGAAGACGTACGGTTCCGAAAGACGTCCGAACGACGACGTTTCGGCCGCGCAAGACCGCTGGGAGGTGCTCCGCACTCACCGCACATGTTTTCGCGAAGACGTCGCGTCTCCGCCCGCTCAGGAGGCGGTAGTGGATCCTCCGCACCCGCCCCGCATCTTCGCCCGGCTCTTCCCGCTCTTACCCCGCGTTGTGGTGATCACCAGGTCGCTGTGTCCGCCGGTAATCATGGTCTCCGCGTCCGGGGTAGTGGGGGGGTCGAGGCACCGGTATGGCGGTAGCCGGTGCTAACGGACGAGACGATGAGCGTTACGGTTCGCCGCCTACATAGGGTTTGCCTGCAGAGAGCCTTGTAAACGTTTCTGAGCCAAGCGGTGGCATCAACTTGTTATTTGCGACAAACGAAGGTTTAGATGAGCGAGAGCTTGTAAGCAGCGCACTGAGGGTAAGAAACTTAGAAAGCGCGATCGCCTCCGCTTGCAGGGGCGTGGGACTTGTACAGTACCGAAACAAGACGTGCGGCCTTGGAACCTGCTTGGACGTACTGCCTGGAGTCTCTGGAACCGGCTTTGCAGCTTTGGTACCTGCTTGGACATTTTCTTCTGTAGGCAGACTCTAAACACGACCTCTTTGAGTGGTGAGGACGGTCGCATGTGAGCTTGGACGGTAATTACCAGTGAAGGAGGCAGAGTCCGTAGCGTTGGACTTACAGCACGTAAATAAGTACTAGCTCGATGTCGGCGGCGACAACTGTCTTGACTTCAGAAACGGCGTGTGGACTGTCGTTGCTCGCAGCTCAGACTTCTTCGGATTCGCAAGGGTCTAGGGCATGTTTGTCAACGTAAATCGTATACAGTTGGAGTTTTCCTATGTATAATAACCCTTTAAACCTACGGAGACAGTCCAGCCATGGACGTGGGCTGCTCGGCGTAGAGAGGATAAACGACTTTCGTTCAAGCTGAACCGGCGCTAAACCCTTCGTCGAGTGTGTTGAATGCGTGCACGCGAACTTCGTCTGGCGCTTCCGCCACCAACCCTGGTCCAACGCCCTCCGAGTCTGGTTCTCCTCATCCTCCCGCACTGGCGGTTTTCAGCTCGCCGCGAGTGTCCTCACCGAAGGGAATGCCTATTACGACTGACTGTATTGGCCAGCCTCAGACCAGCTTCGCCGGGCCTATAGATCAACGGACACTCTCGAGTACTATGACACTCGAGGCTGTATGCGTCCCTGCGTTTGCTTGTGGCACTGGCGGTGGGCTGCGTAAGCAGTACTTGCAGGTAAGTGCTGTGCGTCCCTCCAGAGCGCGGGCAACTTGAAGCAACGTTAACCGGGATATATGCAGGTGAGATGCTATTCCAAGGTAGTTTGTGACGGATAGGTCACTCGCGGGGCGTGTCGGTCAGCGCATGGGCGAATGTACCTCACTTGAGTGTGGGCAGAGAGGCGCATCGGGATCAGCCCGCAGCACTGCGACGTGCACCGAGTCACGAAGCACGCCCCTTACCGAGGATGCATGGAGGGTTGGGCGCACGCTGCGTGGGAGGCGAACACGACACGACGAGAGAAAGAAGGGCACGGTGAGTATCAGGCAATGAAGAAGTGTTACAAGGTGAGGATGTGGCTCGTCTCGTTGTCCACGCGCTCACGAACGGCCGATCGCCCGACTTGAACCCGTTCGCTGGATCCAGAAATGGGTCTTTCCAAAGTCGCCGTGATGGATAGCATCCAAAATGACCTCATTGGACACTATGCTGGTACTGACGATACCTGCCGCTCGTGCTTCACCAGAACATGCTCAGCAGACCTGACAGCACCCTCTCCAGATGTTGCATGGCATCCTCGGATATCATATAGCATTTCATATGTGTGAGCGCATACTCGTTCGTAGTCTGTACTTCATGACCTGAGCCATTCGAATATTCATATCGTCAACATCATCCCAACTGCAACAGCTGTCGTGCCCATCCAACCTACCACTGGTAGGTGCATAGCAGACGCTCCAGCCACCTTTAAGTTCCCCGTCGGCTTCGTCGGCAATGTCGTAGTCGTCGTGAACTCCGTGTTCGTGAACGAAGTAGCATCACCCTGGACCACCCTCGCTTCAAACGTCCGGTTCAGCAAAAAAGTCTGTGTCGAGAACGGTGCGGGACCGCAGTACGACTCATTTGCCTGCACCGGGTTGGAAGATATTGTGTACATGAAGTTCCACACGACGGTGTACGTGCCGGTGTCATGAGCGATGGCACAGCCAGAGTAGCCTGTGCCAGGGTAGGAACCACACGACCCGAGCCCGGTGTTGTTATCGGTGTTCACCCCGACCCTCCCGACGTTTGTCCCATTCGGTGCAAGCATACTGATGTTCACGGCCTCGATGAACCCTGGGCAGCACGGGTGTCATGAGTCGCAACGGCGCTGGGAAGCACGCGACGTACCGTAGTATCGCGTCTCGTCTACGGGCTCTGCCCACCCGAAGCACACGGTTGAGTTCACTTGCACTTGGCTAGGTGGCACGAGGAGTGTGAGCTTGTCCGGCGGAGAAGCTGTGTATACAACGAAAGGAAAGGCCAAGAGACAGTATAGGAGCGGCGCGAAAGGTCACATTATCGGTGAGAATGTGAGGGTGAACGGGATGTGTGAGCGGGGCTGGAACCATGAGAGGGTCTCAGCTGCTGTTCGTTGAAGGGTAGCTAGTACAATGATAAGTTATGGTGGACTGCCTCTACTTATATAGAGTCGCGTATATAGCACTCGCGTCAATGGGACAGACAGACAATGCCGCGACATCATACATATGTACCAAAGTCACGGTCTCCATCATTCAAAGACAGGTCTTGGCCTGCCAACAATGACAGCTTCGGGGCGTGTGCACTGCCATGTGCCATACCAGTAATAGGTAGGCTGCCCCATATGCATCATGCGGGCACAGCTAGCGCTACCTTCCGCATTACATGTTATTAGAGACTGAAGCGAAGTAACGGGACAAAGCATCTACGCAGCTCACATACTGGGCCTAGATGCCGCTAAGCTGCTGGAGCTTTTCCACTTCATCGAGACCTTCATCTGGAAGCCGACCTTGCGACACCACGGTGGTAAGGGAATCCGAATTTGAGAAGGGGTCCATTTAGCCGTGGCTGAGGACGTGGTGGCGCCCCAAAGCTTCTTGACAGTGACAGTGGGCACCAAGTCATAACAACAACACCTATACTGGAGTAGCGTGACTCATGGGCGGACGCTGCGCAATACTGTGCACGCCCTAATCGCTCAGGGCAGCTCCAGAAGCCCCGACACGAGCAATGATGGCCTCGCACGTCGCGAGACAAGACGGTGCACATAGCATGCCATTGATCGAGAGCGCGAGCCGGCTGTTGTAGTAGAAGCCGGTGTACAAGCAGCGAATCTCGACGATGACAGAAGTACCAACGCAAACCAGGCGGAAAGAGCTGATCAGAGCAGGAACCTTCTGTGACTGACGTGTGGGCCCAAACCGACATGCGACACGGCACATGTCGATGGACCAAAGATGATGACACCCTCAGCCTCAGCCAATTTGCCAGGCAAGTCGAACAGCTGCGAGCATGCAGTCAGCGTCCCGGCCAAGGCGACGATAACGATCAATGTACGAACACTGATCGAGCATGACCTTTTCCTCTCCTTGTCCACCGGCCTCGTATCCTCCCTCCTTCGTTTCCAGCTTCTCGTGGGAAGCTCGAGCATCCTCAGGCCAGCTCGGTCGCGCTAGCTCCTTCTCAACTCGGGACGTCATGAAGGAGGTTAGACGTGGGCCGAAGAGGATGGCGGTGCGACAAGCCACGGGTGGCGGGGCTGGACGACGAGCCGCGGGTGATGATACCGAAGAGAATAGAGCAAAACGAGGGCATGTTCGCCGTATGTCGGGCTGCCAGGTGGTTTCGGAGCGTAGAATTACCGTACGCGCGCCGCTGTTAACTCACAGGCGGGGCACGATCGCACTACACCTAGGCCACGTACGGGCGCCACGCGGCTGTCCTCGCGAGACGACCTGACCGTGCTCAAAAGGTCCGGTACTTCGAACATCTGCTGGTGGGAAAGGTCAAATCAGCGCTTTATAGGTGAAGAGAACAGGGAAAAGGGGACGTACATCCGATGCGAGACTCGGAAAGGCTTGCACTCTCCACCCTTAACCAGCGCAGCCCATGCATCTTGACTACGCAGCCAGACCAGGGGTCGTCATTTGTCCCCGAAGGGTCAAAATGATGCCCACACAATGCCTGTAAGTATGCGAGGGCAATGCGCAGAGTGGGATCCGGAGTGCGCGAGAGCCACCGCGCCGCGTCCGGCGAGGCTGCAAGTGACATGTTCGTGACATGTTTGTGACATGTCCGTGACACTTCCTCTGCACAGTACTTTCCTTTTCTGGTACAACGCCTTCCTTCTCGATCAAACGGTCACTCGTCCAACCATGCTGCTAAGTTCCACTCGTCATACTTAATTCGTTTGCCTCGCTCGTCGTGATTCGACTTTGAACGTCACTCTACCTTTTTGCGACGTCATTTTCTGCTCCACTCGTGTCTGCGTTGTGCACATAAAAGCTGACCATGGTGCCCGTCTCTGCACGGATCTTTCCCCTCTCGACTGTCGCGCATATCTGCTCCCTCACGTATGCTCTCGATCTCTCGCTCGCTCGTCGACTAAAGAGGTTTCCAAGTCAGCACGCCCAGTCGACAACAGGCTGAATATTAAATGTAGCACTAATGTCACAGTCGCCGCCAAGACCTTGGTAAGTACGCATTTGTTGACCTTTTTTCGTGAAGAGTCACCCATTTCAATCCTAGATCAGAGCTTGTCATATGTTGCAAGATTCGACGATCACTGGCAGCTGCGACCAGGAGGAAGCTCGGTGTTGGGAGCGTAGTCCAGCGTTCGACAAGATGGGCACATGACGGTGAGTACCACACAGGTCGTTGGGCAATCGTAAATTATCTGATAACGACGAGTTCTGCCCGGATCAGAGAACGTCCACCCACCCGCTGTGCCATTCCAACGACGTACCTACTCCTACTGGGAGTCGCTGCCGCCCTTCATCCTCAACTTAGCCATCATGCAACGACGACGGGAGGATACAGAGCTTCCGACCATTCCACTCGAATTGCACGACAACGTTATCAACTACTTATGGGACGACCTATCCGCGCTGGGCGTGTGCAGCCTGGTGTCGCATACATGGCTTGTTACGGCGCGCTCGCACAAATTCCGTACTGTAAGCTTACAGTCTTGCTACAAGCGCACGGGATTCGAAGAGCTTCTCGACTCCCCCCTTCTCAACTCGTGCAGCCTTGCGCGCTATGTTCACGAGCTCCATATCGGCGTTGATCCGCAAGACAATGCCGTCTGCGAGCCCAAGCTACAGCGCGCGCTATGGCACGACCTCGGCCTCATCAGGCTCCTGCGAGAGCTCACGGAACTGGAGGTACTACGACTTGAGAACCTCTGGTGGGATCCGTCGCTCCTCTCGCAGGAAATGGCCGACTACCTCCTCGCGTACACACGGAAGGTGATCGTCCAGCGCGTCTCAGAGTTCGGACTCTCATCTTGTGCACCAGGTAAAGCATCTCCATATATGCAGCGTTGCATTTCTGCACATGGGTGATATGCTCCGTGTGCTCTTGTCCGCGCCAGACTCGGAGCGCGCGTCCCTCGTCCTGTCATGGTGCAGCGCGGATAGCCATTCCATCCCGGCTGCGTCACTCGCCGAGTTCTCCGGGAGGGACATACGCCTCGGTAGGTAGACGCAACTTCGTATGTTGGGTTCTGCATGGCCATCTACCGAGGTATTTTAGCCCGCACGCAACTGGTGGTCCTGGTCGACGAGCTCAAGGTTACCGCCGGGAACCGTCAAAGACGATTCATGCTGCACGAAACAGTCGCATTTCTGAGCCGGACATACGAAGAGGTGTTCCGCCGGCGAGTTGACCATTCACTAAATCCAGTCGCCTGTGAGTGGTCACGGTACATCATCACCCCGAAGGCTCAAGACTGACTGCCACGCAGGGACTTTCGGGGAGACGTCGACGTCATCTACGTTCATTCGAATCAATGAGCTCCTCGTCGACTTCAGAGGTGAAGAATTGCGGGACACAAACTTTGCGCATACCGTTGTTGACCTCTTCAACATCGGCGTTCTGCGTGCCCAGCATATATGCTTCGATTTCGGGACGCACAGTCCGCATTGGGACTGGACGTCCGATAGCCATCTGGACGATGCACTCGCACAGCTTGCGCAGGAAAACTCGGACCTCGAAGTCGTTTTCCGTATAGAGATGGCTCGCGGCTGCGATTCGATGTCCGAGTGGATTGGGGCTATCTCATCCTGCTTACCCAGGCTTCTGTGCAGTTGCGCACGAACGAGTCTAGTGTGCTCTGTGCAGACCTACACGGGGTTCCAATACACGATGGAGCATTGCTGGTCACAGTCACAGCGGGCACAATGACCTGGTACGTATGTCATCCTGGATGTCTACTGGGTCACTCACAGAGGATTCCAGCGGGCCGACGGCGGTCTGCATACATTTGCCACCTGATCGCTATGGTCTAGTGTGCCTACATTCTTTCTTTGGAAGCACCTGGGGGCAGTGGTGTGCCACCGCCATTACCTTTATGCTCTTCCCAATAATGCTTACATTGTACCCGGGTACAGGTTCGGAGGTAACTCGGAGTGGCTCACATTCCGGTGGTGTATAAGTACTGCGCGGTTCGAAACAATGGATTGTAGGACACCAGGACTTCACTCTCTCATTCGCCACCACCCGACCATCGATCAGCGTTTGCCCGACTCCCAACGACCGCTCACCGTCTGCAAGCTCAAGCACGCGCCCGCGTCCGAGTCGCCGAACCCGAGAACCCGACAGCCACCCGTGTCGACTTATACCTCCCACCACTCCGAGCCGTCGTCGGACCGACAACATCGCTTCGAAACCTGGGTTTATTGAGACGTCTGTACCATCTTGGCAAATTTGATCCTTGTCCCGACATTCCCAAGTCATGCGCCGTCCTGCGCGACGCACTCAGGCTCGTCGGAGTGGCGCTGCCCGGATCTTCCGCGGAGTCTTCCCCCAGGAGCTATGTGACATGGTCATCAACCTCGCATCCGACGACCAGTCGACAATGAGGGCTTGTAGCTCTGTCGCGCGCTCCTGGGTGCGGACCTCTCGCCCGCACATCTTCAAGATCGTTACATTCAAGGACTGGGACGACGTCACCGCTTTCCTGGCTATCATTTCCTCGCATGTGCTCCGCTCGGACTGCATCGTTGATCTCGTCTATGATGTCTGCATCAGTGAAGATGCGTCGGCAATTCCTTTGGGGTCCCCGTCGCTGTGGAAGCATGATAGGCTCCCTGATGTACTGAGAAGATTCAACTTTCTGGACACACTACGACTGGACCGACCCTGGTGGACTCCGCATCGTGTTTCGCCGGTTGTCGCAGAGGCGATCGTAGAAGTATCTCGCAAGGTATGTACATTGCTGAGATTCAAGAGACACGTTTATTAGTTTCTGATTACTGTTGTCTCTAGGCCGCCCGGTTATACCTGTACGACGCCTACTTCAAAGATATTGATGACATGGTGCCCCTACTCTCCTCCGCGCCACAGAGGTCTTGCGTGTGCATCACAAAGCGACCCACGTTAGAGTACTCTCTCATGAAGGAGACCTACCCAATCCATCAGAAAGTCAGCATCGATACCTTCAGAGGTGATCTCGTCGGGTACACCGAATTCTGCCTTGCCATGCGTTCGGCGTCCACCATCAAGCCGCCGTTCTCGGTGACCATCAAGGAAGTTCATCTGGAAGATACCAACTGTGACCACGTTGAGGATGTCGACCCCGACGAAGCTGGCAAAATCCAGGCTTTCCTCGCCTCCGTGAACCTTAGCATGCTCACAGGAGTCAATCCAACGATACCTGGTATGTCGTCCGTGAATCCCCTTATAATGGCACTGGGCTGTACTCACATTCCCCACAGGTATATTGGGAGGCTACACGCGATTGACCAATTTGGTCGTTCATTCCTTGCGCATTGATTGCCCGACACTCCTGGAAACAGGGAACATGCTCCCTAGGTACCTAGTCCAGCTCCTTGAATGGCGTTTCGTCCCAGCGCGTCAAATCCATTTCGTCGTCGACGGATCTGTTGACGATATGTCCCCACGTGCTCCCGACAGGCTGGATTCTACCCTGGACAGCCTCGCACTGGAAGATCCTCCAGTGGAGGTCATCTTCGACACGCGTTCGCCTGCTGATCGTCTCGAAGACTGGATCAAAGTAATCTCAGCGCGTTTCCCTAACTTCCTCGCTCGAGGCACACGTGTCGGTGTGGTCTGTTCCGCTTTAGACGGTCCGAAACGCGAGAGGCGTCGTGTCGCGGAGCACTGGTGGCCATAATTGTGCCACAACAACCGGAGGCAAATCCAAACATTGGCCTTGGTAAGCGGCTCCATCTACGGCAATATCTCTGTATCTCACTTATGGCCAATGCTCATGTTACTCAGCTCCTGATGGCAGCCCCAAAGTATCGAATTTCGCTATAGCTCCAAGCGCGTCACCACCGATTCGCCTGTTGACCGAAGTAGAAGGAATACGCATCAGAAGATCTGTACAACTACCCAAATCTCGCTTCGATAATACTTCTATGTCTCCCGTGTAAGATGCGGTCACCGTGCCTCCTAAATGTCAAGGCCACAGCCGTCCCAGATAGGTAAGGCCTCGCGAGCCATTCAGCTAACGCAAAGTGCCGCCTCGAGGTGGCCCTCTCTCACACCCCGTGACAAACCTGCCCCCTTTCCTCCAGGTTGGTCGTTGTACTGACGTGTGGCGACGCTTTGATATGGCTTGGTAGCGCCTTTGTCTATGAGAACCGTGTCACCTCGGCAGATCTACCATCCATCCCGCTTTGTCAAGCGGTGACGATCGTGGCGCGGCATGACAATCTCAGGGATGATCCTGAGAACACCAAGCGTTTACAGCCCCCTGACGACCAACGTATATAAGCAGCAGGGATGCTGGGTAGGAGCGCATAACTCACTGCACCTCCCCGAGTCGAGCACCGTTGACGAAGACACGATGCGCTCGCGCCAAACTCGACCGGCGTTCAGCCTAGCAAGTCTACGCATGCGCTATGAGCGTCCTGATTCAATCGTCAAGAATGCGTATCCCATGCACGCAACAAGTCCAACCGCTGTACGCCCCGTTCTCCTAGCTCCTGATCATTGCCTGTTGCTTACCTCTGTTCCTGGCCAGGAAAAGCGCTTCTCCGCATGTCGCGAAGTCGGCGCTGACTCTACGCGGCAGAGCTACTGTGGCTGGAGACAGGCAGAACGATGCGGGGCTGTATCGCGTGCGTGCGCCGGACGCCACCTCTGCCAGACAGAAGTGGCCACCTCTGACGCCGGTGCCGTGGTACTGACCGCGTAAAGGCGGCGGTCCATCCACGCTGCGCACCGAGAAGCGCGACACGGAGGTGGGAACACGAGACGGAGGGACCCAGGTGGGATTCGACAAGGTGCTGGAGGTAGCGGTGTGTGATCCTGGTTGTGCATGCGCATCGGTCGGGTCCGTATGTATGGTCTTTTCTTGCAGGCAACGAACTGACGGCATGTTGTAGTAACTTCTGGATCGCATACAAGCTGCGGACCGAGTCATCTCCATGAAGCTCCAACTCGCCGCTGGCTTCAGCTATGCGAAAAGACCTAACGCGATCTGATGCTGGTCGACCATCTACATTGTGCAGGTTGGTATCACTGATCTTTTCTCGTAGACAACGGACTGACATCGTGAGTTCAGCAACTCAGGCATGGCCATATGAGCTGCGGAACGGGTTCCCTTCATGAACCCCCAATTCGCCATCGGCCCCGGCTTCCGTGCACAAAGACTTGCTCGCACCGACGTAGTCGTCTTATGTGTCAAAGCCGCATGATGTATGCGATGTACACCGAATCTGTAGCGCCGTACCACACCTCCATATACTTACAACAACGCATTCTCCATATTCTCTGGCAAATTCCATGCTTTAGACTTGCGCCTCTAGTCTGTGAGTTCACCGTGGTGATATGTACGGTATTCATTGTCACTCAAGGCGAATCGTCGGGGTAAGCGATCGGCAAGTAGTGTAAATAATGTAAGCGCCGAAACGCGTTCGCGCAGTCACGGTGTCGCGAAGGAACGACGCCGACCAACGTCGCTACCGCGTCTTCGTCGCCGACGACGTTCTAGTCAACACCGTGGTCGCTGCGACCCCAACTCCCCTCCTCCTCCAACCCATTGTTCACCTCTGTCGTCGCAGGCGCGCGCTTCCGGCGGACACCGCTCGCACTGCCGCCGCGACCCTGGTAGCTCGTACACCGGAACGCTCTCGGCAAGCCTTCCAGAAGCACCATCGCTCGCAGTTGCGTGGTCGTATACGTGTAGAGCCTACGCGTGCCGCCTTTTCTCTGCTGGCATACACGAGCGTGCTACTGAGCTCGACCTCGAGCTTCACTTCCGTCCCTTGCTTAGGCTGTTCTGGTGGGTAAGATGAGCGTGCACGAAGAGGCGGACTTGGGCGAGGATCGCCATGCGCGTATTGAGCAGGTGCGTCTCATTGCTATGGTCGCTGCGACCGGCGTCCATGTCTAATACACCGATAGATCTTCCAACGCGTCGAGGAGGAAAGCGAGCGGCGCGCACAGGCCGCTGCAGCAGCAGAGCAGACGCGTGCAGCGTCGCGCCTGTCGCAGACACTCCCGGACGACGCAGCGTCACACACGTCCGGGACCAGCACGTCGTCACCAGTCGCTGTGACGTCGGCAAGGCCGGTCGTTGGAGATCGGAGACGGGGGAGCGTGTCGGTGTCGAGGTTTGGGCAGGTACGTCTCGTCTGCGTCGCGCTGTGGTCAGCAGCATTGACGCGAGATGCAGGGCTCCGTTGCTAGCAGGAACGGCGACGCGTCCCGCGCGGAGACACCGACGCCTGCGGCAGCGTACGTCGTCAACAAGGGTGCGTTCTACGCCGTACAGGACCACGTCAGTCTCTTCCGCCTCCTCTCATCTCCCGCCCGGTGCTGACCCACCCTCTTCCAGCAACACGGCTCCGCGGACTCGCTCGCCTCCACCGCCGAAGCCAACCCTGTCTCTGCCCATTCCCCTAGCTCGCCCGCGCACGAGGAAGAGTCCATCGTGCAGATGGCGACCATCGCAGGGCGGCAGTCGCTCTCGCGCGCGTTCACGCGCGGCCTCTCGCGCAGCAAGACGCCGTCGCGAGCGGGCCTGGAGGGCGTGCTCATCGGCGTGTCCGTCGAAGAGGCCACCGTGGAGCACCACTCTGACGAGGGCGATGCCACCGAGGAGGCCGGCCCTAGCAGCGCGGGGGCAGCAGCATCCTCGCTGGCGGTCGAAGGGCTGGAGAGCAGGGCTGGACGCGCCAGGGCGGCCAGCCGTAGCGTGGTCTACGCTGGGAACGGGCCGCCGCCAGGGAGTCCGTTGACACCGGGGCCGGGAACCTCGAGCGGTCCTGCACCTACGGAGCTAAAGGCAAAAGGCTCGAGAGCGTCGTTGCCCGGGACGAACGGTGAGGCCAAGACAGAGCGGAAATGGCTCTCGCGCGCGAAAACGTTCACGAGGAAGCTGAAGAGAAGGAGCATGATGGCGCTGGGGGCATCACGGTAACCCGGCGGTGTCCCAGATTGCTGGTGGTTGTATACCGGACTTCTCGTCGTGCGTTTCATGCTTTCTTCGCCTCTCACTTGTCCCTTGCTCCTCTCCTCGCGCTACTCATTTCATACACTCCGCTCGCTGCATATTCACGTCAAAGTATCATACATTCTTCTAACAGTCGCGTCGCCGCGATACCACCATACCATACAGCCGTGTTATCTGTCCGTTCGTTCTCGCCCGACACCACTTGCACGGACACCTCTCATTCAATTGCTTTGCAGTACAGTACATTACGTCGTTCTCGGAGAGTAGTAATAGACCAAACGGAAGGAACACTACAGTATATCGTCGGTTACATCAAACCCCTGTTTCCATACATCCTCCCATACCCCCATCACACCTAGCTAATCTAGCTAATAATTGTTTTTCATTGGGTATGCCATACTCACATCTACATTGCTCTCGTTGATCGTATTTCTTTCCTGAGCGATTTTGTGACTGCGTCGAGTCAAATTGAGTGGCTGCTTTCTTTGAGATTCTATATAGACGGTTCTACGGTAGCTCATTGCCTGTCAACCATAGCTGGTACGTATATAAGAGTACTGTTCTGCGTCCTGGACAGTGGATCACCTCTTGATCTCGAACTCTCACCTCGAGGAGGTTCAGAATGCTCTGAATCATCTCGGAACGAGTGTGGCAGTTGTTGTCTTCCAGCTTCTCTGACTACTAGGCACTATGCCGAGAATTAGGTTTAGATCAGTGCAAGACACCCAAGCATGTGTGCATACAGGTCACTACTCATAACGGTGAGTACTCGCTCCTTATTGACGACTTGGTGGGCTACTGTCAAATGCCAGTGGTGCGTTCTATAGCAATTATCTTATCCTGGGTTTGATGGACAGTTGCGAGATATAGCTGCTTGCGTGAGCTGGTGAGTACTGGACGGTTCATGACTGTATTCAATTTGCTCACTTCAAGTCTGCATTGTCGTGTAATTGCAGATGCAAAAGGCACGTCTCAACGCTCTTCTGAATCAAAATGGGCATTATTCCACGTCTCTCTTTGACTGAGCAGTGGTTGAACGTTGAACGGGTGACTTGATTTCGCGTGTAGGCTCGTAGGCGAGCCTCCTAGCTGCTCAGCCTATACGTAGATCTACCAGTGGCTGCCTTTTGAATGTTTCCATCAAAAAGACCGAGGAGGAAGCCAGGAGCTCGAGGAAGCGAGTGACCCGGCCATTTGGAAGCGCCCATTTTGTTAGGGCGGCAATGTGAGTCCCGGGCCGTTCGGATATCCCTCAGACGAGTCTGAACGATGTCCATTCCGCTGTTCACATCGTGCTGAAGAATGCTATCCTAGCGCGGAAACATTGCGCAGTAGAGAAGGACAAGTCTCCTGGCTTGCAATCCCTGCATTGAAGTAGACCGCCAGCGGTGGACGCCGGCGCAACCGACCGAGATCTGACGGCGGCGATGGTCGCCTTCTCTAAGCTCGTGACGGTGGTCGAAACAATTGCATCTCGCCCCACATAAATCGCGGTCTCCTGCTTTCCATGTCCTCGTCCCCCTCGTCCCCCTTGCTCATGCCCATGTCGTTCACCGCCCAGCGCGGCTGATTCCTTTTGCTCTGACGATTCTTTACTCCCGCCAGTCCGCCCTGAAAAATCAACGCACGTTCTCCGAGCGCCGAGGCCGACTCGGACACGCCCGCCCGTCAGGCTCATACATATCATCAGGCTCGTTCGCTCTTAGCTCGAACGCTCACGGAGGCGGTGCGTCACTTGCCACTGAGGCTAGCGGTCGCCATCTCCCCTGCGCCTCTCTTGGACTTTCATCTCTTCTCTCTTCATTTTCCTCTCCATGTCCGTGTCGATGTCCATCTCCACGCCCTACTTGATGTCGTTCCCCTACGTGAGTTATCATCTCGTCTCACTTTTCTGTCACGACTCCACCTCGACACTGCTATTGATCGTGTCGGATGGATGTCTGACTGTAACGTTGCTCTGCAGGTGTATGATGGCTCTGCGCAGCCACTAATGTCCGAGTCCGACTCATATGAGTCTGTGCTGCCACCGGCGTACGCCGTCTCCCAAGCCTCGGCTTTCGAACATTCGGTCTGTTCGCCGCCATACAGTCCTCGACCGTTGCCCCGGCCACCTAATGTCGCCTCTATACTGTCGCCGATACAGTCGCCTAGGCCTGCGAGTTCGCCGATTGACCTCGCTGCTCTCTACGACGACGACGCCCCAGACCCGATCCTACCTCCAAATGACGCCTACTCGTTCGTCCCCTCGGGCTCGGATTCAGATTCGGATTCGGATTCGGATCCGGGTTCAGATGTCACGCTACACGATGAGCCGCTACCTGAAGTGTGTCCTACACTACAACTCTGCCCCACAGAAGTTGTCGACAGCACGCTCTCACCTGTGGATCCGGCATTCCTCGGCAGCCTCGATATCGACCTCGTAGCTTCACCCCTCGATGCATGGGCAGATGTTTGTTATGCCGACTCTGTCTTGGAAGATAACGCTAGTGAAGACGACGAAACTGGATCCGGAAAGGACTCGCCACACTACCAACGACCAGAGAGTCGGCATGCGTTCGCGAGCCGTGTTCACTCTCCACACACGGGCCACTCCGTGATCGAGCACGTCCCGCTTCCATGCACGCTCGGGTCTACGGCGCCGAACACAACCGTGAAGCCAATGTCCCCGCCACCCCTTCCGTCCACCCCTTCCTCTCCTCCGCTTTCGTATTCCCCTTCCTTATCACGCTCTACGCCGACCCTCGCTTCTCCCCGTGCCCGTCGTGCACCCTTCTCCCTGGACACCATTCGCTCGCAGTCCCCACTCACGCCCGAGTCTGAGGATGACGGAGCACATGCAGACGACGAGGGCGACGGGGGTTACGGGCGTGCGAACGACCCGCACTTAGGCCTCCGGGGCTGGACGCCTCCGCGCGTATGGACGGGGTACGAGATGTGGGTGCCCGTGGCGGACGTCGAGGAGAAGGTCACCGCGCTGCATCTCGACCTCGGCGCTCAGCGCAGGGCGGACGGGCGGGAGAAGGGAGACCTGGAGCAGGCGGCGCTACCGCAGCGTGTGCAGTTCAATATGCGCCCGACGTCGCCTGTGCCCGGCTACCCGCTCTTGTTCAGCCGCGAGCCGCCGAATCCTGCGGATTCGGTACATTTCTTCCCGAAGAGGTGTAGAGATGAGGAGGGCGAGGATGAAAAGCCGAAAAGAGAGAAGAGCTTCTCAAGGAGGGTTGCAAGCCTTTTTCGATGAAGTGGGGTTGGCTTGCGGGTCGGGGTTGAATGGATCGTCGGTGCGACAGCCTGCGCGCGCTCCAGTCGTCTATCTCGCAGCACTCCCGCTGCGCATGTCCGTCTTTCACCACCTCACATTCGAATCCTCTCAAACGTCAAGACTTCACGATTCACGACTCGTCACCAACAATGACTCTGTCTACGTGCGCGCTCGTACAGACGCTTGGTCGCTTGGCTACCTCTTGTTCGCCGCCGCTGGAAGACGTCCAAAGGGCCGTTCTGCATGCGGACTTCGTTACCTTACTAGTCGTAACTATTGCTCAGTTACTCCGACCATCTTCCATCTCGTATTCTCTGCATATCTCTGCATCTCCCATTCATCTTCATCATGACCAATACACGTTCAGCCCTGCTTCCATCTCTCTGGGCCACCTCTGAGTATCCACCGCTGCTCGGTGTTCCACGCACTGTCACTATTTGACTCCGCGTTAGATTCACCGTCTTAGCGTTGTACTGTATGTCGCTGTATTCTCCTCGCCCCCTCTCCAACTGTACATCCACTCGCTCCCTGCCCTCCTTCGCAACGCCTGTACATCCCACACTCCCTACCTTAGGCCGGCCCGTGCCGGAACTGCTAAAACGTGTACAGTACGTGTGCATGCTGTCTGTCTGTATCACTCCTCTCTCTTCGCGCTCGCGCTCATCCCCTCTCCTCTCGATATGCGAGCGAATGCTGCTTCCTCCTCCCGCTGGTTGTCGGTACACTATACAGTCGGCTTCTTGCATGCTAGCCGTGCACTTCGTCTGCTTCGATTTTATCTAGGTTTGCTTATCTTGCTTCGCATAGATCCCTGTTATGCGTGGACGAATGCTGGCTGCTTATTCTTCTTTATGTTATGTCTCATGCGGATAGTGCTAGGGATCAAAGACTAGTGCCTATTACCGTACCACAATCAGCCTTCATGCTGCGGCATTATTGACATCCAAATCAGCAAGTGCACGACCTATTGCTTTGTATGCGCGGGCAGGTAACCTCAATCAATACACTTCGATTGAGTTCAAGTACTATGCATTGGATATGGAGGTGTGGTACGGTCATCTTCTACGACTAATGTAGCTGATGTCTGAGTTTCCCAGATTACAACGATGCTCATCTGCTGCTCGTCAAGCTCAACTGAGAGCTGCATAAGAGAACCCCAAGAATTCAGTGCCGCGGGTCAGGGCTGGTGATTATCGCCCAAGTCCAGGAGGTATGTCTGTCATGCATCATCTCCTGCTCACGCATTGGCGAGGGAGTCCGTAGATGCCGCTCGAGGTCATGGCCACCGTTCCAGACGCAGGCTCCGCGGCTTGTGACCGGACAGGTGAAGTCCTGACCTCTCGGGGTGTGGATGATGTCTTGAGGCGGGATGGCGCGTCCCACGTCTACGGCGAGGCCATTGTGACGTCGGCAAGCCTAAGACGGAGGCGAACCAAGGCGGGGGTGACCATTGACTTCAGTCCAGTGAAGCTTGACGTCGTTCACGGATGGCGTAGAGTGTGCTAAGGCTTATCCCGGAACCATCTGCGAGCTTCTCAACTCGGTGCCGGTGCATCCGCGTTGTGTTTGTTCTCTGTGAGAGACGGGGAACGCCCTCATAGGGTAGTCGGATACGGCGATTCGTAGGCATGCCTGAGGGTCATAGCCACCCAAGCTCGATCTCGATGACCGTCGCACGAGCTCCGGTGGATGTCTAAGCGAAGTGTGAGTCAAACAACTACACGGATGAAGGGAGTGCTGGACGTACATCCGAAGGCCATTCCCGTTCCAGCAGATCCCGATCAGGCCTCACTCCAAGGCCTGGTCACAGAGAAAACCCCAATTGCGGCGCCGCTCCTGGATGCATAATCACGGGCCGAATTGGCAGATGCAAGTCCAGGGCGCTCGCGCCGCGTGACGACCGATGGGTGATTGAAGCCACATCTCGCTCTTCGCGGGCGAGGCTGCCGTTGAACAGCGTGTTCACCCTGTATGAGATAAACGAGGGTCAGCGAGCAGAACGGGGGAGCACTGAGAAGCGAGACATACGAAAGCTGCGATCAGGGTGCACGTTGTTGACGATTGAATCAGGAAGCTCGAAAAACATACTACGGTCGCGGGGTTTGCACCGTCGACGAGGCTGATAGCAGTGCATGGTGGTTGAGCGAGACACAGGGGTGTCGGATAACGCTGGTTGTTGGTCGACTGTCGCGGTTCCGCGGGCTTTTATACGTGCGCGGCCTCCTCCCCTATGGCCACACATTCCCGATCTAGGCGAACCATGGTAGTTGCTATGCAGTGTAACCACATGCGGTGTCGTGGCACCCCTGAGTTCTGGTCAAAGCGTCTGTGTGTGGCGACGACACAAAGGACATGATACTCACGAGCCCTTTTGGCGCTTTGCTTTGCTCCGGATAGGGCCCTACCGACATTCGGTATGGTTGCGGATGTCGCTTCGATCACAGGCAGAGCAGGGATAATGTGTTCACGAGCGGCATACAACCGATTGTAGATCTAACATTAGAACTTGAAGACCTGCCAAGTGACAACCATTTTGGGCTTACATGTGCGACGAGTCTGAACGGCGACATACGTAATGCTTTCGGAGGGATTGCGGGTGCAAGTTCAATCGTCATTGGTCATAGCCCGGACAAGGGATGTGTGTACAAGTACAGCGCGCGTGTCCGGCCCAGGCTCCAGCCTGAGCCAGACAAATCTAACGTTCTAGTTTCAGAAAAATGGTAGTGAGGATGCAAACACTATACTCACCAAACTAACAAGGTCTGGTAAGCGTAGCAACTGGTGTTATGTCCTTTGGAGTGCTTGCGCGGGCGGTCTGCGAACGGTTGATGACCACTGATGTTGAGAGATGGCAGGCCGCTTGCTTTTCGGACCATCTGCTGCGGTACAGACCATCCCAACACGCGGCCTGAGTGCGACGAGGAAGCAGGGCGAAATAGTCCTGGTCCAGTCTTCGGAACGTCCCGCAGAATCTCCGACGTTGAACTGGGTGTCCTCTGTCGCTAGTCCGGCGAGGGCATGGTCCCCTGGTCCACGTCCTCGGGATCAAATCATGAATGACGAAATATATCATAGCGGGTAGCACTCCAGCTGAGCAGAGTGCTAACAGGAACTCGGAGAAGAAGGTGGTCGCTTGCATGACGGATACAAGGCCAATCTGCAGAGCCCACGACCGCGCCCATCGGTCCAGATCTTAGTACACGCCGCGAATCCCACCTCATCGCCAGAATTCAATGAGTCAGTCAGTGTCCTGCAGGGAGTGATATTACAGGATATGCGCACACACCTGGAGCATGTTCACTGGCACGTCAACGCGTCAACGCTACCGGAGCCTCTTCAGAGTCGTGATGTTGACTATACCGCGATCGCTCCACGGTGCGAATAGCTGGCCGGGGAGTCGAGCTTCTCAGAGGGTATGTTCAGGTCCTCGTCCATTTGCGGACAGCCGTAGAGCGTGATGTTGAAGCGAATCGCGATGGACTCTAGCTGGGTGCTTCGGACCGTAGAAAGAGCCTGGTGCAGTTCGTATACTGGAACTAGCCAAATTCCTTCGGGCAGTCCAATCCAGGGGCCAGTGAAGTAGACGTTCACTGACAACTCCAGATGACGCAGAGCGGTATTGTGCACGAAACACGGTCCTAGATTATCTGTGAAACGGGCTGAACTCAGCAGTCGTTCGTGCGAAGAAGCGGGACATTCCTGACCGGGAATTTGTCGTGGATCTGACTAAAGGAAGTGGGTGACGGTCCACTCCCTTCCAGCATGCGATCAATGAGGCCGGTTGTGGATCCGCAGTCGCCATGCGCGAGGTTTCGGAACTCCACACTCAGGTTACGAAGGGAGGCGCAGAGTGCCGGGAATGCAAGCCAAGTGACCATGGATTGCAGTGCCAACGGCTTGATCCCCAGGGCCCAGGTCGCATACGAGACGAAGCCGCTTGAGCCGGCTGGTGGCTACCGTGATGGCGGGAGGCTGGGGTGTGACGTCTACAGGTTGTACTTGTATTGAGGACACACCCGATAAGATAAGCTCTTCCAAGCGAGCGCACGGATGATTCGCTGTAGTTGAGCACCGTGAAGCTGGACATCCACCGAACGCAAAGACATGGTTTGCTCGTGATGACGCAGGGCAAGATAGAACATGGGGTGCATAACGGGACGCAGAGCCTGTTGGATCTCGAGGACTCGCAGAGCAGGCAACGAGCCGGCCAAGACGAGGGGCAGAGAATCCATGAAGGGAGGGCGATCTTGGCCCGGTTTCGTGAAAGGAAAGGACTTGCGCTGGACGACTACCGTGTGCATTGTCGTGAGCCGATGTTTGACGCAGAGCGACACGCGTAACTGTTTCACCAACAAGTCAAAGGTAGTCCGATCGCTGATATAGACTGTGTGAGAGGTGTTGAACATGGCGCGAGGATACCATACCTTGCTGACCAGTGCTGCGTCCGGAAGCATAGGTTTAGCCATGAAATCGATGATTTCTTCAAATATCTCGAGAGGAATGCGACCCAAGACTGGTGGGCAGTGGAGGCGAAGGACGGTGTAACAGGGATTCAGTGTGATTGGTTCCATCGGCTGCATTGGATGCCGTTTCACCACACGGATGTTGAGGCGTGGACGAATCCAGAACATAGGTCTGAAAGATGTCAGTGACAGACGAGCGATTGTTGTAGGACAAACTAACTTCAGAGTAAGCGCAGGCAACCTCTAAGAGCACCTTTGGTGTGCAGATCAGCATATACCCTCTATTCTTCGAGCGAATATTCCAGTGACACTGACTTCTGCCAGTGGAGTCGGCGGTACAGTTCCCAGCATCTTCAGGTTATTCACGTGCGTTGTAGTTCGCTCCTTCGATGTGCGGATACCGAGCAACGAGTGGGCCCCTGGGAATCCATTCAACTGGTCCAATACACGGGCAATACGGTGGCTGCGAAGGGTCCAACCACAGCGACCGGCGGCGTCCGACATCACCTACTTGAGGTATGGCGGTTAACCCTGTATCCACAATGAATATCTCGAGTGAGACGTACCTCACAATATGCGGGAGAATAGCAAGTCAGAGGACGGGAGCAGGTCCACCGAGGCACGCTACTAAGGTTCGAGACTTCGAGTGCACTGCCTACTCAGGCTGGCACAGCGTTCGCGCGTGCCAGCGCAAGGACAGACCACAGCTAACATTTCGGGCACCTTCCCCGTCACAGAAACCAGCACATGTCTGCTGTTGCTGTGTAAATCCACAGTACGCGTCACGGACAATGAAGAGAGAACAAAGAAAAGGGAAGGGTATGTATGTACACAGACTACAGTACCGTGACAGTGCGCGACGCGATGTGGCGCGTGAGTCCCACGGTACACTAGGGGAGCTCAGACTTGAACGGGCAAGGGTACGGGTACGGGCAAGGGTAGGTCACGGGGACGGTCCGGCCGCGCGGCAACCGTAGGGTTAGCAGTAGGGGCTGCCACGTAACGTTAGGGTTTGTGCAGCAGTAATTGTACAATAGTTTGGTCCCGACAAGGTATATAGAGCACGTACATCCGTTTCGGTAGCATGATAGGAGGCAGCTAGATCGCCATCGCAAATGCGACGCCGCCATCCTCTAATACTTTGAAAACATATACCTAAGTACGTAGTTCTGCTTTCGGAAATGTTATGTTACCCGATTAGTATATTCCGCTTTCGGCAGGCGCTGGCACTTTCCCGCACTCGAGTTCAGCTGTAGTAGGCTATAGTAGGTGCATCGTGCGTACAATATTTACGAGCCATGTTGATGGTCATCAAATTGATTTTTCTCTTTGGTGCGCGTTAGCCTTGAGAGCCATACTGATTATGCTATCCAAATACTGTCTGTAACAAAGAGCAGTGGCGTAGAAGCTGGAAGAACTAGGCTAGGGTTAACGGTGGCAGCATCTACGCTAATTGTGGCTAACCCTACAGTCGCCGTGCGGCCGGACCGTCCCGTGACGTGCCCTTGCCCGTACCCGTACCCTTGCCCGTTCAGTCTGAGCTCCCCTAGTAACTGAGTACTGACTAGGGGCAATGCCTTTCCGAAAAGCGTCCCCTGTCACGTGATCAAAACGCGTCGAGAAAGTGGACACGACTCTCTCCCCATGCTGTAGCATTCGACACGAGTTGTATAAAATTGAGACTATATTCACATAGAACGGCATGTATCTCACGAGTGTTTATGTGGTTTCACAGAGGGATCGAATGAATACAACATCGGAATTCGGTCAGCATGTTGCACAGACTGCATTTGGTGTCTCAGCAAAAGCTGTATATGCGATGGTCTATCATGACAGCAACCTCTCCCAGGCTCGGAACTACCCCAAATGAACTAGCAGTCTAGTCCGAAGAGATCTTGTCGGCCTGAGGATCATCAGTATAGAGGCTAAACATGCAGAACTCACCTTTTGATATACTGGATGTTGTTTTTGGGTGTAACATGTTTGCTGAACTGTTACAAGAGATGCCCCAGGTAGTTCTGTGACCAATGGATATGACCAGAAGCAAGGATACACGGAGGACGGCTAAAAGACTAGCGAGGATCGCGTCGAGACGCGCTAGTGGCGCGTCGACTCGCTTACGTAACACGCGTCGCACCGCGAGAAAGAGGTGCACTTCTGACGTTCCCTGGCGTTTTTGGCTCCTGCAACAACTAAATGACCGTGATCACATACATACATAGAACAAAGTCTTGAGGATGGAATTTTTTGTAATGCACGTATTGGGGGGCTGTAGAAGGCTCGCATGTCCGCAGGGCCTTTTCTCTAAATCCATCCTCAAGACTTTCTTGAGCCTGATTTTAGATGATTTATCATCACTTCTCCGGAATATTCTGAAGTGGATGAATCGGAGAAAAGTGCACCTCTTTCCGCGCCCACTTCGTGAGACGCGGCAGGCGGGTGGCGCGCGGACGCGTCGGAGTTTAAATTTGTAGCGCGTTGCCCCTACTCATGAGTACTTCCGATCCCCTCCGCCAGTCTCCTCCTCCTCCTCCTCCTCCTGCTCCTCCTCGTCGCGACTACAATCCGTCGTCGGAGTCCGTGGTGTGTTCTGCCCCATGCAACCTCGCCCTTCTGGGAGGCAAATTCTTCCTCTGGAGCTCTGCGAGGCGATAATCGACTTATGCCGAGAGGACCCCTCTACACTAAGGGCATGCAGTCGTGTGTCGCATGCGTGGTTTCCTGCGTCTCGCAAGCACATATTCTCGTCTATCAGGTTCGCTAAAGGCGAGGACATCACTACCTTTCAAGCCTTGCTCTCTTCCGAGTTACCGGGATCCAGTAGCATCCCCAGTCTCGTCCGCGAACTCTGCTTGGGCGAAAGATATGCCGACATGCTTGGGCATGAGGATTGGTCGCTGTTGGCTGATGCCAGGCTGCCCGGCCTGCTCGAGCAGTTCACTGCGGTGGAGACGCTACGGCTGGAGAGTCTCGCTCGGCCGCTCGGCACTGTTCCCGCCGTAGAGAACGCAGTCACAGTGCTCGCGAGCAAGGTGGGTGATCTCGCACTACTCGGGCTCTGCAGATCGCATATACATCTACTTACTCACTGGTCGCGTCTATGTAGGTGGCTCACCTGCACCTGCACTGGTCCGAGACGTCCGGACCTAGACAGGTTGGATCATCAGACTTGATCGATATTCTGTCCTCGTCGCATCGAAGGTCCTCCTTCCACCTCTCAAGTTACAATGCGGTAGGCACTCTCGCCCTATGGACGCGGCAGAGGAAGCCGCTCTACAAGAAAGTCAGAATCGGCAAGCTCGTAGCAAATTTATACTCGTTCAGGACTTTCTACGCCGCCATGTTATATGTGTATGCGTTACGCTTGCCTTTCGCGGTCATCATCGACCGGCTCACTCTTGGCGATCACACCCTTGAGTATCTCCGACTGCTGGCGACATACCTCTACGACACAGAGTATGGGCTCCTGCTTTCGAAGGCAAGACTCAGAAATGATGGCCGGGATGACAGTGGTACGTCTCCCGATTCGGACGATCCTGACCTTGACGTTTGACTACCTCTGCTACCCCAGCCGTCCCCACTACTACTTTGAAAATCAAATGCGTGGACGTCGCTGCTCCTACGATCCTGCAATCGAAGACCTACTTCTCGGAGTGCCTAACAGCATTTCTACGCTGGAGGATGCTGCTCACGCCCCGCATGCGCTTCCTCCTCGGCGAGCTCGAACCCGAGAATGCCGTCCCGGAGCAGTGCGCCGGTCTGGACGGGGCCCTCGCCAGTCTCGCGGCGGAGGACCCCAAGCTCAAAATCACCTTCAACGCGCAGTGTCCTGCTGAACGTCTCGTGGACTGGGTCGAGACCATCTCGGCGTGCTTCCCTACCCTCATTGCTCATGGAACGCGCGTCGGGATGGTGTGCAGTTCGAACGGCAGCCCGGTAGGCAAGCACTCTCCTGCCGCCCAGCACTGGTGGTCGTGAATCCTGACGCCGTACAACTTATGTGCAAGAGTGCATGAGATATCGAGCGGCTCACTCTGACCGAAGACGTACTTGGACATCCTTTGTTCGATCGGCCGCCGTATTCCATTGAGCTGGAACAGGAGTTGTCATGGACGGAAAGTGAGATGTCTGTGCTGAGGTTTGGTGCTCGCAGCTTTGGACGAGATGACAAGGGTATGCCGCCCGACCCAGGCAATACATCGTGGTGTCTGACTGCCTCGGAAATCTTAGGCTTCACTGCTACCACTCTAAACATCCGGTCCATAGAGATCAACGCCCCTACGATACTGCGGTCTAAGACCATCTTCTCGAAGTCCTTGACGAAGCTGTTGGAATGGAGAGCACTGCTCACGCCCCGTATGCGCTTCATTCTAGACGGGTCCGGACCCGAGAACGCTGTTCCGGAGCAGTGCGCCGGACTGAACCATACCCTTGCTGGTCTGGCAGCTGAAGACCACGACTTGGAAATCTCCTTCGACGTGCAATGTACCCCTGAACGTCTCGCGGACTGGATCGCGGCCATCTCGGCTTGCTTCCCTACCCTCATCGTTTGCGGAACGCGCGTCGAGATGGTCTGCAGTACCACGAGAAATTGTCTTAAAGGCGATCGGCGACCCGTCGCCGAGCATAGGTGGTCGTAGCGTATCGCGTTGAGAGTTCCTGCACGCCACTGTATGTCTGTGTAAGCACAATATAATCGCGGTCGTGCTAGCTAGTGCGCTTACTGCGCCTCTGTTCACAGATTACAATACCCATTCCATTCACCTCGTCCTCATATCATGTGTACAATACCACGCGTTTCGCTTTTGTGTCGAGAACACAAGCCTTGCCATTCGTCGCATTGTTCATGCTTACACTCATGTCTTCACTGTATGGGATCTCCTTCCGTCTTCTCGCCGACGTTCGTACAATTGAAGTCTTCAGTGCCCGAACGCCGCATCGACCGTGCGTTGTCTCCTGGGCGGAAGTTCACTCCATTTGTACGTGACCACGATAGTTTATCGCCCACATTACTACTGTACACACAAGCTGCCACTATCGCCGCCCCAATTCATCTCTACTCCCTTACTGTACATGTACAAACCCACGCTCTCGCTCCGACGACGAGCATATACCCAGCTTGAACCTGACAATCCGCGTACACACCGTAACCATCCGTTTACTGCTAGAATGATGACTACATAGCAATCAAGGGGTTCTCTTCAAAGTCTTCACTTCGGTTCTACATATCTGTCGGCTTTGGTTGGCGAGCGCAAACCTGAGGATGGCGTGGCCTCAAGTTCTGTCTTCGGATTTTCTTTCAAGGTCATGGGTCGTTTGTCTAGTAAGCGGCGCTGAGCCCGCGCTCACCTCGCCGCGCTGACGGCTGTCATATTCAGTATGCCGTCCATCCTGCGCTAAAGTCTTCCTCACCTAGTTTTTCCCTTCACTTATCGACTAAGGATCCAGATGCTAGCTAGCGGATCGCCAGTCGTGACGAATTGTCTCGGATGCCCCCGGGGCGGAACGTCGCACGACGTACCACCGTAAGTAGGACTTTTTCTTGCCGTAAACTGATGACTTATAAGCGGCAGAGAGCGGAAAGAAATAATCGTTACCAAGAACAAAGAATGGTACGCTCTAGAACGAGACAGTGCTACTACGACGTAGCACCGCCGGTGAGCTTCCGCGCTGAGCGCTGAGCGCTGACCGGTGAACAAGAAATGATTTATTCCACACATGATCGAAATTTGACTTCACCCTGGAAACAAATAATGAGATTCAGAGACGACGAGATACTTACTGTATATAGCGGTATGCACCTTGTCATCATTGACAGAATCACGGTGACGTCTCTCGCTGCGGCCTTAAAGCAGCCATGATCTGCCCGTCTAACCGGTGGCACGCCCACAGCACTGCCAGAACGTGCGCGACACCCGAAGCCGCCAGCACCGACAGCAAGGTAGCCGCGAAAACATAGAAGCGCGTTTCCGCAACATTCTGTGTGCCCGCGCTAGATCCCTGGGCAAGGCGCTCCCAGGAGAAGGCGACGAAGAACACGACGAACATGCTTGACGCCCTGTAGTACAACAGTCACTGATCGGTGCATCCGTATACCAGTAATCGAATAGGTCAATGGACGTACCATACAAACCAAGCATCTGGGATGGCGAACATAAGCGGGATGGAGGTCCAGCGGGGTTGAACGGCGGTGTGCTTCGATGGCAGCGTACTTATGATTAGTTTCTGACCGAAGATGGTGCGTGCCGGAAGACTCACCACGAGTCACACTTTCCCACTGGCAGGGTCCTTATGTTCTTTCAGGTGAGTGCGCAACAGCACCGCAGCAGCCGAGCAGACCGTGCTAGTCAACAAGCAGACGATGCCACTTAACACGCTCATGTCCACAATGCCAGGGAATGCGGATAGAAGTCCGATAGTGATACTGTGTGATCATCCAGTCAATACTGGGTTCTGGTGTGCATTACGGAAGAGTGGTGTAGACGTGACGTACCCATTGTACACGGTGCAACAACCGAGGAAGATTTCCATCGGCGCCGACAGCGCGTCACGAAGACGGACCAATCCTTCTCGAGGTCAGCTTGAGTATCATCCTCTGCGTGGCGCCGAACTTCGTCGTAGTAATTGTCGTAGAGGTCCACGGGCCAATGGACGAGCATTACGTGTCTATACAAGGTATACAAGCAACACATTGCCAGAGAGGGAAACGGAACGAGCATGCTGAATATGTGATGGACCGCGACGGGAAGAGAGTAGCTCCTTTGTGCGGGTCCCAAAGGCGTTCCGGCCGCCTTTTATACTGCGAGTGGAGACTATTATCTTGGCTTGTCAACGCTCCACGAGTGCTGTGTAACCCGAATTTGCACAACGTAGACGCTATACCGCGAGCAAGCACCGGGAAACCACATACGCAAGGAGTCTCGGCAGTAGGTCTGGACGACTCGACCCCACAAGACTGCATAACACGATGGAGCCAAGCGCTCCACTTTGACCCACTGTTTGAGCAAAGTCCGATTTCCCATTAGCGGCGACGACACCGTGGAGTCAGCCTCGCCCACGTACACAGGCTGAGTAGGGTGCTGTGCGACCAGTTTGGCAATATCGGCTACGAGGCTGCTTAGGCGCCCCGGGTTAGAGTTAGTGGAGACTGATCGACTCTCGGAGGAGCTAACATTCGACGTGCAACGTTGATCTCTGCACTACTCAAAGTTGCAAGTCAGCACGAAGACTTTGTTTAAAGAAATGCAAGGCCCGACCAGTACCTAGGAAGATCATGCCGTGCGCAAGTACTGGGCCCCTGACTGAGTGCGGATCTATGTTGCGTTGCTTGACGAGGCAACACCTGAACTGCGAACTTCAGCGGAATGTATGGATACATGGACCTGTGTGAATGATCTATCACTGGTTACACAGCCGCGGGGGCACGGAGAGTGGTCACTACTCACCTCATAACACACACACAATCCATAGCGCTTGTTAGTTCTTCTGGCGTATACATTCTACGTGAGTACTTGAGCACCTGAGTACTCTGAGTCCTTGTCCCCACCCTGCTCATTCACCGTACTAGACAGCTTCTCGTCGCGATGCCTGATGCAGGAGGAAGGCCAAGTACGCGTCGATAGCTTTGGTGACTCTGAGGGCCATATTGCAGAAATGGATATGTTTGAAGGTTTGAACGTAGCAACTAGCGAGCAGCCTGAGGATGTCACGGTCTGTGGCCTGCCAGGGCGGCGCGAGATCTCAATGCGGCGGCCACATGAAAACATAGAAAACGCGCATGTCAAATGCATGCCCCTGCCACACAACCATGTAGTAGCTGTAGCTCTAACAGAGACCAGCGAGCGCATCACGGAAGGCGAAGATAACGAGAGGCATTTGAGTTGGTCAATGGATGGGTCACCGTATGTTATGTGCGCCAAACACAAGCAAACACGCGCACGCCAACATCTCTCAACATCTTCGCAAAGTCAATGACCGTACAGTCGAGTCGCCACTTTCGAGTTGACATTAACCCTGTCCAAGGCCTGTACTAGCGGTCTTCCTTAATGCTGCAAGATAGCTGAGTCTTGTCATCGTCTCGTTACCGAAGATGCTGTCCGCCCACAACGTTCGGGACAGCACTCGACGACTTATTCTGAAGTCTTGAAGCTGGATCCAACTACTCGACCAACACTGTTACACTCGCCAGCACTCGCCCTGTGTATCTGAGTCAGCTTTTGTGGTCTGGTTCTGTCGACTCGCCCAGAAACATGGCGACTGCGATTGACCACTGGTCCGCAATACTCACGTTCATACTCTTCGTCCTCTCCAGTACGTTTCTCCCAGTTTGCCTTCCATACGTCGTCTGTAATCCGTTTCTTTCACTCGATTTTCAGATGCAGCCGTCATTTTCCCGGTCCGGGTTCCTATACCAGCCTTGCTCGTCCACCGTACCCGACAACTCCTCGTCGCGACTCGCGTCCTGGCCGAGAACCATTCCCCCATACGGAAGACGCACCTCCATCTCAACTTCATTACAGTGCCACTCATCTCCGTCTTGCTTCTGTTGGCGACGGGCGCGATCGACGGGACAGTCGTGCGAGATGGCATCGTGGGCGCGAACGGGGTGCAGCCCTTGGATATCATGGCACTGTTCATCTCCCTGGTGAGTGCTCCCTTCCTCGCCCTACGCCTAGGCTTCATCTGGTGATTACTTCCAGGCGTATCTCAGCATCTCACTCGACGCTACCGGGCTGCTGCGCTTCCTTGCGTTCTGGGTCGTACGTAAGGGCGGGGGCTCCGGCAGGAGGCTGTTCACTTATCTGTATGTGTTCTTCCTGGTGTGCGGAGTGATAGTAGGGAATGTACGTGCCGCGACCAGACACCGCGTACTGTGTCGGCTCACCCTCCGTGCTGGTTAGGACCCAGTCATCCTATCTGGAACGGCCTTCCTCGCATATCTCACGCGTGTTTCAGGGTGAGTACCATCTCTTCGTGACGCACCGCCAGCCTCCAAGACCTATGTCGACAATCGCGCACTCTACTGTGACGAATCTGTCTATCTCTGGCTTTGAAGTGGTGGACTAGCCTATTTCATTGCACATTGACGCTGAATCGTGTATCACAGAGTGGCCAACCCGAAGGCGTGGCTATTCTCGCAGTTCGCTGCTGCCAACATGGGTACGTCGTTTCTGTTCTCGCTTCATCGCGCCTGGCGTCATTGAGGGTGGAGGTCAGCACGTGGACGTGCTCTACATGCTCCGGTGGTGCATATATGCGTGGATTCACGACGCTATCAACGCAGATACGCACGTTTCCTTGACTTTGTTTCAGGTGTATCCTCAGCCGATTATCTGTTCATGCGCGTCCATGTTCCAGTCACATTTTTGAGAGAAAGCCCTCGATCTCTCACTGTACTGACGGGAGCGCGATCGTCGTTCCGTACGGGACGCGTATTCATTTGCATTTTCATCTATTGGTGCCCTGCTGCAGCGCGAAACGCTCGCGGTTTCTCATAGTTCTGATCCAAAATACTGACGAAAGCCAGCATCTCTGACTTGATGCTCCCCACAGCTTCCGTCGTCCTCGTGTCTTCCAACCCGACCAACCTCGTCCTCAGCGGCGCCTTCGCGCTCAAATGGACGTCCTACATCGCCCACGTCGTCCTTCCCTTCCTCGCCGCCGCGGCCACCGTATACCCGCTGCTTCTCTACATGTTCCGCGCTTCGGACCTCATCCCCGACTCCCTGGACCTCGATCTAGATGAGGTGGGCGACATGCGAGAGTGCGTAGCTGCGCCCCGTAACGCTGAGGATGATTGATACGATGCGGAACTGCACAGGACGCTCGTCGACAAAGGAGGCGCTATCTTCGGAAGCTGCTTGGTGTTCGTGACTCTTGGTGTGCTCGTCGGCACGAGCACGGTCGGCGTACCCGTCTGGGAGGTGACCGTCCCGCCGGCGTGCATCATGCTCGCTCGAGACGTCTGGTGGGACTGGTCCCGGCACCAATCCTTGAAAAGCGCGAGTAGCCGCTCCACGTCTGTGACGGACACGCAGCCCGCCGAGGGCATGGAGCGGGCGGCACGCGAGGAGTCGGGCAGCGGGAAGATCATCAAAGACAGCATCGAGCTGCAGGAGCCCAGAGAGCAACGCCTCTCGCGAGACGCGCCTCCCCGCGTGCCATCGACCCTAGCCGGTGTTGTACGGCAAACGTTCACGCGTATAAAGAATACGTTCCCTATAGTCTCCTCTATTGCGTCCCGCCTCCCGATCCCGCTCCTCCCCTTCGCGTTTCTCACCTTCATCCTCGTCAACGCGCTGTCTACGCAAGGCTGGGTGAGCCTCTTCGCAGGATGGTGGGGCGCATGGGTTCGCGCGACTGGCACATTGGGCGCCGTGGGCGGGATGGGCTTCCTCTCGTGCATCTTCTGTAATGTCTGTGCCTTGCATCACGTCTTCGCTCTCCTTCCACTTGCTGACTTGCTGATGAATATACGTATCCGGTAGGTCTGCGGTACGAACATTGGCGCAACGATCCTCCTCGCCCGCCTCCTCCAGCTCTGGATCGCCGCCGCCTCGCCATCAGAGCGCGAACAGTACGGCGCCGTCTACGCGCTCGCGCTCGGCTCCAACTTTGGCGCGTTCACGCTGACGTTCAGCGCGTCGCTCGCGGGACTGCTGTGGAGGCGCATCCTCAGGCAGAAGGGCATACACGTACGCGCGCGGGAGTTCCTGAGGATTAACCTCCCGATCGCTGGGGTCGCGATGACGGTGGGGTGTGTGGTGCTTGTTGGTGAAGTGTATGTGATATACAGTAAGTAGTCTTATATATTAAGTGTGAGGACAGCATTCATAATTCATCCGGCATACACAAGTGACAGGTGACAGAAGTGCAGAGATCCGCAGGGAGCAAACTCGGATCATGATTGCGCAGATTATGCGGAATCCCGGGAAGCGAGGGCGGAAAGTAACTTGATAACCGTCGTACCGAACGTTCGCGAAGCTGCCGTCGTGCACATGTCCGCCTTTCCGCGCCATGAGATGACCAGTGCGGCCATCACTTCTCCTCACCGCGTCCGAGTCGAGCTTCAAGGCCTCACTATACTCACACTGTTAATGCTTGTCCACCGTGTGTCACGGAGTAAGCCACGATGAGCGGCCACACCTCGAACCTTCCGATAACGCTACGGCATGTCGGATGTACACAGAGTCAAGAGCGTCATCCAACTACACCGAGTGCCTTGCGGTGCGCTGTACACAAGTGATGCGGCTGTTGGGCCGTACCTGTCGCCCTGAACGAGGTGTACGCAGGACCGTCCCAGTTCAAAGTACAGTGACACAGTCATAAACCCCAGGCCCATACGTGCAACAGACGCGATGCTGTTTGGCCCCCTTTGACCAGCCATCTCCGGGACTGATCAGTCCCGATAGCTATGTAGTGTGTAGGCTATCCCAGTGCTTTATTTTTCTGACCATTGAATCCGATATCATATTCAGGACGTTTCGTTTGCTTTCACAGCACGAAGTATGGAGAGAATCAGGCTCGATGTGCTGTATCCGCATGTAATCCTCAGGCTGCCAGCCGGTGTAGGTCGCCGTGTCACGGAGACGTCCATGCGCATCGCGCGGAAACGAGAACCATCGTCCAAAAATACTGTAGCAACGCGGTGAAGGCATGGGACACCGGAAACACGGCGCAGAATGACCTCGTTCTGACGCGTGTTTTCCTGTCGCCGACATTAAGTAGAGTCGGATCTACGCACATTTAGACGTTGGTCGCCGGAGCTGCCTCTTTAGGCCTTAGGGACTGCCTAAGGGAGACTAGCCTTAATTAACGGGCCAGGTTCGTCTTCGAGGACAATCGACCGTCTTAGAACTGATCAAGATGAAGATGCGTATCTCATTGATTCATTCGACGACATTGTGTACTACCGTAGTAGATGCTCGTATGGTCACACCGCGTTGTCAGTGGGCGAGTTAGCAGCGCACGCTTTACCCGCCGACCTGGCAGTGTATCACATTCCGCGTCGCTGTCGCGTTTGTGGTGGTGCTCGTGCAGGCCTGAGCCACCGCGGATCCGGATCGAGTTCGGTGGAAGGCGGCCCCGGGTGGGGATGATCACGATGCATGACATGCCGCGCGAACTGTGGCTGTGAGTTCGCGGAGGTTTGCGGCTGTTCTCTCGCCGCTCTGATCCGATAACACTGGAAGCGTGTTGCCTCTTTTGCCCACCTGCTGTGTACAGTGCCGTGCCAATTTGAAGGATGTCGATGACCACTGGTCTAGTGCGGGCTATCTTTGATATGAGTATGCCTCGCGAATCGTGTCTGTTAACCTAGTAAGTTTGCCAAGTATGACCTCGCATCCCCTACACAGCCGCTCCCTCCGCTTCCCATCCATCGCCCCGTCAGGCACTCACGATCCTGCTTATAAGGCTTCCCCAGAGCACGGCAAATACTCTATCACTCTGTTCCCTCATCCGTCTTTACTCCGAAGTGCACCAACATAAACCCACTCGTCAGCGTCGTCGCTGTTTCCTCCCTCCTCGGGAGAGTACCCGATACGCTGGCCGGGCTCCTCAGCCGAGGACCGTTCTTTGCCTACACACACGTCGTGCTCCCCCATTGGCCAGTGACCGTCTACAGCGGTTACTACGACGATGCTCGGCGCCACGCAGAAGACGAAAACGGGACAAGCTTCAGCAAGGACTGGGCCGACTTTCGGGAGGGCTGCAGCGCACGTTGGGAAGTCGTCCTCGGTTTCTGCACGGTCTACAACGCGTATGCTGCTACTGCTCGTCCATGTACCCTCTAGGCTGATGCACTCAAGTCTCACAGGATCACAATAGGCATGCTTTCCGCACTGCCTGGCATCGTCGACGTCAGTATCATCTGCGGGATCGTGTGCATGTTCGCAAGTGTGGTGTGCTTCGCGATAGCCATGCTGCTTCGTACGCACTTGAAGAAGCACGAGGATCCTGCCCGCGGAAAGGTTCGGCTCGCGGTGAGTCTTCCGGTGTGCAAAAGATTATTAATGAGATTAACTTTAATTTCCCAGCGCACCACCGAATCCCGTTGGACGTCAGTTCCGCTTCTCTTCGCCATCCCGGATGCGTGGTTCGTCTGGTAAGCGCGACAGTGACACCGCCAACGCGCATACATACTCACCCGTCGGACATCCGCACAGGGCCTCCATCGCGTTCTTCGCGTTCTTCCTCACGTTCTACTGGGGACGCCTCGCGCACGCACCCGGCGGTGCCTGCGGGGCGCCCATTCCACAGATCGCGGTGGGCGCGCGCTTCTACGTTGCTGCCTCCGCCGCGTTCTCTGTGCTCGTCGCGTCGGGCTTCGCGCACGTCGCGTTAGTCATGTGGGCCTGTCATCGGCTGGTCGCACGAGACGCGGCTACGCCCGCGGCGAACACGCCATAGCGATAGCGCGGTATATATGGTGTGGTGTGTATTGAACCGCTGGACGGCCGGCAGCAGATACGGACGCGCTTCGACATTGACAGTGATACGATAGGAACCTTGGTAGGTCGCTGCACCGGCCCCGGCGAAGCCTGGCGCCGCACTGCAGGGGCGCAGCCTACCAGGCCCGAGCCGTAGCCATGGGATCAGCCCCGTGGCGGGAGCACCTGCACTGCTTCGTTGGACGTCATTCTTGCCAGATCCGCGCCCTGGCGTTCAATATTCAGAGGTCGACATTCACTAGTGATCAAGAAGGCAGATCCACGACTGTGCCGTGTTGTACAAAGACGATCACACTGCCCAGCCACCGCACCTTCGGTGTAGTGTGTTTTTATTGATCTCTCTTACTGTTACTGGAGGGCGATCGCGAAGCCCTATCATGTAGACGCTGAATATCCGTGCATACTACTACAATCAGGTCGTTGGTATCTAGCTGTGCTTGGGCTCGGCGCACCTCCGTAGACGTGACTCCGCCGGGTGGGATGGGATTATAGAGACCCATAGCGCATGTACAGTAGAGCTATGAGCGTTTATTCACGGTCTACGTACAGTCCTTGATCAAGGTAGTATGGTAGTTGCACACACCATCCAGTGAGCGCGGCTGCAGCTGGGTACAGACAAACCCCAGCCGCGCTGCGAACCTCCGCGAAACATCCGCGCGTTGTGAGTGAACACTTCACTGTGAGTACAGCCTACAGCCTGCGCCGTCGGTCCAAGCGGCTGCTCGAGTACCCAGGCGCAATATGCCGACGCGGAACAACACCGCGTGCCAACCCTGTGCCCTCAGGCTGTGCGCTTGCGCCTTGAGCTAAGCTTTGACAAAAGTAATTCGGAGGCAATTGAGCCCGTTAAGTTACCCAAGAGCGCGAGCAGGAGTGGCCACACATGCACGTCCACGCACTGAGGGCTTCGCGAGAGACATCCTCGATGTCAATCTCTCGAATGCCGGCATGACTCACGACTACGTGCCAGAACATACACGCGAACAAGCATGCATGGAGTGAGAAGTAAAGCGTATTATATCAGTACAGATAGACGCATACATTGCAGCATACCATCCTGCGACAATAATCGAGGAGCACCCCTACGGACATCAAAGACGCCAATCCACGAAGTGATCCATATCGAAGCGCACGAAGGCAAGCATGTAGTCGACGGTTGTGCCGCCTTCCTCCTCATCCTCTCCCGCCTCTTGCTCTTGCTCCTCCGCGAAATGCACCTCCGTGTCTTCAGCAACCGCCTCGTCCACCGGGATGTCCTCGAACGCAACCCGTTTTTGCTCCTTGTCCGCGCCGCCCTCCGCGCCAAAGTCGCGCTCATCCTCGCCGATGAGTTCGACCTCCTCTCGCGCCGCCACCGCCGCCGCAAGCGCGTCAGCCTCGTCCTCGACGTCGCCCAGCGCCTTCGTCAGCTCCTTCTCTGCCTCGTTGGACAGCAGCGAGTGCCAGTCGAACTCGCCCTTCTGGATGACGATGTTATCGAGCGTCCGCTTCTGGTTCGCCTTTCGCAGCAGTGCCTCTTCGACGGTGTGCGTCGAGATGAAGCGATAGATGTGCACGTCCCGGATTTGTCCGATACGGTGGGCCCTATAGTCGGGTTAGGGCATGGCAGGCACAACGGAGCAGGGCGATGCTCACCTATCCTCACATTGGCGGTCCATTTGTGGATTGAAGTCGCTGTCATAGAAAACGACAGTGTCTGCGCCGGTCAGACTGGACAGAAGTCGTCAGTATACACGGGAGCTGCCAGCATAGAAACCACGCACTTGATGCCGACACCTCCGGATCGTGACGAGGCAATGAAACAGAATACGCGTGAATCCGAGTTGAATCGCTCCGTGATGTACTGCCGGTCCTCGATCTTCGTAGCACCATCGAGGCGCAGGTACAGATATCCGTGAAAGTTCAGGAACGTTTCCAGTATATCCAGTATCCTCGTCATCTGGGTGAAAATAAGGATGCGGTGGCCGCCCGCTTTGCGTTCTCGCAGAAGCCGCGCGAGTTCTTGCAGTTTACCGCAGTCGTACTGCAGCAGGGACGGATCTGGGAACGCAATCTGCAACTTGATAGCGGCACGATGGAGAGTCTGGTCGAACTTGGCATCCCGCTGTACGGCTAAGACGCTCTCTTCACGACCAGCAAGTGTGATACGAGGAAGATCCCGCGCGATGACAGCTGGTGTGACGAACGCGAACCTGGCGATGGTGTCGGCCATCTCCTCAGCTCGTCCAGCATACGACTTGACGGCGGAGTTTATCCTGTCGAGCACAGTCCAAGGCCGCTTTTCCATCGACGACAGTGGGAGCAAGGGAGAGTACAGCCGCTGACTGATGCGGATGAGTTCTTCACCATAGATCGGCTGCGGCGAGCATCGCAGCCTGTTGATGTATCCAAAATGACTCCACTTCGCGATCTCCGAAGCCCGCTGGGACCATTCTCGATAGCGCCTGAACCCGGAAATTGTCCGCGTGTCGTATGGCGGTGGCTCGCCCGGGAGCTCAGTAATCATGGGTAACCGCGGTGTCCCATCCAGGGACCGTATCTCGGCAGAAGCGAAGGAAGACGTGTTCTGCTTCTGAATGAACTGCAGGCCGAGTAGGTCCAAGTTACAGTAATCGTTATCACTGGCAGCAAAAAGGCGCCGGCGAACGAGGAGCTCTTTGATTTCGAAGTCGGCGATGGCGGAGCGTTCCATGGCGAAGGAGGTGACGATCGGGCGAACCTCGAATAGGTCCGGATGGTTGACGACCTTCCTCAGCTGCATGAGGATGTTCGCGATCTTCTGGTAGACACCCGACTGCAGGTCGTACCTAGTGTCTGCACGGGCCATGAACTCGTCGTACAGGAATCGCTGTCGTTTGGATAAGGGGCACATGACGAGGTGTTCGAACTTCTGTGGCAGCTCCTTCTCGACATCCCGCTTGAGCCGACGTAAGAGGTAGGGACGTAGCACCATGTGGAGTTTCGAGACGCGCTGTTGTGTCTCATCGTCCATGGTTCCCATCTCGATCGCCTTCTCAAGAGGGTCTGTGTTCAAGTCAGATAACAGGCAATTCATAGAGGAACCGAGGACGTACTCGCAAACCACTCGCCGAATTCTTTGAGGTTGGCAAAGTTGCTTCCTGACATCAAGAACTGCAACAGCGCCCACAGCTCCGTGAGGTTGTTCTGCAGCGGTGTGCCGGTCAAGAGGAGGCGTCGAAAGGAGCGGAACATGAGAAGGATATTCCATCGCTGCGACCGGAAGTTCTTGATCATGTGCGCCTCATCGAGGATCATGTAGTACCACGCCTTGCGTTTGAAAACATGCGCGTCTCGGCTTGCGAGCGTGTACGAGGTCACGCAGACGTTGAAGTGGTACTTGTTGTTCCACCCCTGGCGCAGCTCCTTCCGCTGTTTCGTGCTTCCATGGTAGCTGAGGACCTTGAAGCCGGGGAGAAACTTCTTGAACTCCATCTCCCAGTTCAGCAAAACGCTCGTGGGAACTATGATCAGGTGAGGGCCCCAGATTCCGCGTTCGCAGGCAAGATGAGCAAGGAGGGAGATCGTCTGGATTGTCTTCCTATGGTACTCGTGTTCAGCATCCGACTTTCCAAATACAGAAGGATGCGTTGAGCTTACCCAAGGCCCATCTCATCAGCTAAGATGCCGTTGAGGTTGTTTATATGAAGACTGGCCAACCACTCCAAGCCTGCTTGCTGATACGGCCGCAGATTGCCACGGAGGAGGAAGGGTGCTTTGACAGGCGACGACGGATCCCATTCGACTGGTGCGACGGCATACGGCCTCAAGTAAACAGGTATTGATGACAGCTCTTCCTCTGCTTCGGCAGCAACGTCCTCGGCATCGTTCTCCGTCGGAGTCATCTCTAGTGCAGCCAAATCCGGTTGAGGTTCCTGCGGAGATGTCACCATTTCGTCGTCTGGAACGAAATCTGACGATGGTGCAACATCCTCATGTGGAAGATCCTCCGCCATAGACTGCGACTCGGACGTGCCTACATCCTGGCTATCCTCGGGAACAGGGGTGGCTTGGTCAATATCCATATGGTCGAGAGTTCCGCCATTCGTCAGATGGGCAGACACAGACGAAGGTCCCACCTCACCATCCACACTCGAGGTAGTCTTCGTGACCGCAACGGAAATGGCTTCATCGTCATGCGCCGAGAAGTCAAACGAACCGGACGAGGCAGCGAACGGGAATATGTCGCCCCAATCAGCCTTGCCAGGGCTATAGCTGGGCGGTATGGGTGTCTCCGAATCCGCATACTCGATGTAGTGTTCCACAGTAGGCGTCGGGCTAGGCGAAGGTGTTCGAACCGGTATAGACTCGACGTGTATACTGGTCGATACACTTCGACTGCGTCGCGACTGGGACGCGATCCCTGAGTCGGGCTCAGGAGTTTGTTCCACGGACGCGTTTTCGGTCGTCGTCGGTCCCAAGGACGATCTAGACCGAGAGCTCGGACTGCGAGGCATCGACTCTGCGCCATCACCAAGTAGGAGACTGATATCAGCGCCTTCCTCTGGTTCGGACTCGTCGCTCTCCTCGCCCTCTTCGTCAGAGACAGCTGCGCCATCTGCCTCACTCGACAATGCGTCGTCTGGCTCCGGCGACGCCGATGCCCAGCGACTAAGTGCCGCCGATACGCTGCTGGACCGGCTGCGCGGGGTTGCCTTGCTCAGATCCAGCTGTTGAGCGGTCAAGATCTGGCCAGACTGGTCGAGGATGGCATCCAGGTGTTCCTGCCCGCGTATCCGTTCCTCCTCCTCGCGCCTGAGCTGCTCCTCCCTGCGAATATGCTACCACGACGCTCAGTCATTACGAGTCACGCGTGAGAGTACTGGGCACTCACATGGACAGCCTTCTTCCACTCGTCGATGACGTGCCTGATCGTCGCCTTCGCGAGCGCACGCAGCCGCTTCTCTTCCTGCAGCTTCAGCTTGTCGTCCTTCACCGCTCGGCCCTCCCAGTATGCCCGCACCCTGCTTGCAACCTGGGCAGCGACCTGTCGACCGCTGGTAGGGCGATGCGTAGCACGGTCCTTGACAGCCTCGATAATATGCGACCATGTATCTTGACTAGTGTTCATGTTTGGCCCTCTCTGGGGAGGACTTACAGGCAGAGAATCGTCGCCGACGCTCTCCGGGAAGAACCGCCCCTCCTCGCGCAGTTCCCCTACGCGTCGCCAAAAGTCTGCAACTTGCTGGATGCGATCCTGGATAGCATCCTCGTTCACGTCGTTACCGTCCAGCGTGGTATAAGACGAGAGCAGCGCAGACAGCGAGGATCCGAACCGTGGCGGGGGTGGCCTCTGCACGGGGCTCGAATACACCGGATCTGGACGGCGAACGATAAGCTTGATGCGCTTGAGGGGACTTGTGCTCGGCGAGGTAGGCTCAGCCCGACGAGTAGCAGAACGGGCACCATTGGGCGACAACTTCCGCTTTGTGGGTTTGCGACGGCTGGACAGTGTCGCGGATACCGACTCCGGTGGATGCTTCGTATGCGACAACGGTGCGTCTTCTGGACCGGCAGCGGAGAAAGATCGGCCGTTCGACTCGATTCGTCGCCTTTTTGCAGGGGGTAAATCCTCCACTTCAGCTGCGCTATCCCGTGCGTTCTTGACTCGTTGTTGACGTTTTATGGGAGAAACAGAGGGTGGGTCCTCGGTGACGGCCTTTGCCTTGCCCTTGCCCTTACCAACGTATGTACTGACGCTGGCAGGAACTTCTGGAGGAGGCATCAGGCGCGATGGTCTGGGCCTCACAGGAGCAGATATCGACGGCGTTGAGGCGGTGGGAGCAGGAGCTGTGACGGCGTCATTGTCCTGCCCTTTCTTCTTTGAACGAACTGTCTTCGACGGTGCTGCAGTTGTCTTCAAAGCTTGCAAACGCTCGGTGCGAGCCTTTCGCGTGAGCCGTGATGAGCTTGCACTCTTCGAGTCCTCGACCAAATCGTACTGCGATTTATACTAGTGAAGAAAATGAGCATTGCACACACTACGGTCACAGTTTTGGCAACAACTCGGCGATGACTCCGCTGCACCACACCGTTGATGAGACAAGTATGAGCGCAATCTGCGGTCGGTTGATCCCGCCAGAGGGTGCTCGCCCAAACTCTTCTGGTGAGTGAAAGAAAGACGGGCACCCTGGCAGATTGCGCACACACGTCCGACGACAAGGGTATCTTCTGGTCGAACGATGTCACATCACCAGACCAAATGAGCGAGCGCGGACCGTCAGCACAGGTGTCCATAGTTAGTGCACTTGCTGAACTCTGACAGTCGATGCCAAAACTCTGTGTGGAGTAAGACGTACCTCGCGAAATACGGTCGAGCTGTCCTGTTTGGCAATCTTATATGCAGCGTCAAAGAAGAACGCCTCGCTCGCGTCGGATAACACACCTTGGGATCGTACGAAACCAATGTCACGAACTTCTCGAGGTGAAAGCGTTCGCGCACCTACAAATTAGGTCAGAACTCGCGCCTCCACGGATATGAGATATGATCCTTAGGGAGAGCATATCATCACATGTAGATAAAATGAGGAACGTACGTAGGTATCATGCCTGTCAGAGACCTGGTCCAACTCTGTTTGCCTATCCTGCACCATGCGAGCGCGTTCACGCGCGACGCGTTCCTCTACGCCACTCGCCTTTGCCCCGTTCTCCGCCGGATGGTCCGCATCCTGTCTGTGCCTAGCATCTCTTGCGACTCCAGAGGGTCCTGAGTGCCCGAAACGTCCCCTAGTGTTCATCGCGCGGGGACACGCATGGGCAAGCGCGTGAGAAGAGGTCTTGTCGGTCGATCTGCGCAGATACTGGACGGTTTTACGAGATTCTTGAACTAGAAGCCTCCCAGGATGATATAGAGACGAAAAGAACAGTCAGAGGACGTGTTGAGGCCGCCAGTGCTCGGCGTACGCGAATGAGAGTTAGAGCATCCATATTCGTGAGCATCCAGGAGGTTGTTTGGTCGGTACAAACAACGGGATGCGCGCGACCTACCGGCGGCAGCACTTCGGTGTCTCGTCGACAACGAACTGCAGGTCGGTATGAAATCCGAGTCGGTTGCTGTCGCTGTTTGCAGTCTCGATGACTATTCTTTGAGGCCGACGGAGTATCCTTGCTATTCTTGCCACAGCTCGTCGCGCGGGGACCTCATCAACATTTTGCACAGGCCAGTGCGTTGTAGACGAAGCTCATATTGCTCGCATACCATTGCGTCCCATCATGGATTGCCAGACTTGAGTTTTAAGCACACAGTGAGCCTCCATGCTACATTTTCACACATCGTACACATCGCATCATGGTACATTCAGTGAGCACGTCCCCTGGAAAGTCTATCACCGTCGAACTTCGAAGACGTCGTATTCCAGTTGGTCGAGAGTACGTTCGTTTGATATCTCCACACCCTTCACGTCGGCGCGCGGTGGACCGGTGTGCAGGACCTTCTTGCTGTATAGTGAAGTGAAGTCTGCCATCAGTGAGTGGTATCTCGTACAGTACTGCAGAAGTGACCCACAATCTGTCCAGGGCGCCTTCGCTGCCCTGAGCTTCTCCAACGACATGTCCCGTCTGCCACACTCGCGGTGAGTATCATCGGGTAATCACTGGTAGTATCATTGACTACTTACCGTATCGTTGGCCACCCAACCTACGACGCCTGTGTCGTGGGCCACATCCTTGGCAAAGGCTCTGTAGAACACGCCTTGCACCTTGCCGCTGACGATGAAGTTGAAAGCGCGGTACGCCATGGTGATGGTTGTGACGATAGCCCTCGGTGAGTTTGTGAGATCTTTCTGTTTACGGGGCCTGGGCTTGTGCGTTCCGTTTGCCAAACCAGGATGGGGCTATCTCTCGGCTATGACATCATGAGAACTCGCATGAGCCGCTGTTGGTCTGCTTTGCAGTTCACTGCAATGTTCTGTCAACGCATTATGCATATCTCGTTACCTGGTGCGTTTACTCCTTTATCATTCAAGTGCACATTCGAGTCAACCTAATCCATAGCCATCAAACCGAAGGCTCGTTGAACTACTTTTCCGCCGTACGTCCGCCTCATGTATGCGATTCTTACAACACTGAGTAGCTTCGCAGATTGGTGAACTGCTGTTCTTTCTGGCGTCTATCCTTGCCGTAGTCGTCCGGGCTTGGCCAAGTGTCTGCCCAATCCTGCGACGTCCGGATAAACCGCCGAGCGTGCCGTCAATGGGCTGCCTCGCCTGGGATGTATGCCAACTCAGGCGTTCTCCTATGATGAGTAAGGCGCCAGAATAGGTACCAGTAAAGATTTCTCGAGGATCTCTCGACGATGCAATGATGCAGTTCGACTCGGGAATTAGAACGTACCGACCGGCCCTGGGGATTCAAGTTACTCAGTTTACAGGATGCCGCTGTGTGGTAGCATGGGAACGCTGTGTTGCAGTGCATAAGTACCTTCAATCGATTCGAATAGTATTTGAATAGGTCCGATGCGAAGTCACTTCATCGGGTTGAGCGTTGACCGCCCTTCGTCTCGTTGAGAGTTCGTTGGTGTTCGCAAGATGTTCGCGTGCATTGTCCTTGACTCAATGGGCTGACTCTATGTAGGTGTCGATAAAATACACGATACGCTGACGTAAATAATGAAAAATTGATTGATGAGGGCGAGATTCGAACTCGCGCCCTTTCGGACCAGATCACGTGACACGCGAACACACCAAATGTTCGGTCCACAACACCTTAGTCTGGCGCCTTAGACCGCTCGGCCACCTCACCACATTGCGAAAGGTTCTAATGTCTTGTATAATCAGAAAAGGCCCTGCCTGGATGAATGAGATCTGTCCGCCTGCCAGCCTGAGTGGAGAGTCGCGAGGCATTTCTATACCGACCTACAGTATACTGGAGACACTCACATATACGCATATAAATGAGGACGAATGAGGCGGTACACGAGTACAGTTAATGTCTCAATCACTTCTTACTAGTGGTAAAGCTTACTGTACGGGTACAATTAGCTCAAAACAGCGCGATCTCAACAATTGAACGTCAGGGAGCATTGAAGTGGAAGGTGAGCAAATGGATTGAGAAAGACATCTCACCTCAGATCATCTCCGTCCGATATAACGACCTGCGGTGTGTCCAGTTTGCAACAGAAAAATATGTCAATGGACAGCACACACTTGTACAGCTATCGTGAAAGTTCTAACAAAGTGGTGAGGTTTACACTGGAATTTTTGTCGTCATCTCCATAAGCGACCCCATAAACGCAATGGCCTGCTTGAAGAAATGGTCGAAGCACTTGTATCCCAAAGGAACAGGAGAATGCAAAAGAATTCTCATTGACACCGCTGTAGCGTTCAGAGAGCTTGACATAATAGAGGGGTAAATATTGCCATGATTATGAGATAGCGGCACTCACGCGACGGCCTTGATATTCAGGTAAATACACGGCATGCGTGCACCACAGTTTAGCACAAGTGACCGGAAGACGCGGCTTGGAATGCGCGGCCCTCACTGGCAGCCCCACGTTACCTTGTCGCATACACCCAGGCCAATGCTGCGAGACGTTTTGCTGCTTCGTTGGTGGTTGGTGTCCAGCGTTGCACGTAAGACACAGCATCTAGACGAGTCTACAATGGTCTGCGGAATGAAACCCTGCATAGTCAGGTCACAGTGAAACCAACACCTTGTTGAACGATCGGTCAAGATTCAATTTGTATGACTGAGAAAAGCTACTTACCCGGTACTTAAATGCATTTGCCATTGGGCCACAAGGGGATGTGATTTCACGAAACTTCCTGGTCAACGTCGGACGGGCATCAGGGTTCAAGCTCGAGTAGAGTCGCTGTCCATCCGCCAGCGAACGCGGCTGTGCTGTGCCGAGCGATGCTTACGTGCAGTACTGCCAAAGTACTACGTGGCCTCGCGCCGGCAATGGATGCTTGTTGCGCACAGGTGCTCTAGCGACTTTCAACAACTTCCGAGTCGCCTGCTCTACCTGTCCTAGTACTCGACAGCATTTCGATAGGCCAGTCTGAATGAATGTTATGGATCCACCCAGCATCTGAACATACTGCAACTCACTTTGAGAATTGTAGCACGAGATAGAGCCGAAGTCTCAAGCTTCAGCACGCAAGCTCACTCAACACGTCGAAGTAAGTCCTAGTAGTAGTGGTCCAAGTTGGTGCGTTGCAACCAAGGCATCCGAATCGAGGCCATTTATCACTGTTTATCTATCGAAGTAAAGTTGAAGTAAAGATAGCATAGGTTCCGATAATTCTATGTGAGTTTTCCACAAAGCTATTGTACAGAATCAATTACCTACCCCCATGTGACTTAGTCGGAAGTGCTGAGTTATCGTCGACGCCCCGCCGTCGTGTTCCTCAACGCCGACGACGACGACCTCGCTGCATCCGCACATCCGTCGCTCAAGCTAGGGGAAGACCCGACCTGCACGAGCACATGTTCAAGGCATAACTGATAAGCGAATACCATTGTCCACGACACTCCTTTGTCCCGGCCTAGCCTCGAGGCGGTGTTGCCGCCGAGTGGCACCAATCCTTTGTTTTTTGCCTGTATTTCTCTCGACACACCTTTCTGCATAGGCTTCATCGTCTCCTGATGTCTACCACCAGTATACGACCCGATGAAGACGTTCAAAGGGCTCAGGAGTCAAGGGTAACATCGAAGGACCGATCGCGGACATCATCGTACCGCTGTGTGTCCTGGTCCTATCCGGGCAGGCGTCCGCAACGCCCGTCGAGGATACCGGTCTTCAAACCCCTTCTCGCCGGGTCGGGTGTCTTCGCCAGGCCACCGCATTACCACGATCTCCTATACCGTGCGAGGCGCCGCAAGACGCCGGACAGCATCGAGGACGATGTCGAACTGAGCTCGAGGCTAGCTGGGGTCAAGCTCGTCGAGGACACCGTCTCTTGTTACGAGAACGACGTGGGCATTCTCACCGACGCATCCACTGCCGACGAGCGACCGTTGTTCTGCGGTATGCTGAGCCAGGACGACATCGCCACCGTGCAGCGTCAGTGGCACGATCACGTCGAGCAGCTCCTAGGCGGCATCAGCAAGCGTCTGTCGACTTCATTCGAGGAGATCGTCGCCGCGGCAGGTGGGCCAGATGGCAAGATATGGGACCTCAGTCTGCTCGACAGTCCCGAGCTCAGTGAGTCTGAATTGTCCGCCGAGTCTGACCCGCCACCGTCTACGCCCCGCGCATCCCCCTCCTCCCTTCCCCGTGGTGCAAAGCACGGATCGATGGACGTCTTGCAGCCGCACCCGACGCCCCTCAGTGCGACCGCCGCCGCCTTCATCCCCGCTGCACCGTCGCCCTCCTCCTTCTCCAAGTCGCCCTCTCCGACGCACGAGTTCGCCTTCCCGTCCCTAAGCGCCGACAACCCGGCCGCGTCGCCCGCTGCTCGAAAGCGCTCCCTCCTCCTCAAGGACGGCGAGGGCTTCTACCACTCCGCCGAGGCCAGCATCGAGAACATCCGCAGCTCGACCCCGCGCCGTGCTCGCCCCTCCGCTGATCTCCTCCCAGCCTTCCTCGCCGACGGCTCGAGCACGACCCGCATCCGCGCGCGGAACGCCTCCCGCACCCGCGAGATGGTCGATCGGCTCCGGTCCGGGCGGTGGAACGGCAAGAAGGGCAGCGACAAGGCGAGTCCGCCCAGCCTCGAGCACATGCCCGAGGGCAAACCGACCAAGGAGCGGTCAGTGGAACGCGCATCATCCTCAGAGCGCAGCAGTGTCTCGTCGGGCATGACCGCCGACGCCGACGGCTGGATCAGCGGACCCTCGTCCAAGGCGTCCGACGATGGCTGGATCGACGGTCCGGCGCCCTGCAGCACGCCTGCGCCTGCGCCCACTCCTACCGTAGCAACGCCGAAGAAGGACTCCCGCCCGCGCACCCAGAAACACACACATAAGCGCTCATCTAGCAGCGCGAGCTCGCTCTCCACCGCTGCGTCTGCCCCGCCCGCGACGCCCGTGCAATCGAACCTCCCTGTGCCAGCGCCCGGCTTCTACCCCGCGCCCGCGGCTACACCGCTCGTGAACGCGTTCCCGTACGCGCTCCCGCCGCGCACCCCCGGGATGAGCGACGCGCAGTATCTGATGCACATTCAGAAGCTGCAGCACGATCACTGGGCGAGCTACATGCGGTTTGGGGGTGCGGGCACGTTCGCACCCGGGCCGTATGCGGCGTATCCGCCTGCACCGGTCATGCCTATGGTCTATGGCGCCAAGTGATTTGCTTGTTGACCCCGGAATGTGCGTGTTCTATGCGTGTATGCGGGTTTTGACAACGGGGCTAACACACTGCGGAGATAGGCTGCCTCACTTGTTATCGCGCATACACGCACCTCAATCCGTTCTCAGCACACGCATCCTCTCTTTCCCACTGTCTTCGTATGCTTCTTATCCACGGACCGGCTCTGCTCCTCCATCTGCTCGAAGTTGTTCCACTAGTCGGAATCCCTCCTGGTGGTCTAGGTCACAAATCGCACGTCATCGCTTCGTCTTCGTTCGACTCTCAATCCCCCGTCGTTGTCATTATCGTATTTTCTGCTTGTTCAAGTTCGCTGTTTTGCCTAGAAGGCTGTTGGTCTCGCAGAAAACGCATAGCAAAGTACGTAGTACCCATTGTATGTTCTCAATCACATTCGATTGGCTCTTGGCGGACGTTTATGTTTTTGTCTTGTTTACGCATGCTGTGTTGTACTAGTCTTGGAGATGTAAGCGGTATATATTCTGCAGTCCCTCAACGGTGCGATTCGGCGTCGACCTAGTACATCAGTCTGGATTCTATCGTTCAACACAAATTATACAACAAGAACATACGGTCAACTGAGGATATAGTCAATTTTTCGGGCTAGAACGACCGGGGGCCGTGGTACCGATCGAGGAGAAAATGAATATGAGCTTCACGCCGAGTCGTCCCGATTCAGTCGTCCAGGCGAGGGGTATGGGGAGGCTAGATACAGTACAGAAACTCCGTGCGAACCGAACTTGAAAACGCCGTCCATCGAGTCGCAGCTCGAGGGGACTTGAAGTACCAGTCAAGCATCTTCATCGGATAGTTTGAGTTAAACCGGCGTCGCCACCGAGTTTACGCCATACCACCAAGCGACTGGCGTCGGCCTGAACTTGAAGGGGGAGCAAAGAACACCCTCGGCCTTGTGTCTTCGCTCTGCTCCGTCCTTTCTATCCGTTCCTCTGTCACCCAGATCTCCATCCGCCCACAACCGATCTGCTGCAACAGCCACTCGTGTTCGCGGAAGTCTAGGTCCTCTTCGAGATGCTGCCTCGCGGCGATGCGTTCGATCCCGCAGCGCACGGCATCAAGCGGGTCTGGCGATGGCAAGCGAGAGAGCAGGGGCGTCTCCGGTCCCGGGTCGGAGAAGTCATCCTGGTCGCCACTGGTCCACGATGCCTCTGAGTCAGTTTCGTAAGTGTCGAGTCCGCCCAGGGCGGGCTCGCTGCTTGCGCGGATGATAGTGCGCACGGTCTCGTGCTGCGCGCCGCGAAAGACGAACGAGTGGCCCACTTCGCGCGGCCCGTCAACGGGCTCTTCCTCCTCGCTAAGCGCTTCAAGATCTTCCGTGTGGCCGTCCTCGTCGACTGGCAGAGACCGGCGCGAATAACATGAAGAGCCCGTGAGGTCGTCGTCCACGGTCTCAGGTATAGAGTACAGTCCGGTGTCTGATACAGTGTAAAAACCGGTGTCGTCGTCCGCGAAGTGAGCTAGCACGGGAGCGCTGTAGTCACCGAACGCCGCCCAGGGGACGGGTCGGCTCCGGCTGTCCAGGACGGGGACGGTCCACTGGGGCGAGGTCAGGATCAGACAATGGAAGCACAATGTAGAGCATCCACTTACGCAGGCCTTGTCGTCCACAGACATCCGGAGTAGTTCGTACTGTGTGGCGCTCATCTCGGATTCCTGCCAGAGTGTCGGAAGGCCGAGCTGGTTGAGGTGGTCTGTGGCGATGTTTGAAGGTCAACAGAAGTCGCGCGATGGTTGGAAAGTTATAAGAGTGATGTGGGTCACCTGCTGTTTTTGTTACCTCGGGAGGTGTTGCTTTGTTCATGGATGCATGTATTTGGAAAGAGGCGACAGTTCGGGCCATAGCCACTTACCACGCGCTGAGACTCGGGCTGGCAGCCGTAGCCTGGGCCATGCTGTAGCGCGACACTCGGTTTCAAGAACGAGCCGGGCTCAGTTTTCTCAGTCGTACAGATGATTGACTGCAAGAATTTTGCGTCACCACGTACCTAGAGTTAAAGTTGTTGGGTTCAAACGCACGTCCTCCGCCGCGGACGGTGGCGTGGCAGCTATCAGCGCTCCCGGCCAAGGTAAATTTGCCTGTTGACAATGTCTCCATTTTTTTCTGGTAGGAATGCAAACAAACTCAGAATGCAGAGAAGAACGTGTACTTAGCTTAGAAACATGCCAAAAGTTGGCTGTCTGCGTCCCAGATCGGCCCGGCGCTACAGTTGCTATGTGCACCGCAGCGACAGACTTGGACTATGACTTTGCTATGTCGAGAAAGCGGTGCAAACCGGTCGTTGTACCATGCGTCTGCGAGTCAGGCTGATAATTGTCTGTTCTGCTGGCTACAGCTTCATGGGTGAGAGCACCGACCGTTTACTACTGATAGTGATTGAGGACGGAGCCGAATGAAGGCTGGGAGAAGCGGTGTGCCGCGCAGCCACGTCGGTAGCTGCGTCTGCCTGTGGGACTTGAATGAGTAGCATCTGTCACCGGGGCGTTGGCGATTGACTACTTTCCGACAGCCAGCTCGGCTTCCGAACGACACCCCGGACACACGCGGGTGTAAGGCGGTGGCTGGCAAACATTCAGCGCAGGTTGGTGTATGTATCGCCCAACGACAAACGTCGAGGTAACTTTCTCTGTTGGGTGGCTCGATACAGCTATAGGCTGCACACATCAACCAACTGTCAAAACCAAACAGCGTCTCATTCGTCCAATCGGATGCACAGGCTCCATGTACGATCCGCATCAAGCAACTACTTACAAGTCTCCTCGATACGGCCGTGTATTGACCTGAAGAAGCTTCGATCCATCAGTCATAGTACTCCATCGTGCTTGCTCTCTGATGGACTTTGACCTGGCTAGTACGGAACTGTAACGTGCATAGCTTATAATCAGTACATTGTGTTCGCATGTTCCTTACCATCGCTGTCATTACTTGACCGATAAGATGCGCAACGAAGCCACGGTTGTAGTCAACGGCTGTCCAGGTGTGGACCAATGTGACTGGGACCAAGAAATCGCGCACCTCCACCTCCGTAGCTCGGAGACTGGAGTGTTGAAACTCGTGTATTGCAGTGAGCCTGAGGGGCTCAGACGATATGTTATGTTAGCATGGCAGCCCGTTGGACAGACGCGAATCAATTGCACGTACGAATGGATGATCATATACTGAAGGATGCTCAGAGGCATCGGACATACCGTCACGGTGGCGTTGAAACGTTGTGTACAGTCACTACTAGTACTACCATGGCTGCTGCATACTGTACATAAGCGGTAACGATTCGCTCCGCAAAGCTTAATTCCATTGCACGTGCCGCCTGGCGACATTTCAATGTCTGCATCTCGCTTTCGACGTTCACTTCAAGCAGCTTGAACGCATCTTGGGGAGACGACTTGGCCAACAGCAGTTGGACGTCGCACTGGCGGCCCGACTATTCGACATCATTTCCAGCGGGCGGAGACAAGTCTCTTCGTGTCTACGGGCTACCGTGACGATGACATTCTCAACACGACTGCCTGCGGAGTTCACGAGCCTCTATCGGCTCGTTCTACGAGCCAGCGCTGCATCTGTGTTGAACAAAGGGCCTGCCACGGGAAGATTGCGAAGCGTTTGGAGACCGGGTTTTGAACGCGCGGCCGGAGTGCTACATCACCTGCGGGGTACTTCATTGACTGAAAATGAACGGACGACTCTGCAGCGGTGGTACAGTGCCTGGGAGGTCCGGAGTAAGTATCCCGTTATACATCGCCGATGACGCTCACAAATTCGTGATGCACAGTGGACAAGACGTTGACTTTACTGTCGAGCTCTGCCCGCTCCCGCGGTCTAGCACACCATGTCACCCGTAACCTGAGCCAACTCAAGTGGTCATACGACCAAGCACTGAAATACCACACCCTATGGAATCAGAATATCCCGAGACCACGGTGGAAGCCAGACCTCCCGCCCGATCATATTCAGTACAAGCCTGCGCCCATAGTGCCTGGAAGTCCTATGGACATCCGAATGGATGTGAAGTCTCGCCGACGCCAAATGAGTGCAGAACTCTGGTATACTCTCGGTGAGGTCATCATGATGGCTGAGGGCAGAGACGGTTTGTCCCTTGGGAGAATCAAGACACGGAAGCGGTAAAGGGGTGAGTAAACCGAGCATCTATTCTCGTGACAGTGTTCGCTAGATGACTCAGATAGAGTTCCGCAGCGGTGGGGCCTCAGGCAAGCATGCTGCTGAACAGGGCGGGGTGTGTTCTGCGTCATGGTGGACGAGACTTGTATCAACAAATGTTCATGCATGATACGCACGTCCGGTCACCGGTGTAACACCACAGTTGCTGCCTTACCATGTAGGTCTACCCTACTCGAATATCCGTAACACGGCTAGCTTTCGTCTTACATGTCTTACCTGGCCACGGCACGGGCATCCGCGCTCTCTGCCTCTAACTATCGATATGTTCTGACGATCCTCGGTCTGAGAGCCGGAGCATCCACATCAAGTAGGCCGCCACCGAAGACATCGCGTGTGAAACATTGGTACGCCCATTCCCGATTCCCTGCATCGTGTACTTGCGTGAGTTGATTTGTCGCTGCAGCCTGCTGCAGCATGTGTACATCATAGATGGGTACACTGGACATCAGGAGACGGTGTCCTATGTGGCTGTAGTGATATCATGTGACTGCGACATTAGCATCAACAGCTCGGTGGCAAGCTCATGCTATGGGTACGCCGGCGGCGGCGCCGTAGCCTACACCGATGTCATGAACGCCTACCATATCGTTGGGTGGCAGTATGACAACTGGACATCCCTGCCACTCCGGATGGAGACCGTGCGCGATTTCCACTGTCTACCTTGACGCCTTGACATCGACTGGTGTTAGGATCTACTACGCTTCACGACGCTACGACGTCCATCACATATCATTGCTACCCGTACCTGTATCTGGCGCTCACGACGGATGCTTCTAAAAGCCACTCTCCGTCGTGGAATGTTCCTCGCCTTCGCCCTTCGTTCTTCGGCCCTTCCTGATCGAGCTCCCTTTACGATTTTCGTGCGTCGTCTCTCCCTCATCTGCCTTGCCATGCACGCAACGGCTGCCCGACGACGTTTCGACAAGTCGCTGGACATGGTCGCGGCGCGACCCGAGCTCTTTGTTGACCTTGTGTCATCTCCGTCAAGCACGGACAATGCCTGGAGCATGCTGGAATCCCCGATCTTGGGACGGGACGTTGTGCAGGGCCCCCGCACCCCCTTTGAGCAAGCCGAACGTTCTCCGCTAGCGCTCGCACCGGTAAGTTCAGCACTCAGATCGTGATCTAGCCACTGATGCGACTTGCTCGCTCTACTTGCAGGCAGCCCCAGTCGCGCCGCTGAATATCAAGAAGATGCGTAGGAGAGGCTTATTGAGTGGGATTCATCTGGTACTTCCCAAGACCCCACTGCCACCACCAACACCAAATCCAGGGCACACTCCGCAAACCTCCCTCACCTTCACAGCGGAATTGGACGCGTCAGGGAGAGGCTTCCTCTTCACGCCTGTCTCTGACGAGCCTATGTCTGCTCCGAGTCCCCAGAGCACTCAGAGCCCTGTCCCAGACGACATTGACGGAGAGACCAGCGACATTGAGCCCGAGCCGCCTGCTGCCGAGCCATGCAGACCAGGCAGTCCATCCTCTCGGAGCTCTGCGAGCTCGGTATCCTCCCGTTCTTCTGTATTATTTAACCACGAACGCAAGCGATCCGACACGTCTACTTGCCCATCCTCTGTCATGGAGGATCAGAAGCCCTTTGAAGACCCTATTAGCCCTGCTGCGGAGGAGACTATCAATACGCTGGAGTCGGAGCTGTGCCGCACGGCGTTGATGCGACGATCGAAGTCGTTCGACCATTCGTGCTTTGCCTGCATGGACGACGAGCTGCTGCTAGACCCATGGCAAGCTTTCGATTCGCTCTGCTGGACGGCGTCGGTGGACCAGTTTCCCGAGAGGCACAGCGCCTTCCCACTCAGCCCTGCTGTGCCTGTCGCAAGACCACGCGCCGATGTCCCAGAAGATACGATCAGCGCTAGCATCGTGAACTTTAAGGTGCGCATCCAGCATTCGCCCTCTCTGAGTCGTCCGTGCAGGTGCTGACTCCATTGCAAGGCCCGCACATCCCATTTCTCCGCTGATGATCAGAAGTTGACGGTGGCGGCACCGGTGCGAGCCTCGAGAATCATCAGTCCCCTCCACATGCACATCTCCACACTCAAGGCCTTCAGATTTCCCAGGCGCAAGTGCAAGTAGTTACGTACGTTACTTACTGTCTACTACCACAGCATTCCTTACGACTCTTGACGCGGCTGCTCTTATTCTTAGAACCCACTCCCTCGTGCTGCATCAATTAACCTCCGGGGCTGTGTCTTGACGTGTCGTTGTACAGTATTGTACAGTAGAAGTACTTCCCGCCCTGAGCTGTAAGTAGCTATCGACTATGGACCTTATCCGGCGTGTACACATGTCAGTCCCTACAATTGAGTCGTTGACATATTGGGCATCCATCAACCGTACATGGCTTGCAATGGCTCTTTTTTCATATTTATCTCCATGCAGAGCGCTGACTTCTGCAACCGCTAGGGCCACTTGGGGGGAGGCAGTAGGATGCAGTCCTCCGCGTACCGCCGACTCGTTTTCTCACAGGACGCTTCCCACCAATGGGAATAACAGAATGAAGTGTCTGAGAGCATAGATCTATCGTAGATTAGACCCGGTATCCACCAGGCAATATCATGTGCTGCATAGTCAATCCGTCGGTCATCGCCAGACGCAGACATCAAGGTCGTCGAGGCTCGGTCGTCTCGAGTCCGCTGCTTCGCGTTGCCCGGACACCCGAGGCTCCCGCTCGTTACCACCCTTGCGGGCCCGCTCGCTCCCGAACGAGCTTCTCTACGCGGACCATAGCGCTCGCGACATCCTTGCAGATAGCGTCTTCCCCGAGGAGCTTGATGATCCCCGCCCGCTCGAAGGACCCACGGGGACCCTTCTTGAGATGCGTGATGAACAGCCCCACCCCACGGCTCTGTTCAATGACGGCAATTAATGTACGACCATATGGGGACCCGGATCGATGCATACCTGATATGTCTCGGCCAATTCGTAGAAGATCATGGCGGCTCTGTCAGCAGCGAGTCATGTAAGTCCAAAAAGTATTGGGCAGATGAACAAGATAACGCACGACGCGTCAACACTGTCAACGTCCGCTAGGTGGAAGACAAGCACGCTAGCGTGTTCGCGCTGCGGCTCGTCCGACGGGTGATGCTTGCTGATGCCATACAACTCTAGCCGACGGAGCCGCTCTGTATACCCGTCGTCAGTCCACCGTGCTATGCGCAGATGCTGCGGCAGCCAATGGAAGTCACCTTTCAATTGTGCGGTGTTTGCTGTGCACGACACCCATAGCACGTCAGTCAGATAGCCGCGAGTAGCAACCATCAGTATGCGCACCAAAGTCAAGGTTTTCTCTGATCCTCACGATGAGCACACCGGCTGCGTCTTCCTGCGCTTCTGGGTTCTCGTCAACAGGCTTCCACACGTCGGTGCCGGGAAGACGACCCTGACAGGCCGTCAGACGCCTGATACATTAGGCCCATACGAGAAATGCACGTACCAGTATCGTCATACGTGGTTTTGATGACTTGTGCACAACCAGCACCAACGATATGACGAGGCTGACCGCAACACCCATCTCCAAATCCCAGAAGATGGTCAACGCGAAGGTGAGCGCCATAAGGGACAGGTCGACCCAGCTCCGCATACTAATCCACGATGAACGGCGAATCAGCGTCTTACATCCGACGAGCCTATCAATGCGACAGACGACATACCGCCAATAGAACTTCAGGTCGTGGGGCACTTCTGCCAGGAGCGAGAACACGACCAGGCAGATGCTGATACCGACATCACGCATTAGTTCACGCACCCGGTCACACTAGCCGACGGGGTTGCCACTCACACAGCACCGAGCACAGTTTTCGGCAGGTAGTACAGCCAGGGCATGAGATAGAACACAGCGAGGAGGACGACCACGGAGCAGACCATTGACGACATCTGTGTACGCGCGCCTACCTCGCCGTTGATCTTTGACCTGTCCGTTTGTATACTCAGCCGCAATATACGATATGACAGCTGGATGATAACACGCACCGGGTGATGGACCCGAAGGCGGGCAGCGTCCCCGGGACAAAGGAGCCGATGAAGTTGCCAGCGCCGAGCGCGACGAGTTCACGGTTGGGGCTGATGCTGTAGCCATACATCCCCGCGTTCTGTTTTGCTGCGACGATGCTGTCGAGGAATCCGACAATGACACAGACACTACAAAAACCCCGCATTGAGAGTGATGTCGACGCATACTTAGGGAAAGCAGGACGCGCGTACAATGAGAGGGACGTCGTCCTCCGCAGGAACTTGAACGTCATCTTCGTCAGCGGGAACTGGACGAAGTGGGAACCCGTGTTAACCGGAACACTTCCAAGGATCTCAACTCCCTGATCGTCCCAGTCCAGCTTGTCGGACAGAACTGACGGGTGTGAGTTCGCAGTGCATCACATGATATCAAATGCCGCCTCACGCGTTGAACAGACGACCACCAATAAGACCTCTGGCATCCGATAAATGAGGGTATAGCGCTTGAAGAAGCCCTTGAAGCTGCGTATGCCGAGGAGGATCAGCAATGCGCCGAACCCGATGATCATTGTCAGTCGATGCGAGTGTGTCCACATGTTCTCCGCGATGAAAACCAATTTGTCGAGGGTCGTATGCAATTGATATTCGTTCCGCAGTGCAGTCAAACCAAACATGGGTATTAGCTGTTCGCTGTGTGCGGGTGACAATCAGCGCCGTGGAGAAGAACATCGCGGGTTTGGGTTGGGAGAAGGGACCTACACTAGGATGACGATTGCCACAGCAGTGACGAACCCGCGGAGAAGCGCACGGCTGAGGACAACGTCCATGAAGCCGAGGCGGAACAAGCCAAGCAGAAGGGCAATGAGTCCAACCTAGGAGCAGTTCGTCAGTCAATCTAACAGTCTCCAGTCTTCGCTGAGCGCACCTGAAAGGTGATCACGGTCGCCACCGCGATGCCCACTTGATCTCGCCCGTATTGTGCGAAGTGTGGGTCGTGGAGAAAGTCATCGATTGCTTGTCCAATGAGGAGTGACAATGACGCTTCGGGGGACACGTTCAGTTGCCTTGATGTACCGAAAAGCGCATATATCAAGCCGGGGACAGATGCAGAGAACTGCCCGCGCATAGCTAGTCAATTATCAACACTCTGCCGACTGGATGGGACGTACCAGGCCAGTGGTGGGGTTTAATCGTGCTAGAGATGTTGCATACGAGACAGATTGGGGTATAAGCATGCAGGCAACTGTGAGGCCTCCCAGTAGATCACCACCGAATCTATGGGACTCAAGGTGAACACCGTGTACCTTCCTAACCTAAAGAAACAGCTTGAGACGCACAATGACCATGAATATGCGGGTATCCAAGCGGTGGAGGGCACGTAATAGTTGACTTTTGCCCAGTTCGATGTCCTCCGGCGATGAAGAGTTGGACGGGTAGCTGGAGCCTTGTCAACATGTGTTCGGTAAATGGGATATGAGAACAAGATGAGAGCAAATGAGATGATACAGAAGATGTCATCCTCAGACTGCGCTTATGATCATGCCGGCAACAAAGCTTAGAGAGGATGTGGTGGAGTGCTAGTGACTACTAGCCTAGTGCTCACTCCCGCTCAATCTGGCACGAACCTCAGTTGTGCGAAGAAGCTCCTACCCAGTGCCTGCGAACCCGTATGACCCAGACTGGCCTCAGACGAGACTTCTCGCAACTGCAGGCGCGCATGCGGCCGGCTTCTCTTACTCAACCACCACAGGTGCGGAGGCGTGCAGCATCCCGGGCTGGAAATGAGCTCGTCTATGCCACTCTCAGGCTCACAGGTCTCCACCACGACAGTGTCTCTGCCTTCCCTGTACTATCCCGCCAACCATAGCCTGATTGCTGCTCACCTCGTGCTCTCGCTGCCCCATAATCCGTGCGACCGTGCTCGACGTCCACTCCCAGGATCGGTGTCTCCTCTGCGTGCGGGCCCGGTGAAAGTGGGGTCTTCAGCCCAGTGGGCGTGGCCGCCCCGGAAGCAAACATTGCTCGCAACGACGACGCCGACGTGCGGCCTGAGAGAGTGAGTGGAGTCGGATGGTGGTGGGCGCGGTTTACGCTTCCTCCAGTGCCTTGCGAGTCCATGATACGGTCTTATTCGGGCAGCTTATCGGTCAGCGAGAGGGTTGGACGAGGTCGTCCAGCGGAGTGCCGTACACGGCAGAGGGATCGCGATAGGTGTGAATTTGGAGCTGGAGTAGACTGAGGCGGCTTAGGCGGAGGCTGTCAGGCGCTGGTGCTATGTCGCTGCGGTCAATTTTGTGACGGTCGTGCTCGCTGTGCAGGACTCATCGTCGGGGTCGACGCCAGCGTCAGCCATCGTGCCCTCGCTTGCCCTCACGCTGCTCGACGAGCTCTGCGGGATGTGCACTGCACACATTGTCCAATCATTGAGCGCCGATTTCTCCACGGCCCTCCACGGCCCGGCCCAAGCCCGCCCCCTCGATCGTGTCTCAAAGTCCAATTTTCCTCGTCTCTGTTTGTCCGTCCTGACTGCTTTGAGACTCCAGCTTTTTGAGCTACGTGCATATCCCTCGAGAGCATCCTACGACCTGGGTGTGGTGCAGTCTCTCTTGCTCAAACTTTTGGCCATCGCAGGCAGCCGTGCCGTTCCTGCGGCAGAGTGAACCTCCTTTGGACTTGACTCTCGTTCTCATTTAATTCGCTCATATGCCTCGGAGGTATCAGTCTTGCTGAGACTTCACAGTCAGGCCTCTAGCTAGCTCTAGTTTCGTGACGGTGAGTGCTTGAGCTACCTTATTTCCCGTCGCTCGTCAAATTCAACATGCTCGAAGTACAGTACTCCTCGTAACGCGAAGCTACTGAAGAGGCGAACGTACAGCTTCGCTAGACCGGTCCCTAGAGTCGCTATCAAGCAGACACAGACACAGACACGCCTTCCACCTCCTGCACCGCTGTGCAGAGAAACTTACAGTGTTCTGCCGCAGCGTCGTAGCGACACCTGCCCCCGCGCGAAGCAGCGAAACTTAGGTTATCTCGCGGGTCGCGGGTCGCATGTCATTGCCTCGCGAGCTTGGAAGGATGTACAGCGAAGCAAGCAGGGGCCTCAGCCTCTATGCTGCTCTCCTGTTCAATCGTCAGGTAAATCGTGGCTATACATACGTGCCTACAAAACGAGTTGACGATCTCTCCTCCGCTCAGTAGAAAATTTCGAGCGTGTATATATCAAACACCGTGCCTCGAGTCGGTCCTATGTAAGCCCGAGATGAAACTTCACAAAGAACCTCGCACATCGAATTTCGTTTGGCTGCATCCTCCAAAGTTATATATCGCAGGTGAGCACTGTGCATTTGGTCCCATGCCATCCCTCTTCCCGTCGGGCTCTACATACTACGCGAGCCGTCCTTATCATCGCTTCGCAGTCCGTGCTGCTGTGACCTACTTCAACGAAGCATGCCACTGAATCGCGAAGTTTGAAGTTCGACCGAGTGTCTATGGTCACACGAGCACAACACGTCTTCGCGTGGTTTAACAGACTGGCCATACCCTACACCGAGAGCGTCTGGTTGTGTATCTTGTCAAGCTTTCCAGAGCCGTCCCTTCGGTCGGAATACGAGCGCCTTATGGGTCCACGCGCAACCGGCGTGCAACACTCACAAAAATGCGGTTGCAGGGACGCACGCTACCATCGGGGGATACAACAGCCTCCGACGTGATGACACGGTACACCTGTGTCTTCCGAGCCTGTTTGACTTCGACGAACGACAGAGTCGCTGCCTCCTGTTCTCCACGAGGCGCTCTCTGATTCCGAGACTCGTGCGCTGCCGTTGTGTTGTGGTCCTTATGGAAGTCACTGTCGGTAAGATCCCGCGCCACTACGGTGGCGGTTCTCTCGCTGTCCGATGCGCAGTCCCGGCTCTCGTATGATGCTCCGAGACTGCCCTTCAGCTGGAACTTCGAACAGAGGCCGTACGTAACGGGTGTCTTCGTTCTTTGCTCGATGCCGATGAATTGTGTGGCTCGGCTTGCGTATGACGGGATAGGGCGCAATAGGATTGCGGCCGCGAACGCTGAAGCTTTCCACGAGCGCCGAGGCCGGAATCAAATCTGCCTGTTGGATGGTGCGTGCACGCCTGTCAAGGTAACTTAGACCAGTTTCATGCCTCCTCTAGGAAACTTCAGCGCCCTTACTCGGGCACAGTATGCACTCTACGGCTGGCTCTGCAGTCTCCCTGCGATAACCGGGGTGACTCGAGCGATGATGCCTTTTCGCGCAGTCCTCGGGCGGTGTGGGGAGACGCCACCCGTCCAAACAGGGCCAAATAGCGCTGGCACATCCTTATCAAGCCGAAGCCCGCGTCGTCAGACACCTTACCGCCGACGACCATGTCTTTCCTGCTCAACACTCTGCTGGCGGTGTCCCTGGCCGCCTCTGGCCTCGCCAGTCCGCTCTCTACGATCCCGCACGAGGTCCCGCGCGGCAATGCGTTCTCGTACGCGCCCCTCGTCGCGGAGCACCACCCGCACGGGTCCGTCAACAACTCCTATATCGTCATGTTCAAGGACGACGTCGCCCCTGTGCTCATGGCGAACCACATGAACTTCCTCCAGGGCGTCGAGGAGGAGCACCCGCTCATGGGCGACCTCGATGCGGGCCTCCGACATGTGTATGACGGACACGTCAAGGGCTACGCCGGCAAGTTCAGCGACAACACTGTTCACCGCATCCGTCAGATGCCCGAGGTGGATTACATTGAGCGGGACCAGATCGTTCGGACTCTCGAGATCGACGTGGATAGCACGAGCATTGAGACACAGAAGGGTGCGCCTTGGGTAAGTGCTGAATCTGTTGGATATGTTGTGATGTGTGGTCGCGTGCGAAGTCGTGCGCAGTAATAGGTGGCATCATGTCTGGCGGGTTGGTCCGGTGTCGCTGGTGCTGTCCGCCAGTTGCTCGACCTACCTGCTGTACCATGTCGTTGCAGCATGCCCCTATAAGCGATGGTCTTCGCTCGCGATTGCCATTGGACTTGTTTGCAATCGTATTTGTTGAATACTGATGTACCAATCAGGGCCTTGCACGGATAAGTCACCGTCCCAAGCTCACTTTCGGCACCTTCACGAAGTACGAGTATGACTCTCACGGTGGCGAAGGTGTTGATGTCTACGTCATCGATACCGGTATCAACGTCGAGCATGCCGAATTCGAGGGTCGTGCGGAATGGGGCAAGACTGTTCCCCAGAACGACCAGGACATCGATGCGAATGGGCACGGTACGCATTGCGCAGGCACTATCGCATCGCGTAAGTACGGTGTCGCCAAGGCTGCGCATGTTATCGCGGTGAAGGTCCTCGGCAGCAACGGCAGTGGCACGATGAGCGACGTCATGGCTGGCGTCGTCTGGACTGTCGAGCAGTCCATAGCCAAGGCTAAGGCTGCCGCTGAGGAGTTCAGGAAGACTGGCAGGACTGCGCACAAGGGCTCCGTTGCGAACATGTCCCTTGGTGGTGGCAAGTCCAAGGCTCTCGATGATGCAGTTAACCGGGCCGTCGACCGTGGAGTTCACTTCGCTGTTGCAGCTGGTAAGTGCCCGGCTCATGTTCTTGTAGGGTGACGTTTTCAAATCTTAAATATCTCGCAGGTAACGACAACAAGGACGCGTGCAACAACTCGCCCGCTGCTGCAGCGAAGGCTGTGACGGTTGGCGCCTCCACACTCGGAGATGAGCGTGCTTACTTTTCCAACCACGGCCCCTGCGTCGATGTCTTCGCGCCCGGTATGCTTCATGGACTACGTATCATCTGATAGAGTCTCACAAAGTCACTCGCAGGTCTGAACGTACTCTCGACTTACATTGGCAGCAACACAGCTGTTGCGTCGCTCTCTGGTACTTCGATGGCGTCGCCCCACACTGCTGGCATCCTCGCGTACCTGCTCTCGCTCTACGGCTCAAAGACCTTCAACCCTAACGTCGCGCCCGACTTCTCGACCCTCTTCCAGCAGCGCCCCGCTCATTCCATCGGCTCCGCATATGCTTTCGCGCACTCTGTGCTCCCGAGCTGGGTGGCGACCTTCCTCCCGCCACCGGAGCTCGTCCTCGACGTCGCGCCCGTGCCGCCGACGATCACGCCCACGCAGATGAAGATCGCGCTGCTTGCGCTCTCGACGGAGGACGCGCTCGAGACTCTGCCATCGGGCACGCCCAACCTGTTGATCTTCAACAACGCGACGACGGTGTGAGTCCGTCCCGGGGTTGAGTCGTCTTGCGTTTGTGCACCGTACACTGTTGCTCTCGTTACGCTACTTTGATGTACCATCCATAACCTCCTGCAATAGAGGCCACTGCATGCTTGTGGTTACTCGTGTATCAATATATTGTCATCGGCCTGGAAGTTGTCGTGTTGTGGCTTTTCGCGATATCGTGCTGAGATGCTCAGCCTAGAATGCATGGACGAGAATCGACGCGTTAGCAGTGGTCCTTCAGGAATTTTGGTCTACGGTCTCATGATCGCGAAAGAAAATGTGTATGCGCCGGTACACTTCCTGCGGTATGGCGAAGGCCGCATGTTGTTATCAATGGGTGGTCCCGAAAGTACAAGCCCCCCATTCCAAATCCATCATACCTAAACTTACCAAAGTCAAGACTCGGATGCAAGCCACCCGCTGCTTGGATTCACACCTGCTGCTTGTATCAACAAATTCTCCGCGATTGGGTCAGACAGAGCCGTAAGTATGGTCCAGGTGAGTCCGACGCTCAGTGAGCGCTTCACGCTGCCACAAGCGCGTAAGTACCTCTCACGCGCATGACGCGTGACCGTGACACCGTGTGGCTTTGTGGCCAACCGCGTCGGGTCTGTTCAGCTTTAGATTCGACCGCTACTGTAATCATTCAATACTGGTTTCTCTTTCCCCCATCAGCACTACGAACTTACTACATCTACACGCGCTTGAAATGGCGCCGAAAAAGTCCAAGCGAACAAAGGCATCTGCGCCCGCGGGCAGGGTTACTGCCAAAACGGAGGCTCGATGGAAGAATGTGCGCGGCCGACGCGGCGGCCTGCAAGATATGCTCAACATGCCGATCGATGTTATCCAGGAGGTAGAGTGGAGTCGTGCGCGAGGTATGTAAATCATTGACTGACGATATCGTGCAGATTTGCTTGTATCTCCATCCTCGCGATCTACTGAGCCTCTCCCGGACGTCGAAGTCGTTCCACACGTTCCTCATGCAGCGGAGCTCCGCCTATTTATGGAAGGGCTCGATCAAGAACATTGTAGACCTACCTCCGCATCCAGAGGGGTGGATTGAACCCGCATGGATATCCCTCATCTTCTCCCCATATTGCACGGTAAGTGGTACGGCTCCTGGTGAACTGCGTCATGTTTCTGATGTATATCTGCTCCCGCACGCGTTGTTTCTCAAGGCTTGCGGCACAGGTAAAGCCACAACCGTGTACTGGGAGTTTCTGGCTCGGTTCTGCGCACGTTGCAGGCCACAAATGTCAGCCTTTCGTTATCGACATTACTTACTCACGTTCGCTGAATGTCATTCCTACGTTCGCGTGTTAGGGTTGTTGCTACGAATAGGGTAGACAAGATCCTTAACTCCGATCAATGGCGGAATTTCCATTGGATACCAAAGGATATATTCCTTACAGTAAGTACGTCTACACAGATGTTTCGAGCTCTACTAAGTGTGTTCGTAGGCCGTGGAGGTTACGGGGTTTAAGGGCCCGTGTTATAGCCAATCTCAAGTGTTCGAAGCTATCGACACTTACGGAAAGCTTTATGCGGCTGGGAAGTGGGATTCCGCAAGAAAGCTCGGTGATGAAGACATCAAACGAGCACGACGGTCCCGTGAGGTAGATCACGTAGTTCATTCATTCTGTACCATCTGGTCTGATCCAGCCATGTCCGTGTAGCACGCGATCTTATGCCAAAAATGGGCCGAAAAGGAAGAGCACCTGCATACGGAGGAGGTTGAGGCCGTTATCCGCGAGCGCCTCGAGGAGTAAGCAGCATTAGACAGTCGGTCTGAAAACCACTCACCGCTAGACGTAGCATTGCCTCACGCCTACGTCCGCTTGGATGGGGTCTTGAACTCGACTTCGTACGAGGAAGAAACTACACACCACTCTCAGAACATAAGCATGTTCGGGTTGCCAAGAAACTCACTGAGCGAGGTGAGGCTCAGTCATCCGTCTGTAAACGCTCTCATCGATGACGTCCCAACTGTTCAGTTTGGCAAAATGCGCAAGACGAGTTAGTCCAATGCATGAAACATATACGCAAAGAACGCCTGGAACACGAGTACGAGGCCATGCTGACGGCTCGTTGGTCTGTCCTGAAGAGCGCCGGCGGCGAGATGCTAGGCCGATTTTTCGGCAGGTGCCCGGAACTAATGGACTACGGGATCGGCGCGGAGGACCTCGCTCTCTTCAAAGAGTTTCGCGATATCATGTTCGCGCCTGCTGACGAAGTCGTTGATCGAGCACATTTTCTTGCGCTGGAGGGCCAGTTGGACACACTCGTCGAGAAATGGCGAACACGCATATGCAAGCATCTCCGTGGACTCCTCAGCAAGCACAAGATCAAGTCGCCTAGAGGAGTGGATCCCCTCGACCTCGCCACGACGCTCTTTGAGTTCACCGAAAGCAGCTTTCCACGTATAGAGCCCTTCCCAAACGTCATTGCACCCAACGCTCTCCGCTTCCCGACTCCGAGGACCAGGAGAGACGCGTATGAAAAAGTCGTGTATTGGCAAGCACGTGCAGACCTGTCCTTCATAGGTACTGCGCTGAAGCCACTGAAACCGAATGACTTCGTGCGACGGGTCATACAACTCTGTGGCAAGGATCCTGACACCGCAACAGCGAGAGAGATGGATGCTCTGGATGTCAGATTGGTCTCTGATGAGATTGTGACCTGGCGCGGTGCGGTGAGTGTTGCTTATGTCTTATATGGCCATCTGTCCTAACAGGAAATATTCATGCAACAGGTTGTGAAGGCCGCTAAGTGTGAACCGCACAACGTGCTCAATTGGCGGCTGGCCGACGCTCATGAAATCATCGAAGTGAAAGAAATCGAGATGAGAATATTGACAACGGCGAAGGTGTGGACGTGCACCAGATGTGAGGAGTCACGTATGCCCGTGGCACGAGACATTGTCATGGAGCATCTTTGTACAGAGTGAGTGTTCATATTCTCGACTTTGCTACCGAATCAAGCATGACCCGTGATGTTTAGACATGGGATCGCGCGTTCGGAGATTGTAGATGGGGATGTTGCGATGAACGAAACACTGGCGTCCTCTGTTCTGATGGGGTGTCGTATCGGGATTTACTATCTGAAATGTACTCAACGCTGATCGATCCTGGAGCGCGAGAAGTGATCGGAGGCGAGGCAGTGAATCACCGATCCAGCTTGTGGTAATGGGTAGTCCGTTACATTGTACGCTATGTTGACACTTATTTTGCCTGCTGGATTATTCACTAGTATGCCGTGTTCCATATATTCACGTCTCAGCGACGTAGCCTAGTCTTGCTGTACAGTTTTGAACTGTAATTCAATTGTGAGGTAGAGTCAGGATTGACACATACTGTACTATGCATGAATGAGATGGGTTAGACTCTATGTTATGTCGTGTTTTGGCTGTAGCCGCCTACTAGCCTCTGGCAGCGTTGCTGCCACAGGCGCGTATGTATCACGTGTATTATGCGTGACCGTGGCGTGGCTCTCACTGGCAGCACTGTGGCCAACCAGTTCGCGTCAGTCTTCAGATCTTCGGACTCGGGACTCACTACTTGGTTCTCAGACTAGAACGCTACATACTAGCTCATACATCTTTCCCTCTCTTTGTCACCTTTGCTTACGAATCTCGCACTCGAACATGCCTCCAAAGAAATCCAAAAGCCGAAAAGTCTCTGCGAGCGGGGTTACTGCCGAAGCATTGACGCGGTGGAAGAATGTGCGTGGTCGTCGGGGCGGCCTGAAGAGCATGATCAATATGCCAATGGACGTCATCCAGGAGGTAAGGCGCGACTTACTATGCGCGGCGTAAGGTGCATGAATATTTGTTTGACGACGCTGTTCGACAGATCTGTTTGTATCTCCATCCTCGCGGCTTACTGACACTCTCCCGAACGACGAAGTCATTCCATGCATTTCTCATGCAGAGGAGCTCCGCGTATCTATGGAAGGACGCCTTGAAGAAGGTCGATGGACTCCCTTCTTGTCCGGAGGGATGGATCGAACCCGCATGGGTGTCCCTCGTCTTCTCTCCGTATTGTACCGTAAGTAGGATGTCATACAACGGAATGCCGCAATTATCTGATGCGTGTTTTGGCACCCACGGCTTATATCTCTAGGCTTGCGGCGAGGGCAAAGCTGCGGCAGTAGCTTGGGAGTTTCTCGCCCGATTTTGCACGAGTTGTAGGGATAAAATGTCAGTCTCTCACCCCTTATGTTTGATCACGTTCACTGACGCCGTTCCCGTATCTGAATCGCTAGGGTCGTCGCCGAGAATAAGTTGCGTCTCACACATGAACAGTGTCGACACTTCGGCATGATTTCAAAAGAGGCTTTCATCAAAGTAAGTATTTGACAACAGTCTGAATTCTGTATATCAACTAGTGCTTTCAGGCACCGGTAACTGGGTTCAAACGACACTGCTATATGTGGTCACAAATTCTTGAAGTCCTCGAAGCTTACGGAACACTTGATAAATCTGGGAAGGCGAAGGAGGCAAGTGACTGCGCTAACAAATACGTCCAGCAGGCGAGACGGTCACAAGAGGTAGGGTCTTTGCCATCATTGAGTGGGGTGAATATAGACCTGATGAGTATCATCTGTAGCATGCGGCCCTGTGCCGAAAGTGGGCTGACAATGAAGAGCGCCTGCGGACCGAGGAAGTAGAATCCATTATTCGTGGACGATTTAAGGAGTAAGGGCAGCCTCATTAATTGTCTTTATAATTCTCATCATGGGGATATAGCATCGTTTGTAGGCTACGCGCACTTGGATGGGGACCGGAGCTTGACTTTATCAAGACCCGAGACTACACGCCACTCTCTCAACACAAGCTTGTACTTGTTGCTAAGAAGCTCACCGACCGAGGTCAGTAACAGAGCAGTTTTCCTGTATATATATGCGCGAACTACCGCTGATCGATCCGTTCAGTATGGCAGAACATACAAAGCGAGTTCATCCATTGCATGGAAGGGATACGCGAGGAGCGCTTGGAACATGAGTTCAAACCCGTGCTGGCGAAGCGCTGGCCCATCCTAGTGAGCGCTGGCAACGAGCTACTAGACCGGTATCTAGGCGAACATCCAGACCTGCTGGCTTACGGATTCAACGTTGGGGACCTCGCTATCTCTCAGGAGTTTCGCAACATAATGAACGAACCTGCCGACGAGGACGTGGACATCACAAGCTTTCTCGCCCTAGAGGGGCATGTGGGCACGATTGTGGAGAGATGGCGGACACGCGTCTGCGAAGAACTGCGCGGATTATTCGTCAAGCACGAGATCAAGTTGCCTGAAGGCAGGGACCCGCTTGAGCTCGCCACAACACTGTTCTCCGGCACTAGCACCCCCTTCTGGCAACATGCATTCTTTCCGGATGTCGTTGCAGATCAGCGTCCGCGCTTCTCTGTTGATTTCGAAGCGAAAGACGGGTACGAGAGGTTTGTGTACGACCAACCACTGGCACGGTTACGCTGCTATCTATCGTGCGATATGCTTCGCCCGATACGACCTGGCGCAAAATTCATGCAAGAGATAATAGAGCTCTGCGGAAGGGATCCGGTCACCGTCACTGCGGAGGAAATGGATGTGCTGGATGTCAGATTGGTGGATGAATGTGAACATATATGTGTCACTTGGCGTGGCGCGGTATGCTTGGTATCCTCCATGTGGCTATGTCTTTCTGAATGGTTCCGTTGCAGATACTATCCTCGGTTAAAGGCGGCTGGCACAAATGGCGATTGGCCAGCATAGATGAGACTGCCAAGGTGAAGGAACTCGAGATGGTGAGATTAGAAAAGGCAAAGCTGTGGACGTGGACCAGATGTGAGACATCGCGCATGCCCGTGGATCGACACGCGATATGGGAGCATCTCCGAAACGAGTAAGTACTACATTGTCATTCACACTCGAGGCTGACTGCGTGCTGCTGTAGTCACGAGATTGAACGTCCGGAGACAGCGAATGAAGCCATCAAGATGAACCGGATTTTGGCATCGACAGTATTGGGGCGAATTATGATCCCTGTCGGTAAACTGCCAGCGTGAATCTTACAGAGCGCTCGGTCAGGATGCAGACAGACATCAGAGAGGAACCTGATCACGGCGATGGCCACATCATCTCCGAGTCAAGATTATCGGTGAATGCTGGCACCGGTACGGCTAGCAGCCAGTGTACGATGACTTGAGCTCCGTGTATTGCAAGTGTGTCGCATTATATGAAGCATGCTTAAGTAGCCATGTGGCATGCGCAGATGCGTACAGTCGGCGATTACGTCGTCACTAAGACTCACAAATTTACTCGGATTGCGTACTTCTAGTAGGACGTTGCGACTTCAGGTATCCGACGCAGCTCGTTACTTACTACATCCTCAGTGGTCATCAACATCCCCCATTGACGTCGCGTTGCGAGAGACACTTCTGGCTGTCAAAGGTATGCGACAACAACAGGCCTTCATGGCCTGTCCGCCCTGCGCATGCGCTATGTCAATGAAGGTCACGGTGCGTTTTAACAGCTCTCCATCCCTCAGCGAGATTGGCTCACGCGAATGCTAGGCCTGTCCACAAACCCCTGTTCATCTTCCCTACGCTGCCGGTGACTTCGCGTAGTGACAGTTATCCCCTGCTTATTACATTTGTTGCCTAACCAAAGTGACTCTGCATGGCGAGGGGCTGTGTGGCCTACTACACCAGAAAAGGTAAGAGATACCAAATGCGACCCTCGGTGGCTGTCACGGTGCGCCGGGGCGATTCGTCTGCGCATTTGCCTGGCCGAATGCTCCACAGTCTTCGAGTCGGGTCCGCCGTCTGGTGACTCTGGTGCGCAGCAGGGCGGCAGCGATATGTTCCGCCCAATATGACTAGGCCGCGCCCTATATAAGCAGTGAGTTCTTCGCTCACGGCCCTCAGACTCTTACCATACTCAGCCACAATGTCTTCCCCCCAGCTTCACATCAAGCTCTTCCAGCCTAACGGCGTCACTCGTGCAATCGTCTTCACGGCCCTCCCGACTTGGGACGAGCTCGCCAATCGTGTCAAGGCTTTCTTCGACATCCCTGAGAACTCCGTCGCTCTGACCTACGTCGACGCCGACGGCGATGAGGTGACGCTGGACTCGCAACCTGAACTCCATGAGCTCTTCACCACCCTTCCAGGAGACACCGACTCTACCACCCTTAAGTTCGCGGTCCGCGATATACGCGACCTCCGTGAGGGCTCGTCATTTGAGGATTCGGACCATACGATGTCTTCACCGTCAGTTCAAGACGATAGCGAATCACCGGTTGACCGCACCGCCGATCTCGTCGCCGGAGTGGACGCTGCTCAAGGTGAGCGGGCACCGCCTCAGATCGACGAACCTGTCGTTCGAGACCCTTCAGCCGTAAACATGCCCCCAGGGGGCTTCGACTCTCTTCGAGGCCGTCGTGGCGGTCACCGAGGCGGGCGGGGCGGAGGACGGGGCTGCTGTGGAGGTCCTGTCCACGGCCATCGCGGCCTGCCTCGCGGTCCTCCTGGCAGGCCTCCCGCCGATCTGCCTTTCCCCTTCGTCCATGGTCTACCTCCTCGTACTCGCGGCGACTTCGTAAGCCACAGCCTTCCACCGCCCCCGATGAGTCATGAGATGTTCCGCGCACACAGCGCCCCTCCTGCGCTCTACGCCAATGTCCCTGAGGGCATGTTCCTTTCTGAGATATTCGTGGAGATGGGTCTGTCTCGCGAGAGCTCTCCTCGATCCCGTAGCCCTTCTACTTCTCCGTCTCGTAGCTCAACCCCGAACGACGGGCGCCCCCACGGACATGATCATCATCAGCGGGATCACGTCGACAATCACCGTCGTCACCACCACAACGTCGGTCATCACCATGGCCATGGCCAGCACCAGCGCGGGGGGCCTCAGCATTTCGGACGTGGTAGGGGATCCGCCTTTGCTTTCGACATGCGTGGTGGTCGCGGGCGAGGCGGCTTTGGAGGGCACGGTCCATTTGAGCACATGCGCTTCGAGATGTTCCCTGACTTGCAGCAGCATGCGTTCGGCTTCGGTGGGCGCGGTCGTGACTGCCTCCCTCCCGGGTTCGGCGCGCGTGGTCGCGGTTTGGGCTCCTTGGGCAATCCTTGGGCATGGTAAATCCACATGGGTTCGGATTTGAAGCTCGAGGGCCCGGCGCCGTGACGGTCGGTGTGGACGTCTGAGTATTGTTCGAATGATTTCATCATCTTTTCCCCCTCGAGCTTTCAGAGAGAAAACAAGAAAAGCACCCAGGACATCATTAGCTTCTTGTACTTGTAGTAAGCCGCACCAAGTAAACCATAGTAGGATACACGAACCTTCCGTAATTGATGATGTGGCTCCGTAACATCCTCGTGCGAGTGAGTCTGGACTGTCGCCTTCTTGGAGCACTCGACGACCACGTCGTGACACATACTAGCACGGGGACTCAGGTCTTACCAGCTGATAGCACAACATCCAACCAATAGATATCAGCAAGGCGCAAGTAAGTACATGCAGCCAGGCGTGAGCACCGACAGATATGGCGACAGCCGACCGACCGACACATCAAAGCTTCGCCTTGACGCCCTTGTTCTTCTGCGCGCTCCTTGCCTTGTCGCGCAGGAACCGCCTGAGCAGCTTCCCGCTAGGGTTCCTCGGGATCGCGTCGATGAACTCGACGCCGGCGGTAAGCTGCTTGTAAGAGACCTTGCCATCCGCGACGTACTGCAGGGCGCCACAAGATTCGTCAGTGCTTTAGACCTACGAAATCGGATCAGAGGAAACGCGCACCTTGATGATCGCCGCCTTGATCTTTTCAGCCTCAGCGGGGTCCTTGCTCATGCGCTCCTTGGCGCTCGCGTTCGGCACGACGAATGCAAGGGGGAGGTCGCCGTTAAAGTCGTCGAGCAGACTGACAACGCAGACGTCCGCAACGTCCGGATGGTCGAGGATGAAGCCCTCCAGTTCCGCGGGAGCAACTGACGTATGTCCACACGTGAGCAATGGCAAAGCGGACGAGCACAGCCGGCGACGAACCCTGGAAGCCCCGCACTTTCAGGAGCTCCTTGATGCGGTCGATGACGAACAGCTCGGCCTGGTCGTTGATGATCACCTCGTCGCCGGTGTTCAGCCACCCGTCCACGAATGTCTCCTTATTCCTACACTTCGCGTCAGCTCCTTGCAATCTAGGAAGCAAAGCGTAAATGACACGCACGCCTGCTCGTTGTTCAGGTACCCCAGCGCCAGAGAGGGCATCTTCACGACGAACTGCCCCGGCTCGTCCGGCGCACAATCCGTGCCGTCCGGGCGGACGACGCGTGCGGTGACGCCAGGGAGGAGGACGCCCGCGCTGCCCAGCGTGCCGACCTTCTGATCGTGCCGCTGCAGCGCCACGATCGTGAAGGTCTCCGTCATGCCTGCATCAGTGGAGCGCACGATCAGTCAAAGGCGAAAACGAGAGCGCCGGAGTCGAGCGCACCGAAGCCCTGGCCGATGGTGGCCTGCGGGAAGACGCTCGCGAGTGCTGCTTGGAGCTCGGGCGAGACGGGCGCGGCGCCGATCATGAAGGACTTGATCGAGCTGAGGTCGTACTTCTTCACATCGGGGTGCTGCGGGTGCGGACGCGTGAGCGAACGGCGGAGTACGTGACCGACGTGAACATGCCTTGACGAAGAGCACACCCATGGGAGGCACGCAGCTGCACGTTCGGGTTCAATCAGTGGTCAAGGGCGTGGGGAGACGGGACGAACGGGAGGGTGGTGATGCGGTAACGCTCGATGCTCTTGAGCATGTCGGCGAAGACGAATTTCTGGGAGACCACCAAGGGCATCTGCAACGGACTTCTGTGAGTTGATACGCGTATTGAGCAAGCGAGGACGTACCCCGAGGAAGAAACCGAAGTGCATGATGAAGGCCAAGCCATATGCGTCTGCAAGCTGTTATCACACCTGGGAGACCAGCCCTAGCTAACGAAGCTTACGAAAGAGGGGAAGCGCTGCAAGGCAAGTGTGACTTCCTACCCAAGGCATATGTGAGAAGGGACGAACCTGCGTAGATTCTGCGGCCGGGTATGAAAGTCTTGCTCTCCACGGGCTTAGTGTCTCCCTCGGCATACACAGTACACTGGATGATGTTGGCTATCAACGCGTAGTGCGGGATCATGACGGCCTGCGAGGTGCTGTGAGTTACAATCATCCATACAAGACAATAGACTACCTTCGGAAGCCCCGTGGTCCCGCTGGAGAAGTTCAAGAACGCAATTTTCGTCTTGCCCTCACCTGGCCTGAGCTTTCGCTCCGTGTAGCTCTTGGGCTTCTTCGACCCCTCCTGGATAAGCCCGAAACATTTGCATATGGGGCCTTCCCGCTGGCTACGGTGTCGACTAGGACGATGCGCTCCGGCTTGAGCCCGACTGTGCGCGCGGCTGCCTCTGCGACTGCGAGACCGGATGAGTGCGCGAAGATGATCTTGGTGCCGGTGGTCTTGAGCTGGTGCACGAGCTCGTCGTGCGTGTAGGAGGGGTTGGCAGTGCTGCGGGGCGGTGAGACTGATAATCGCAAGTTACAACTGGTTATATGCGCACCTGACGATAGCTCCCAGTCGGTGAACGGCCCTGCAGCGCGCATATCAAGGGTGATTCCGATGGGTAGCACGCAGGGTCAGCTTACCAGACTATCACTGGGTAGTCTACAGGAGAGTCAGTTGTTGGCTGACGTTAAAGGCAGTCTGGACATTGACGTACCGACGTGGTTCGAGCTAAACAGACAGGCTATAAGGACGATTAATATGAGTCGGTTTGCCTGTCAAACTACAACTGAGTCCATATCGTCAGGCCCCGCGCTTCTCAAGCACACATAAGCGGGCGGAATCCGACGGTCAGGCTGAGCCAGCCAGCCGCGACCTTGGCTACGGCAGCCCAGGTTGAGCGGCAAAAGATCACTGAATACCAGCGTCCGACGACCTCCGCTCCTAGAAGCACCTTCTGTGCGGGGCACAACGACGTGGACCTAGTTGTAAATTAAGTAACGCACCAACATCATCCTCTCCTGATAGCAGGGATACGCCGTTCAGTGTGTGACATCAGGGACCAATCAATGTCCGGTCACTCACCGATGTTCCAGCGGATTTTGAGCGCATTTGCGAGACTGTCGGTGCGCGAGTGCAGCTATAGTATGACCTTGGTTAGTTTCACGACAATTGAGTACTTTCGTGTCAGAAGAACATATATGTGTTCGTATATCGCTGTGTTCGGGTTCCTCAGACCGACGACGCCATGGTCGTCAGTACGTAGGCCAACTTTGACATTCGCCGCGCAGAAGTAGCACGCGCTACACACACAGCTACTGTAGAGATGCTCTACCACAGCATGACGGCCAGGCCGAACGAGAATTGAGGCAGACACGGGAGGAGGAGGAGGAGGAAGGGATTGTACCGCCTCCCACGTGCCGACCCCAGGTAAGCTCAATCCAGAACGAGTCTACTCACCTCTGCTTTCACCACCTCCCTGCCTGTGGTCTCTTCGATCATCCATGGCCGATTCCTGTCTGTCTTTGGTCTGCTTGGGTGGTCGGCATCTAGCATGAACTGCGGGATGGTCAAGTCATCTGGGATAGCTGGCAGAGCACCTCCGGGACCGTGGATTACGCGCATCCTAGCAAGTAGCTTTCAAGTTCGTAAAAGGAGTGTTGGCGATGCTGGTTGCGAGTAGGTGAACGGGGCAAGGACCTTTATATGAGCGCGTTGCTGTGAGTGTACTTAGCGTGTTCGCGATCAGCTTCGAGGGCCGATGTTTGATGCAGATGGACGAGGCCTTGCCGGGCGCGACGGGGTACGGAGTTTCGGGAGGCACAGCACTTCAGCGCAGGTTGCATATATCTCTGTCTCAACGCTATTCTCCGACGATGCGTGCACCAAACTGCTGGCCTTCTGAGCTCCGGTATGCTGTGCATCCCTATTAGACTATCTCGGTCTACTTATCTGGAGACGACGCCGGCCGAGTCCAGGGCCCCCAACACGCGATCATTCTCTGATCATCCTCGTGTAAGATCTCTTCCAAACCCACCAAAACGCTAGTACTTACGTCTGCCAATTCGAGTGCAGGTTCGGGCGAGTGCTGCATACTAGTTACTTCGTTCGTTTCCTGAGCGGTCCTCGTTCGGACTTCGCGGTGCAGGTCAGTAAGCCATATCAGTGGGACATCGTTTCGGGATTATCAACCAGCTGTGCAGTTGCAACGTAGCCGTGTCCTACGCAGCCATGAACAAACGGACCTCCTACTTCAACGCGTCTGCCTCTATAACTCGGAAACGACACGAGAGGTTCTACTTGTCGGACGGGAATGTGATTTTTCAGGTACGTTCAGCCGTCATATCTTTGCACATAGATCGGGGACCGGGGATGTGGCCGACTGCTGGCCACTTGCGATCATAGGGTAACCTAAGCTGAGTCAGGGTTGTCCTGCATTTTCGAGAGTCGGTCATCCCAGGCACAGCGAAGTCATACCGTCGGGCATATAGCTCTTCAGATTGTCTTGTCATTCGTATGCTTTGCCGGTTACTGCAGTTTGCCGTAGGCTCGGGTCGCACTGAATATTAGCCCAGGTGTGCGATCCGCAGCAATCTGGCGTACTAATCCGTCCCAACCTTCTGTCTTCTCCGAAGTTCATCACGCATCATCCACTCGTTCACGCATCTCACGTAGTTGACCACAGGCGGAAGACACCTTGTTCAAGATACACCGTTACTTCTTCCTGCAGGGCTCGAAGGTATTCGAGGATATGTTTTCGCTACCCTCGCCGCCCGGCGAGGACTACGAAGGCGGGTCGGACGACCGTCCGGTCTACCTCGAGGGCACGACCTCGCTCGACCTCGCTCGCTTCCTCACCATCTTCTACCCGAGGTGCGTCAGCCGCCGATCTATGTACCCTGCCCTCGCTCACACCTAGCCTCGGGCAGAAGCGTGTGCAAGCCCGACCTCGAGACGACGGACGAGTGGGCATCCGTGCTCGCGCTCGCGGTGAAATGGCAGTTCGACGACGTGCAGGCACTCGCCGTCGTGTGGTTCTCGGCCAACGCGCCGCTCGTGGACCAGATCCTCCTCGCGCGCGCGCACCGGCTCGCGGAGTGGCTCTACGACGCGCACGTGCGGATCTGCAGCAGGTACGAGCCGCTCTCGCTCGCCGAGGGGCGCCGCCTGGGCGTGGACGAGGCGGTGGTCATCTCGGACGTGCGCCAGTACAGCATTCGGTGCAACCGCGGGAACGTTGATCACGACAAGCTGAGGGCTGCGCTCCGGCTGTTACAGCAGCAATGAAGCTGTGCCTTCTTAGACGAGCAGCTGGTGCTGCTTGGATGGTCCTCTTGTGGCCGGAGCTTCGCGCTTCTATCTTATCTGGGCCTGTATGGGATCATTATAGATGTTCGCCGGGCCTTCTTTCTCGTGCAGTTGTAGAACTCACTCGTTATGTTTGGACATATACCCTTTTATCTGTAGTACCACGCGTGATCCGCATACACGACAGGTTGCACCGTGCCCGCTGACCATCTCAGCAAGGACAAGGTTCAAGAAGGTGTACACTCTTGTTAAACTACCGAGGTGGCATCGTGTTCGATATATCACGATCGTCTTGGACAGACCATGACTTGCTCCTACGCCCACATCTCAACGCACACCTGCTCACAGAACAATGGCTCCCGCACGCCATGAGCGATACTACTTCGACGATGGCAGCCTGATCTTCCTGGTATGCCTTGGTACATCCTCCGATTACGTGCGGCGCTGATTACGCACGAGTCAGGCAGAGGATACGTTGTTCAACGTGCATCGATACTATTTCCAGCGCGATTCGCCCGTTTTTCAGGCGATGTTCTCGCAGTCATCGTCGTCCGGTGAAGGAAAGTCGGATGACAATCCGATCGTTCTTGAAGGCATGAAGAGCGCCGATCTATCCTGTTTCCTGTCCTGTATATACCCGATGTGAGTCGCCAACTCTGTTTGCACTCGTCTTCTAACACTTGTGACTGTCGCGCAGCAACTACGGGCAAGGCGATCTAACGACGTACGAGGAGTGGGCGGCGGCCCTCGAACTGGCTGTCAAGTGGGAGTTCGACCGCATTCGCGACTTTATTGTGCAGCGCATCAAGGATACAGGAACACTGGCCGAGCAGATCGTTACCGCGCGTCGGTTGAATTTGCAGCAATGGTGCTGGGACGCTTGCGCGAAGCTTTGCGAGAGGAGACAACCGTTGACTCTGGAAGAAGGACAGCGCCTGGGCGTGGAGGATACAGTCAGGATTTCTCAAGTGCGCGAGAAGCGACGCGTAGGTTCGAAATTTCGAGGGCCTGGAAGGTGTGAATATTACGATGAGTGGCAAGACCCATGGGAATTAAGTTCGATCTCACTCGCCGCCGACGACGTGCAGTACTACGTCAAGGAAACACTTCATTTACCTGAACTTCCTTTCAATCTCTCACCAAAATGTACGTTTTACTGTATGTTCTCATCTGCAAAGCGCTGACCTGCGTGCTCAAAGATGGTGGCTTATGATCGATGACGGACGACAACTACTTCATAGTGGTTTGCGTATCACGCGCAGACATGGCCATTTGCAGGCACGACTCTACATCTGCTGAATACTATCATATGTTTTCTTGACGACTACATACTCGAATTTCTACGCTGATTATCACGGCGCCAGACCCTCCAAATCAGAGCCCGTGCGGTCCAACCATGCCCATGAGGCCCATACTGCGACCACGCGCACCGAACCCGGGAGGGAAGCAGCCACGACCGCGCCCACCGATCCGAGCCCATGCTGCTGCAAGTCAGGGAACATCTCGAAGTGCATGTGCCCAAATGGACCGTGCCCCCGAAGCCGCCTCGCCCGCGACCACCACGCATGTCGAAAGCAAAGGCGGATCCCCTACCACGTCCGAAATGCTGAGGCCCCCCGCGCTGGTGCTGGCCATGGCCATGGTGATGACCGACGTTGTGGTGGTGACGACGGTGATTGTCGACGTGATGCCGCTGACGATGGTCATGTCCGTGGGGGCGGCGGTCGCACCCGTCGTTCGGGGTTGAGCTACGAGACGAGAGAAGTAGAGGGGCTACGGGACCGAGGAAAGCGCTCGCGAGACAGACCCATGTCCACGAATATCTCAAAAGGGAACATGCCCTCAGGGGCATTGGCGTAGAGCGCAGGAGGGGCGCTGTGTGCGCGGGACATCTCATGACTCATCGGGGGCGGTGGAAGGCTGTGGCTTACGAAGTCGCCGCGAGTACGAGGAGGTAGACCATGGACGAAGGGGAAAGGCAGATCGGCGGGAGGCCTGCCAGGAGGACCGCGAGGCAGGCCGCGATGGCCGTGGACAGGACCTCCACAGCGGCCCCGTCCTCCGCCCCGCCCGCCTCGGTGACCGCCACGGCCTCGAAGAGAGTCGAAGCCCCCTGGGGACATGTTTACGGCTGAAGGGTCTCGAACGACAGGTTCGTCGATCTGAGGCGGTGCTTGCTCACCTTGAGCAGCGTCCACTCCGGCGACGAGATCGGCGGTGCGGTCAACCGGTGATTCGCTATCGTCTTGAACTGACGGTGAAGACATCGTATGGTCCGAATCCTCAAATGACGAGCCCTCACGGAGGTCGCGTATATCGCGGACCGCGAACTTAAGGGTGGTAGAGTCGGTGTCTCCGGGAAGGGTGGTGAAGAGCTCATGGAGTTCAGGTTGCGAGTCCAGCGTCACCTCATCGCCGTCGGCGTCGACGTAGGTCAGAGCGACGGAGTTCTCAGGGATGTCGAAGAAAGACTTGACACGATTGGCGAGCTCGTCCCAAGTCGGGAGGGCGTGAAGACGATTGCACGAGTGACGCCGTTAGGCTGGAAGAGCTTGATGTGAAGCTGGGGGGAAGACATTGTGGCTGAGTATGGTAAGAGTCTGAGGGCCGTGAGCGAAGAACTCACTGCTTATATAGGGCGCGGCCTAGTCATATTGGGCGGACATATCGCTGCCGCCCTGCTGCGCACCAGAGTCACCAGACGGCGGACCCGACTAGAAGACTGTGGAGCATTCGGCCAGGCAAATGCGCAGACGAATCGCCCCGGCGCACCGTGACAGCCACCGAGGGTCGCATTTGGTATCTCTTACCTTTTCTGGTGCAGTAGTCCGCCGGGAGGCCACGCAGCCCCTCGCCGTGCACTTTGGTCATGCAACAAGATGTAAGCAGGCAGTAATCGTCACTATGTAAAGTCGCCGGCAGCGTCGGGAAGATTCAAGGGATTACAGGGCAAACCTAGTAGTTGTGTAAGTCGATTTCGCTGAGAGATGGAGGGCTGTTAGTACGCACCGTGATCTTCAGTCGACAATATTGCGCAAGGGCGGCCAGGACCTGACGCGTATTGCACACTTGAGACAGCCAGAAGTGCCTGTCGCAACGCGACGTCGATGGGGAATGTTGATGACCGCCGACAATTCAGGAAGTAACGAGCTGCGTCGGATGCCTAGCGGCAAGTCGCAGCGACTCACCGCGTGGGCGTCCTGGTTGCCTTGCTTAATGCTACTAAAGACGACTATAGATCTGCCCCGGGCAGATCGCAATGCGTGACAAGGAGGTG